TTATCTATCCTTACCATACCATCCAATATAGGTTTTTATCTCTTGTTTCATTTAAAATCTTAACTGACTTGTTAAAGTTACTCATATATGCATACATAACAAACGTGGAATTCATACGTTACTAGCGACAAAATTTACATATTTTAAATAAATCAAATTATTTTATATCTTTTTGCTAATATTTCAATACCATCAACCAATGGCGTACATAAAAAAAGTATACATTAAGAGATAATAAAAAATCCTTATTTTTGTGGGTACTATATATAGTTTTACTAGCTTTTACACGCGACTTCGTTGGCGTAAACTGGATATGTTCATTGATTGAAATAAAATGTAGCTTATAATAAATTTATAACGATTGGTTAAACTGTTGAGGTAACAAGAGGTAACAATTTCTTATATTTTCACATTTAAAATATTAGTAAAGATGTTCTTTATGGTAGTGCCTACCATAAAGAACATCTTTACTAATATTTTGTGATTATGATGTGTACTCATATGATCTCCATGCAGATTCAACTACAATAGCCTACAATCTTTTAGATTTAGTGATGATGCAATATTATGCTGACATCATTCTTATAAAGTAACCATAACGATATCAGCTGCAAAATTAATTATGCTGTAAAAATGATCGATGTAGATACCTACCTATACATAATTTACTACCTACTAGCTGTAGTTCTCAGCTTTGCCCGTTTGTGTATCAAATATAATTTAAACCTTTTTATTACTTTAACGTAATTGTAAAACGCAAACATCTAAATATATATGCTGTACTCAATTAAATACTAACCAGGCTATAAAAAATTTTAGAATATAAAATTTGCTATTTAAAATACACAAAATTTATTTATTTTTCATTTATTTATTTATTCATTATAATAATTATAACGTTCATTCATTACAACAATTATAAAATTTCTAGTCTTCGATATTAATGTATATAACAATCATTTGCATTTTTATACATGACAATGGAAATGATAATCCCGCCTCTACTATCGATAATTATGTGCTGGTGGGGCAGCAGTGAGAGATGATAAATAAGGTTGAATGGAGGCCAGTTCGCCCACCGTGATAAATTCCAGAAGAATTAACCAAGATGGTTTCCGCGTGGAGGTTGACTTGATAGAGTAGATCGCTAACAATAAAGCTATTAGATCTTCGTTATTTACAATCCCTTTCCCCCAGGACCATGGTGTTATACCTCGGTATCTAGTAACTTCACTGCCATATCCCGCCCATCGTCATACCGAAATACAGCCATGCAAGCACAACTGCTTGGTAGAAGAAGAATTGTTAGTAATGGGGACGTAAATCCCCATTGCTAGCAATATATCATGTCAGGTCCGCACAGTTCCCCTTAGAAATCATCGTGAATAATTATTGTCAAATACGTCACGATGGACCAACTGACCTGACTTCATCTTCACTTATTCCCTCACTAGTGTCCCGTCAGTATATACCAATAGCGCGGGCGGGGTTAACATTTAATTATCATCCATTAAAAAAACAACTGTTTCATGGCAAATTCACGGGTGAGTAGTAAATTTTACACGTAACAGAAACGTATCTCTATTTTATTTTTTATTTTTCCTTGTTTTTCTTATACAAAATCTGACTGGTAGTATATTACATTGATAATATATATTATCAGTATAATATACTACCACTGAGATTTCGAACAAGCATATGCTTGTTCGAAATCTATATAGTCCACCTGATGGTAAGTGGTTTTTGTAGCCTTTGAACGTCTGAAATACCAGGAGCAATACACATATAATTGCTTTAATGAGATTATTAGGGACTAATTGATCATAGACTCCGAAGATCATCACAAGATTTGAGTGTTTATTTAAGAATTTTAAAATATTTTTATTTTAATCTTCTATCCTACGATTATTGTAAATTAATTATAACAATTTTAATTTAATTATGTAATCTATTTAATAGTACTAATTATAATATAATTAATAAAAATTATAATTGTTTCTATTCCAACAACAAAAACTAAACATATTAAAATATGTTATAGGAATATATGAATATATGTTATAGGTTATTATAGGAACTTTTGTAGACATATATACCTATTATACGTAGTATTTTTATACTAACTAATGGTACTTTTATAGAAATATTCACGCTCTGTTATAAAGTAAGGAGGGCAACAAACTGTTTTAAACTTGTTCAATTGTATTTGTGTCGAAGTATAGACGATAAGGCACGTTTATTCTTATGTAGCATTATAATGTTCTTAATCTAAGAATGATCTAACTACCTATAGGTATGCATTTTAATCGATATTCACAATTATCAGTATACCTATATGAAAGTAATGTACGTGATAATATAGATAATAATAAGAGTTATTTTGTCTACTGTAATCGTTGTAGTAAACATAATTCTCAATATTATTGTAATCATTTGCTTTACTCAGTAAATGACCGTAGTATTTGTTAGCTGAAGAGTAGTTTTGAAGTTAATAAGAACCCTTAAGGGTTCTTAATTAATTAATTAAAAACCCTTAATTAATTCCGATTGACTCCGAAAGTAGTCGAGCACTCCCAGATTTAATACATGAAAAAAAAAGCCAATATAAATAATTACCATACAGTTATAATTACATTCGCGATACCTATTATCGCATAACGTCTTTCGTGAACATACTAACGTGGTTGAAGGTAAACCCGCTGCCATGTCTCGTATTAATTACCTTTGTTAATACATTTTTTGTTATCAGAAATCAGAAATTTTAATAAACACGTTTCTTTGTATACAACTAGAGCACAAAGCTCTCATATATCGGCAATATGTAGGTATACGTCGAACTCGAAATACATTTAAAATAAATCAAATATTAAACATTTATCTTAAGACGAATCCACTGTAAATAGCTATTACAGAGGATTCGTTCGCGCGGAATATTTGTGTCTTGTTCTCGTAAAAACTTCAATAAATACCTTCCTCCTATAAAACAAAATGTAATGAAATACAAGTCGTTAATTTTACATAAAATAAGAATTTGTCCATATTATAGAAAATGCAAATAATACTTGATCGTCTCCAAAACTTGTATATTAGATTTATATTTGGACTTCGCAAATACGAACACATTTCTAAATTTCGCACTCAGCTCAAGTGGCTCCCAATACGTCGACGCCGTGATTGGTATATTCTTTCTTTATTCTATTCTTTTCAATCCTCTTACACCTTAACTCAAAGAGCAATTCATATTTCTCGGTGACGTGCAAAGTCATGCTTCACGTACCTCGAATAATCTTCGCCTAGAAACTCCTTCACATACCTCTGTCTATTACACCTAATCCTTCTCCGTTCAGGCTGTGCATCTATGGAACTAGCTACCACCCTCTATACGAAACGCCCAGTCTCTAGCTTCGTTTAAAGTGCAAGTCAAATCCCATTTTCTTTCACTGTAGTTACTCTTTTTCTTATTTATTTTATTTCTTTATTTCATTTTACTAGATTCGTTATATTTCCTAGTGTGTGCTATGTATATATTTATATGTGTATGTAAATGTAGTATTTATTATCACTTCATTATCATAACTATCACTACATAGTATAAAACAAAGTCGCTGTCGCTGTCTGTCCGTCCCTGTATATGCTTGAATCTTTTAAACTACGCAACATATTTTGAAGCGGTTTTTTTTAATAGATAGAGTGGTTTATATGTATGATACATGCATAATATTGTAGAGAAACAATGATAAATTTAGAGATTTCTAATGTGATGTCGTAAATAAACACATTTTCTTGAGCTTTCATTGCAAACGCTGGCTAAACCCCACGAGATAAATCAAAATAATGTACTACAGTATTGTACACCTTAAAAAGGTCAATAAAAAGTCCGCGATGGTATCTCTTAAGGATAACCCACAATAACTATTTTTAAGGGAAAAAATGGCTTATTTACGAAGTAATTTTAAGCATTAATATTTATCCAATTATATCTTAAATACATTGTTTATTTAATATAGATCAATATGGTCCTTTACAGCATGTAATTTAAATGAATATTTCCGAAGATATTACAGATTTAAAATGCAGGGACATAGCGGTGCGACGGTACCGGCTCGGCCGGTGGCGCGTGACTATAAGTACCGCGTCAAAAGCCACGCTTCGCACTTTAAATGTTTGTATTGTCTAATGACAAAAAAGCTGTAAACGTTGTTTATAAGAACATTCTATAGTAGGTAGGTATATTTAGTATCAGCATTATAACCGTGCGAAGCCGGGACGGGTCGTTAGTTTGTTATAATAAGTAGTCTAATAAACAATATGTATTTGATGTTTTAGTGCAATTATATTATAGTATAGTGTAAAAATTGAAGATTGAATTAGAAAAAATCATTCAGTATCACTAATCACACTGGAAAAAAAAACACTTCTTTAAAAGAATACTAATAAATCTTGAATTTACTGGGTACAGAGGATTAACATCTGAGTCCTTAGGAATGGCAACGCATGTGGGTATCATGGGCGAAACAGTATACTCTGTTATATCCATGGTACTGCTCATGTCTATAGGCGACAGTTACCACTTTCCATCAGGTGGACCGTCAGCTTGTTTGCCATTCTAAGTTGTATAAAAAAATCTTGATTTCACATATACCACAAGTACTATCCTTCATTTATGCACCTGTATATGCCCACACGTCATAAATATCACCCAAGGTTACCAAATCTATCTAAGTTATGTGTGCGCTCTAAAACGTCGTGATAAGTAGAGTTTTTCTCTTCTTCGAAAACTACTCTTCTTATCATTGTATAGGATTGTGTTTCATTTAAGATAATAAAATTCACACATAAGTGCGACGCGAACTTAAACTTTTTTGGGAATCCTTTCAATAATTCAAGTTTCTATCCAAAAAGTTTTTAGATTGTGAATTGAGATAGATGTGTCGATCTATTAGGCAGATATGACAAATTCTTTGTAGCTATTTAATTAATCCTTCGTAATATATTTACAGGCGGTGTGCAACCAGACATTATGCGATTGTGAAGGCATCAAAGGTAGTGCTGGAGAACCTGGACCGCCAGGCTTTCCAGGCCTCCCCGGGGACTATGGAGATGATGGTCAAGAAGGTCGCATGGGAATACCTGGAGAAATTGGTGAAGTGGGGGACATTGGAGATTACGGTGATAAAGGAGAGAGGGTAAAAATAAATACTACCTTCCTATTATCTGTTAGATTTATGGTAATCGCTACACCGATTGGCAAGCCAAAGCCCATGTTAATAAATTCCTAACAGAAGCTACTGTACTTCTACTATTACTACTTACAATAATATAAACATAGAAGAAGAACATACTTTAGAATGGAACAGAAAAACTATTCGAATAACAACTGATAATTTTGACAAATACTTCGATGGCCTTAATGTATGAAGTCATAGACTAATAAAATTTCTTAGTCGTCTTTTCATATTACCTAGCAATTAATAGTTATAAATAAATTTATGCTAAATCTCACATTTTTTGTATACAATTGAATAAGTAATTCTTTAATTTTTATTTTTTATTTTTAGGGTTTAGATGGACACTACGGGCCAAGAGGATTTACTGGCGCTCAAGTAAGGAGTTGTTGTTTATTGAATGAATTTATAATTTGTACCATGAACAAAGTTAATTAAAACATAATTATAAAATATTTTAATAGGGTCCACAAGGATTACAAGGTATCCCAGGAACTATGGGTTTAGATGGTTGCAGTGGTATTGACGGCGTAACAGGCCCACCAGGGAGGAGCGGCCCGCCTGGTAACAGAGGTCCGCCCGGTTCATATGGTGAAAAAGGTTTCAAAGGGGTTCCGGGTGACGGTGGAGCCAATTCTAGAGGCATAGTAGGAGAGCCAGGAGTACCTGGTCGCCCTGGAGAATCCGGACGTCCAGGACCGACTGGCTGGGCAGGAAATAGTGGAGATCGTGGTGAAGATGGTGATATGGTAATCATGAAAAGTCTTTTGAGTTTTTTAAATAAAAGCGTATAGTATTTTGTTGATGTATAGAATATTTTATTAATTTCTCGCTTGCTTCATAGATGCATGATATAGCGGCCCCTTTTTTAATGTTGTATATTTTGTTAATATATCCTTATTAACTATTTAATTAATTTTGAAGTAGTTCTACCTAAAACATAGCTACAAAACAATATTATGTTATAATACACATTTTCGAAAATCAATTTAATGGACTGAAAAGTTGAAATAAAGGTAAAAAATAAAAAGTAACAAATAGATGGACTGAACATCGTCGAACTGAATATGTCCTCTAGATAAAGTCTGTTAAGAAATCGTGTAGTCGGATTTTTTTTATTAACATCTTTCGTAGAATTCATTAGATTTATTTTTACATGTTTATTTATTTACAATTATATAAGTAAATAAAAATGGACAGTACCTGCGTTATCGGTATACGCTGGCAAGGCACCAGTGAGAGATGATAGATGAGGATGAAAACAGATCAATTGGCCCATCGCGACGAATTCCACAATAATTAACCACGATGGTTTCCAAGGGGCGCCATGTGGAGGCCGAGCTGATAGGATATATTGCAAGCTGTTGGGGTTAACTTCATTACCATCAATCCCTTTCCAGGATATGTTGGATATAATCGGAATATATTGACTGACCGTGATAAAAAATAATCTAAGTCATTCTCCATCTCATATAATGCGTAGAAATATATCAAATTTAATAATAATCGGTTAAGTCGTTAAGACACTACAAAGTACGCTACTACGCTACAACGTAACAAACAAACTCACTTCTTATTTATAATATTAGTAAATAAATAAGTAAGGACTACAATATTGATTAATATTTTTAATATTACTATAGGGTCTACCGGGTGTCAAAGGCGAATCTGGATATAGAGGAGATATTGGAGACGATAATTTTGGACCTCAGGGACAAAAAGGAGAACCTGGGCCAAGAGGTGAGCCAGGTAGAAGAGTCGTAGTCATTTATCCACTTTATGACAATGGAACTATTGTAACAAAAGGAGTAAAAGGTAGACAAGGTTCTCCCGGTGAACAAGGTGACAAGGGAGAGAAGGGAGGACAAGGTTCACCAGGTTTGCCGGTACGTCGATTAAATTTTTATTTATATATAGATATATTTAATCAATTAACTTTACCAAACAAATAATAAGTACTTAATAATTCTGGTAACATTCTCTAAAAAGACTTAAAGGTGCTAAAAATATAGCATAATAATCTTGTTTAATTTATTTAAATTATGTCTTCTTTTATAATGTAATTTTATTAATTAAATATTACCATCATATTAATATTTTTTTAATAATCATGTAAATACAAATTCATGAAATATATTTTACTCTCTTTACTGTTGGAGTCAATAAATTCAAACCGTAACAAGAAATTTAAATAAAAATCATGATTAATTGATTGTAATATAGATTTTTTGTACTAATTTTGATTATCATTTGATTCTTCTAAAAGGGTCAAAATGGATTCCCTGGAATAGATGGCTATAAAGGAGATCAAGGCGAACAGGGACCAAGAGGTAAACCTGGTCACAGAGGTCCAGATGGACCCGCAGGGCCAAAAGGATTCAAAGGAGCTCCAGGATATCCTGGTCAAGATGGTGAAGATGGAGTTCCAGGAACACGTGGTCATGATGGAAGGTTGGGTAATCCGGGGCCTCAGGGTCCCCCCGGAGAACCTGGTATATATGATGAATCTTTAGATATACCCCCAACACCAGGCGCCATGGGACCACAGGGTCCTGAAGGATATCCGGGAGAAAAAGGAATGCCCGGATTTGATGGATTGGTTGGAATTCCAGGTGTTGTGGGAGTACCAGGTCCACCTGGAATAAAGGGTATACAGGGAAAAATTGGAAAACCTGGCATTTCACCAAAAGGAGAACCAGGAAATGATGGATATAAAGGATTACCTGGGTTGCGTGGTCCAACAGGATTACCCGGACCCGAGGGTAAAATAGGTGCAAAAGGTTTCCCAGGATATACGGTTCGAGGTCCAAAAGGTGATGAAGGTGATCGCGGAATAAACGGTTTTCCTGGGCCACAAGGCGAACGTGGTAGTCCAGGATTAATGGGTCCACCTGGAATTTCAGGAACTGGAGTAAATATTACAGGGCCACGAGGAGAAACTGGTAGACCTGGTCTACCTGGACCTATCGGTGATCCTGGAGATTTTGGGCTCCCTGGAATCCTTGGACCTAAGGGACCCCGTGGTGATGACTGTCCGTTCTGTCCATCAGGTACCATTACTTAATAGTAATATTAGATTAAGGGATTATTTAATCGAATAAAGTATCTGAAACATACTCGTATATATTATTAGAATAGAAAAAATAATTGAAAACATGAACACGAAAATGCGTAATAATCATGCACGTCCAGTGCGTGATTACTACGCATTTTCGTTATTCTATTCATGGATGGGTTTTATGTGCACTTTAATAAATATATTATTAAAAATTATAACACCAACTGACTTGTGACTAAACTAAGTTGGTATTAAGCTTATTTTATACAATACATACTACTTACATACCTAACGGCCCAATAAACATAATCGTTAATTAAATTCGTTACAATGAGCCTGATTTCATCCTCCCTAACACCTCATCAAAGTAAACCAATAGCGCGCAAGGAAGCATTACCAGTTTCTTTTTCTTCCATTATAAATACGTTTACGTTTATTACAAAACACAGACTAAAGATAATATTACTAATAAATATTAACACTAGAAATAAAGTATAGACTAAAGCAAACTACTTAACTTTATTACTAAACGAAATCATAGTTTTACTGTGGTTTAAGACCTTTTGGGATTATGGTCACTCACTACGCTAAGACGTTCCATGTCTATAAAATACTTAATATAACGTAGGTACATAAATAATCTAAAATAGAATCAATAGTTTTGGAATAGAAACCGTTCAACTCTTGTATATAATTGTAAATTAAAATTTTGTAGGGTTATTTGGATTTGTTACTTAATTATTAAACAACCGTATAAATTTTAACTAAGTTAGAACACAGGTGGAACGGATCCTGATTCTGCTAATTGTAAAAAGAAAAAATAGTATTTTTTTTTATTTATTTATTGTTAGGGAGACAAACGAGCAGACGGTCCACCCGATGGAAAGCGGAAATTATGTACGATAGGATTGCTTTCTGATCGCTCGCTGCGTTAAAAGTACTGTCTCCGTAAATACTACTATTTACAATCAATAAAAGTAATTCGTAATACTAATTTTAGTTCCTAAATTGTTTTGTAGAAGCAGCAGTAAAAATGTTCGCTTTTAAAGTATTCCAAAACTGTCTAAAATAAAGACTGACAGCAAATATCATGCAATTTTCGACTATCATAAACTATTTACAAGTCAGGGTGCACTCACATGGTGCAATTGTCATGGCATGTTAGATTGTATAGCACGAAACTTAGATCAAACTAGAGTTTGAAATGTATATGAATGAATATACATATTTGAAATCAAATATGTATGTAAAAGTAAGAACCTATTCATGATATAAAATATATGCACAACATATAAGGGCAGAAATTTCGTGAATCAAAAATTCAACAACAAAAATTTTGAGACTCCTATATTAATTTTACAGCACGACAATGAAAATCAAAACTTTTTGTTGTTTTCGACCTATGATTCTTTAATGAAATGTTCCTTGAGTTTAATAGGTACCTACACAAAGGAAAAAGGACCCTGATGATTTCATTTTGGTGATATACTATAACGTATCATCGCACAATAATAAATAATATTCATTAAACAAAGCATTGTTTTTTTAGGATTACCTGGCCAGAAAGGAATAAAAGGTGATGATGGACTTCTGGGACAAAAAGGATACCCTGGTTTTATGGGTTTACCTGGAGCACGAGGTCGGAAAGGTTTTGCTGGAACACCGGGAAGACCGGGTTTCCATGGACCTAAGGGAATAAAAGGATTACCGGGCGGAACAGGAAAACAAGGACAACCAGGAATAAAAGGCAGAATTACATTACGACCACTTCCAATAATTCAACAAGACAAAGGAGAACCAGGAGAGAGAGGTATAGTTGAGTGACTTCATAATTTCCTGAGCTGGCTACGCTGGCTACGCTGACTACGCTAACATTGTTTTGTCCCTACTGAGTAATTTTTTTGTTATCGGGATAAAAAATTCTACCTTTCAAGTTAAAGGAAATAATACACATTTACAAAATTTCATTTCAATCGGTTTAACAGTTTACTTTTATTAAAGACTAGCGACCCGTCCCAGCATCGCACGGGTGGACATTTTTACATTTTAAAAAGTTGCCATTAAGGCTGCACACGCGACGGAAGTTTAAAAATGGAGTAACTTCTCCCGTTTTCCTAACATTTCCCTTCACTGCTCTGCTCCTATTGTTCGTAGCGTGATGAAAAGTATACTATAACCTGCCCAGGAGTATAAAGAATAATTGTAACAGGTTTCGCTAAAATCCGTCGAGTAGTTTTTGTTTCTATAACGAACATACAGACAGACAGACAGACAAAAATTTTACTGATTGCATTTTTGGCATCATTATCGATCACTAATCACCACCTGATAGTTATTTTGGAAATATATTTCATGTACAGAATTAACCTCTCTACTGATTTATTATAAGTATAGATGTACAGATTTCACAATCTTACATACAGAATTTTTTTGTAAATATGATATTGGTAGGTAAAAATTAACTGTACATGTGACAATGTAAATATTATAAAGGAACACATATATACACTTCAATTACAATAAAACTGGTCTAGCTGTAAAGCTGTAAATAGGTTTTTGTTGACTTCAGATAAAAAGTCCTTTCATATGATATCCCACTTAGACTTTTAAGCCCCTTTTGCAAAAGAGTTTAAATTCCCTAACAAAGAATATATAAATATTGTTTCAATAACTTCCAATGCAATATATGTGGACTAATATTTTTAACAATTCTAATTTTGAAACCAAGAATTGATGGATGGACGAATAGTCAAACCTAAGGACGAAGAGAAAAACTTTTATGCCATTTTACGGAATACTAAATTCATTCTTTGGCATTATTTGCTAGTTTCTGGCCTTGCTCTTCTCAAAAAACTGAATTATAATTATATCGTATTAATATTATATATGCGAAAGCTTGTAAATATGGTTGGATGGATGGATGTTTGTTACTCTTTTACGCTAAAACAACTAAACGTATTTGAATGAAATTTAATACGGATACATTATCTTAACTTAGTACATAGGATACTTTATACGAATATTGAGATTTACGTGAACAAAGCCACGGGCTTCAGCTAGTTATCCATAAATATAATGTACATATATATACATTTGCGTTGCAGGTTTCACTGGACCTCCAGGTCTACATGGTAATGCAGGATTCCAAGGTGATCGGGGAGACGCTGGACTAAAGGGCCGCAAAGGTTTAAGTGGTGATTACGGCCTTCCTGGTTTATCAGGTCGTGATGGAACAAAAGGCCGAAGCGGGTGGCCTGGAAGACCTGGTGCTCCCGCTAGAATCCCCATTCAATTTCTTCGTGGTCAAAAAGGAGAGCCTGGACGAAAGTAATTTAATCTAGTAATATTTATTATTTTTAATGATATTTAAAACCTTCTTGTAATAATCTTATTAGAATGCCTGTAAAAATTTTCATATATACCCCGTAAAAGATCAGTTTGACTAAATGAATAGATATCTTTATCTATAGCTGCCTACATTACAGACATAACAACAAACTTAAACAAACATGCACAAAAAGAAAAGGGTATAAGAAAAGTAACACAAACTGCTTTGAGTGTGAGTCACAGTAACATAAAATAGCCACAACTCAGTTTATTGCTTTGCCCTCAAAAGAGCATGACACTGATTTTCTGTTGTGGCCAAAAGCCGCGAGTACCAGGCGATGGTGTCAATATAAGGCATAACGTACTAAAAAAATATTGCACAAGCACACTTTTCTTTAGTGTTTGAATGTAATGTAAATAATAAACAGCATTGATATTAATAATCAATGTCACAAATTCGTTTCCTAAAATCGTAAAATAATTAATATTTTGTAGAGGAGTTTTAAACATGAACTTCGTGTTATAATAGCATTTCTGAAAGATATCCCCTATGTTATAACACATCCTAAGTAATAATACTACAGTATGGACACTGCCTCCCACTGCGATCTGACCTCTCAAATATGCAGTTCCCAAACTCTATTTTCCCGCGTTAATCGTAACTACAGACACGCACTACAAAAACAAGTAATGTCTGTGCATTACACGTTGTTTCTGTAATTGTGACAAGCAAGTGTTGTGGCATTTTAATATGAAGTGTCCAGAGCATGGTTATAAGATCCAATTAGTATCATAATCTAAGGTTCAATCATAAATGAATTATTAAATAAGTGCCAATATACTGAGCAAATAATGTAATTAAATGTAATATGCTTGATCTATGTTAATTGCAATTATAAAAAGTGTTATAGGATATTAAGATAAGGTGCTCAAATATTAAAAATAACTTTTTATTAAGAAAGATTTTTTTATTAAATTAAATATATAATGCAAAAAAGTGTGTACTTAAAAATATTGAAAAATAATCACATAGGAAGTTAAAATCGGGAGTTAACGTATGTAAAGTTCTGATATCTAACCACTTCGTAAATATTTTTTGTAGAGGCGAAATGGGCGATGTCGGCGATCCTGGTATACAAGGAGAAACGGGCGAATCAGTAGATGTAGAATTGAATGTTAAAGGAGAAAGAGGTTTCATCGGGCCCAGGGGACCAATAGGTAATCTAAATTACTTAAACCAATTTTAACCCCTTGTCTCAACATAAATATATTTCGTCTTTGGTACACACATGCGCGTCTCATGCGATAATTTTTCCACTATTAACTATTAAATCCCATTCTCAAACAAACCGACAAAAAGATGATATTGTTTTAAACTATTGCTCTGAGTTCAATATCAGTTTAACCTTGATGACCTTTCAAGGGTTGCGGATTTTTACTTATGAGTTTATTTGTTTGTATTGAAGTATGCGTTTTCTATGTATATATGTATGCACTTATATTACTCGCCAAAAAAGTCTAAAAATTTGCATGTATAAAATTAACACAATCCTTATCAATTACAAAAAAGGATCATGAACGTTGGTTTTGTATTGCAATCACGTAACGTAGGCAATAAACATTTACGAATTAACAATATTTTAAAATAGCGACCCACTCTGTTTATGTAACTTTCAAATTGTTCAGCATGTTTTAGTAAGGCTGATATTTTGGCGTGTGTGAAAGTAATGTTCTAATATTCTCTAAGATTTTATAATAAGCGGCCTATTTAGCACTTTATTATGCGCGCGTTTGTATAGTTTCTCCCATATCCCTTACCTTCTCGACCAACGACAGCGACAACGCAATAATTTTACTGACTTATTTCTGTTTTTATTTTGCATTATCTTAATTATTTGATTTTATTTCTTTATTTTACGCTTTTCACGCACCGTACATGATGCACGGCATATTATAGAAACTTTGTCGACTCAATTACATTTTTTGTGATAAATTATTAAAAGTATATATTTACCAAAATATATATCTATAGCACTCAAGATAAAATACCTTTCTAACAGTGAAAGAATTTCAAAATTGGATCGGTAGTACCGGAGATTACCCCGAACACCAAACTAACCAACTTTACCTCTTTATAATATTATATTATATAATATAATTAATAATTATATTGTATTAGTATAGATGTGTAATTCTGCAATTAGGAATTCTAAATTATAAATACTAATAGCACTCTATTACAAGAAAACTTAGATATAAATCTGTTTCAGGATTACCTGGTAGAAAAGGAGAAAAAGGTGTTCGAGGTTTCGACGGGTTTCCGGGTGCCCCAGGAGACAGAGGGCTCCCTGGTAGGTCTAGACAAGGTGAAATAGGATTTAAGGGAATGTACGGAGAAAAAGGTGACATTGGCCCATATGGCATACCTGGTAGCCCAGGAAAACAAGGCCCACCTGGGTATCCGGGAACTAAAGGACACAAAGGATCTCGTGGAGATGCAGGTCGTTCAGTCATACCCGGTGAAACAGGTATTGATGGAATTTCTGGTTCACCTGGTGATCAAGGAGAACCCGGTTATCAAGGAATCTCAGGACGTGATGGTGTTCATGGTCCCAAAGGAGAATTGGGAATACCCGGGGACATCGGCCTACCAGGACCCAGTGGACCTCCCGTAAGCACAATTTTGATATATTCGTTACTAACTATGCTCACGACTTAGTCTATATGACCAAAAAAAGGCTATGTCCTTCTCCATAATTGTACAAGATAAATACTGCATATGTGTGTAGATAGGTGCATGCCAAATTTATAGAAAATTACTAAACACTTTGTAAAACAGATAAAGTCAAGTACTTTCCAAATGATTTTTAAAAAGTCGAACTTAGTGTTTCTATTTATCTAAGAAATAAAAAGTTACATCACAAAATGAATACAAATTTGAGATCATATTAAAAGTGATATTGTAATTTGTGTAGTTAAAGGAAGACTAGAAGTTTGTTTTTGGAGTAAACAAAAGTGATACGATTTGAATAAGAAATTCTGAATTGCAATATCAATAATACAATAAACACATTTGTATGTAAGGTAATTTTATTTTATACTAGGCTCAGTTGCGCACGGGTAAATAGAATTTTCAAAAATAATAGATAGTCTTTGTTATTGGCTGATAATGTAGTTTTTGTACGTGAAAGAATTTTTAAAGTTAGTTAAATGGTTATTTTTTTATATTATCCATCACAAACAATGAAGCAAAATAAATCTGAGGCTAATATTTAATATACAAATAAAAATATATACTACAAAATTTCAAAACCATTAAACTGGTGACTACTGGTATTTACCAGTTTAATGGTTTTGATATTTTGAACTTTGGTATGAAATTTGGTATATAAGTTGACCGCAGAGATGAAGAAGAACATAGTTTTAATCCGGTAAATAATACAATAAGTACCTATATCCCGGTCGCATAATCAATGCTTAGTCTTTTTGTAAATACTTACATAAAAGTACCTACACCAATTTAGATATATTTTTGTATTAAACGGGACTCGAACCCGCGACCATCGAACGGTAATGTGGTGTCTTAAGCCGCTAGACCAACAAGTCGTCAAAAAACTAATGTTTATAAAATTAACACAACTCTGTTTTACTAGGGTCGCAAAGGATTTCCTGGTATTGAAAGACAAGGTCCTCCGGGACTTCCAGGTCTTAAAGGCGTTCCAGGAAGCAATGGGCCATTTGGAGATCCAGGGCCTGAAGGAAATTATGGTTACAAAGGTGATGAGGGGCCTAAAGGAATGAAAGGGGAACCTGGACGTTTCGGACCAAGAGGACGAACAGGAGTCCAAGGCGTTGATGGCTGGCCAGGATTTCCAGGTTATCTTGGCAGACCGGGAATTAATGGAGAAACAGGTGATATTGGAGATACGGGGCTTCGTGGTGATGATGGTTATCCTGGTTTACCTGGTATACCGGGACGTCGTGGATTCAAAGGACAACATGGAGATATTGGAGTATCAGGAAAACCTGGTGTAGATGGCTGGCCTGGCATTAATGGATCTATAGGTGAAATAGGTGAACCTGGCCGTAAAGGCCCTCGGGGTGAAGATTCTCTTAAAGGATCGAAAGGCGAGATCGGTGAGCCAGGACAAGAAGGTCCTCCAGGATATGCAGGGTTACCTGGTAGGCCTGGAACAAAGGGATCTATTGGAGATTCTGGTATTGCACAAACAGGCCCTCCAGGGAGAAAAGGTGATAAAGGTAATGACGGATATCCAGGAAGAAGAGGATTAAGGGGATCAAAGGGAGATAGTGGAGATTTTGGTTACCCAGGTGAAAAAGGTGATATTGGAGAAAAAGGATTTGAAGGCTCTATAGGATTACCTGGAAGGAGAGGATTTAATGGGTTTAAAGGTAAAAAAGGATTCGGGGGACTTCCTGGAGTTGATGGTAAAAAAGGTGATCAAGGTTTGGACGGGGAGCCGGGATACATGGGTATGCCTGGGTTACCCGGAGACAGGGGGCCTATAGGCTATAAAGGCGAAACAGGAGACACTGGTCCAAAAGGAGTCAGAGGCGATATAGGATATACACCGTCATTCATAGCAACTAAAGGTGATATGGGCGACATTGGATATTACGGCGAATCAGGATTACAGGGTGATAATGGTGAACCAGGATATCCTGGATTAAGAGGTATAAAAGGAGAACAAGGCGATATTGGTTTTAAAGGATTGGCTGGTGATAGAGGACCGCAAGGAAGAAAAGGCCCTATTGGTGACAGGGGACCCCCAGGAATTCCAGGGTTAGGAAAATTAATATGTGATGTGTGCGAAGCTGGTAAACCTGGAATTCCCGGTCTTCCCGGATGGCCAGGACCAATGGGGCAAAAGGGTGCTCCTGGCGAATTTGGTGTGGATGGGCCTAAGGGTGAGCGAGGACACCCCGGATTAACTTTTTCGGGTCGTAAAGGATTGAAAGGTGAATCAGGAAATCCTGGTAGGAAAGGTTTTCCTGGACGTGTCGGTATGCCAGGCCTTCAAGGAAGTCCAGGATATAAAGGTTATCGAGGTGACGAAGGTGAACCAGGATTTGTTATTAGTCCTAAAGGTAAACAAGGTGAAATAGGTGAATATGGTGCAAAAGGTGTTGCCGGTGACAAAGGTGATATGGGTGACTTTGGTTTATATGGTTCTAGAGGACAACCTGGACTGACTGGCCTTAAAGGCTTACAAGGTGATGAAGGTGAACGAGGAATTTCGGGTATACCTGGCTTAAAAGGGATAAAAGGAGACCAAGGAGAAATTGTATTGTTCGTTCCCCCTGGACCACCGGGCGATGTAGGCCCAATTGGGCTTCCAGGTTTTCCAGGCCTTCCAGGAATTCCAGGTAAACCCGGACGAAACGGTACATTTGGATTAAAAGGGAACAGAGGAGAACCAGGTGTCCCTGGCCCTGCAGGAATACCAGGTCTTGAAGGACGTGAAGGCAGAAAAGGTGTTGCGGGCTTAAAAGGCTATCAAGGCCAACGTGGTGATAGAGGCCCCCCTGGAATACCCGCCATAAGACCAATTCCAAAGTCTAGAGGTTTCTTTTTTACAGTTCATTCACAAACAGAAATGATTCCACGATGCCCAGAAGGCACTTCACCTCTTTGGGACGGTTTTTCACTTATACATATTGTAGCTAATGGCAAAGCACATGGACAAGATTTAGGTAACGTACTACAATTATATTATCCTTTAATTTAATTCTTTTGTTCTTAACTTCTACTAATGTTAATTATTTCTTTATGCCACTTAACACATACATAATGTGATATAACGCAGCGTCCTGCTGCGGTTGTACTCGGCGACCGCACGGGAACGTAAACATACAAGGCGAGTCTCCTTGTATAATATCGTAATAACGGAGCGTACAATCACTAATGGTAATAATAATAATATCAGCGGATTTGTTTAGTAATATATAAAGTGCCTAATATTTTAATCTAAATTAGGTACTTTATAACTGTGTTCTAAATTACATTCCAATTCGTTAAAATAGGTTGAATGAGAAATATTCAGTGTTTCATATCTAAGTAAAAATGAATCGAGAACGACTTAATAAAAAGTTATTGTCAATTTTCTTCCGCAAATTTTTTCGAAATCGTTCGAGAACGAAATTATAGAATACCTTATTATTATTTAAACTTGGGCAGTTTGTTATTCTTACACATTCCAAAAGCGCTCATCAAGCTCTATCCAAGTAGGTATCTATGTAGATCAGACGAATACTATCTCATAATTTTTGAAATCCGAGACATGTTACATAAATGTTTCCTTAAAGGATAGACATTAATTTATGTTCAAATTCTGTGTCATTGTGGTAATGATAAAGATGATTTACTCGCAAATGAAGGAATTTCATCTAGAGATGTTTTTACTTTTAATCATTTTTGCCACGATCTAGCCGCTATTTCTTCATAACTCTTGAGCAAAAGAAGAAATTCTTACCTAATATTTGATACTTTCAAAACCAATGTTTTCGAAATTACATTTTATATTTCAATATATTGTCTCATATGTGTATTGACCATGTATGTACTCCTGTTTATTTAACAAAAATTCATCTATCATTGATATCAAAATCCATGTCGCTACTTTTTAATAACCTGTCTCGTTTTCTATTTGTATGTGGCATAATGGGCAACATTTACCCCTTGCCAAATATAAAAAAATATATATATTTAATATTAGTAAAATGTATTTCTGTCTCTATTACTACCTACTAAATATAAATTGTCTATAAAATACTTAGACAAATATAAAATAAACTTACAGGTGCGCCTGGCAGTTGTCTACGGAAATTCTCAACAATGCCTTATATGTTTTGTAATAGAGTTCAATTTATGGATAAATGTGAATTTGCTCAAAGAGAAGATTACAGCTTTTGGTTATCGACTAATGAACCTATGCCAATGGCTATGACTCCTATACAAGCAAGAGATGTCGGGATGTACATATCTCGGTAAGACAAATTGATATTTTATATTATTTAATACATCTGAAAAAGAGTTTTTTTTATTTTGTTTGTTAGCTTATGTATTGACCTTTTAACGTCTTAACGACTATACTAATCATAATAAAACTTGATATACACGTATTAATATAATCGAGAAAAACATAAGCTTCTTATTATTATTTATCTCGATCGATCGAGATATCCTGATCACATGGGTGGATTATAAGTATAATTTCAAATATTTATGATCAACTTTTGCTTGTTACTGCTAATATACAACTCTATATCTGTGTTGCGTAAATCATCCCACGAGAATTCTGTTTTGAGATACTTAACATAGTACCTAGGTATAATTGTGTACTATTTCATCTGTGTGCCTTTCATTTAAATTCGTTCTACCATCATGTAGATACTTAAATTTAAGTAATGAATATCATCATAAACTTCACATTTTATTAAATATCTATTCTGACTTTTATAATAGATACATATGCAAACGATTTAAGTGCCCAAAAGAAAGCGAGAATCATGCGTTTTAAAAGCTTTCCTTCATAAGAATCAGTTGATCTAATTTCATACATACGCCGCTAAGTATTTTTAATTTTTTGTAAGTTACATATGTCAATATTCCATAAATGACTATATTTCAGATGCCAAGTTTGCGAAACGCCAACACGAGCTATTGCCATTCATAGTCAAAGTACCGTGATACCTAGCTGTCCTAACGGTTGGGAACAATTATGGATAGGATACAGTTTCCTTATGGTAAGATACATTACAAAATAGGTATAAAAAAGTAGAATCAATAATTCAGAGGGAACTAAGCGAGCAAAAACAACTGGTAAAATTGAAGCTCGAGATCGACGTCATACTCATAAGTTCCGTCAAATCTGAGATTTTGATAACAGAATACGAAATGGCATAACATTGCATGTCAAGCAAATTAATGCTTGGCGAAATGTGATATCAAATATTAAGTGCACAACAACTGCAACGGTCAATCTAAAATATACCCTTTACTATATCATTACTAATGAGTCATTAGGCATTATTATCTTATATAAAGTTAAACATAAAAATTAATTTAAAAGAATTCAATAGTAGAAGTACGACATGTTAATTAAATTAGAAAAAAACATTTCGAGTTCCAGTAGTGATGGTGTCTGTTGTTTTTGATCTATCAATCTAGACATTTATTATTTGATTTTTATATGGAAAAGGAAGATAAATCCTTAATATTAAATTTGATAATCATTAGGAAATTATGTTAACAATAATATTTTTTACAGCATATGGCAGGATCAGAAGCAGCAGGACAAAACTTGGCATCACCTGGGTCATGCTTACGTGATTTCCGTACGAGACCTTTCATCGAATGCAATGGACTCGGTCGCTGTAACTACTTCGCTACTGCCATTTCATTTTGGCTCTCTACAATCGATGATAACAATATGTTTACAAAACCCGATCAACAAACATTGAAAACTAATCATGTTTCTAAAATCAGTAGGCGAGTATATTTTTATTCTACAAACAAACGGGGATTTCAATAATAATTAGCAAATTTGTGTAGAACAAACATGACAATAAATCATATAGAATCAGAAAAGAATTATCAAAATCAGTTCAAAATAGGAAGTTAATTAAATAGCCTTGTGGTCCCGCCATAAAATGGGCCATTTCATCCTTTCCCGTGAGTATCGTGAGAGGCAACTAAGGAAATTTAATGGTTGACGGATGGGCAGCAATGTCCACTCTTAAAACATCACCAATGCCTAACTACGATTGCCATCCTGCCTGCTAACTACTAATAAAACCCCCAATGAGACTTATAGTCAGCAGTGGACAATTAACGGCTGATATGATGATGACAAAAACATATTTAAAAGTATTTTCGAGAGAAATACCGGTCACGATAAGGAACATTCCGCTTTTTTCCGCATTGTTTTACATTTCTTTTTAATTGTTAAAATGATAAAAAATAAAAATTTGATACATTTACCTCATAAATTCAGCCTTTAAGAATTCAAATAACATTTAAAAACTATTATTCCTAAGATTTTCCTTTAAAAATTTAATATTTTCATAAGAAAATATTAAATAGTCGGGAATAGGACGCCTGTCCTTTAGTAGTCTTAAAAATTTTACAACGTTTTCCTTTTCATATTTGGTAAAATAACTACAAAAATACTACTATTAAAATATAATATAATTTTTAATATATGCTTCCGCCCCGAAAATTAATAGATTTTACTAGAATTTACGAGGGATAAAGCAAAAACCGAGGGTGCATTTTTTTCTAACTCATTCAGTTGTTTAATCACGTTTCCAGTAAATTAAATTATTTATATTTTTATTTATGATGCAGATGTGCAGTTTGCATGAGAAAGCCACCGAACGTGTCGGCAGGTGAACATTCGCCTTCAGTAGAAGCAGTACCAAGCACGTATACAAAATACAGGCGCCCAAGTCCTGTATTCAGACGTCCTCAGAGTCGACCGTATCGGCGGTTACGATATCCAGGTCGAAACAGAAACACTCGAAAACTCCAAGTGTAAAGAAAATCGACGTTGTTTGTGATACATAGATAATAGATATTTTCATTTCCTACATTTTTTTTTCATATTAAGATGTCATCCCCACATACTTTTTATTTTTATACCTCAATGTTGTTATAAAACATTTTCAAATATATGTAGACCTCTTGAACACAGGTATTACGTTGCAAGTACTTATTGAATTTAAGTACTATAAGTATGATAACACTGCCAGTTTATTTATAGTGTTACTTAATAAATGAATTTAAATACTTTCAATAAATTTAGAAATAAGTAGGTACCTAAATCAAATAAGGCATGAATATGTTAGGGATTTTATTTATATTGATTGAAAAACATCTTTTTCTTCGTGTGAGGTGTAGGAAGACACCTAATATTGTATCTAGGTAGACATGTAAAATTCACAAATAAAGATTATTATTGGTGATAACATAACCATTTATGAACCTATCTACCTACTAGAACATTGCCACTATAAATTCTATATAATTAATATATATGTAATACTCACCAATAAATATCTCCTATAATATCAGAGTACCTACCTAGCTTTGAGTTGTACAAAGATTTCTGATAGCGTTCACGTTTCCTCGATAAGTTTGTAAAGATCTTTGAATTTTCTAAACTATCCTCTAGAAGCGTAGCATTTTTAAGCGTAGATAATTTCAATAATGTAATATAATGTGAAACTTTGTACAACTAAAACGTTTGGTTTGAACATTACTGAATATATAATAAACTCAATTGAAATATTATTACAATTTATTTTATTTACAAATGTTTATGTAGGTAGGTGGTATCTAGTCGTACGTTAGTAGGCTCACTACTCTAGATCCAAATTTTTATCCAACAAGATGATTACTATAATGATAACAACAATATTTAATATTTGTAAATATATTGCTAATAAAAATTACTTTTAATTCTGACATCGTTTATTTGTATTACAGCAGTCTACTTAGACTACACTATGGCACTTAATCAAATATATTTTATAATTTCTGCTATTAGTAAATATTTTAAAAACAAGAGAAGAAAATGTGTTTAAGGTACTCCTTATGCATTGCTATTTCTATTTGACTAAATTGTGTTTTTTTGTTAAGATGATAATGGAATGCTAACCTCGCTTGCGCGGCGGGAAAGGGATTGTTAGTAATGGAGACTGAAAATCCCATTGCTAGCAATATACCCAACCAGGTCGACCTCCTCACAGTTCTCCCTGGAAACTATCATGGTTAATTCCTGATGAATTCATCATGATGGGCTAACTGACCTGTTTTCATTCTCATCTATCACCCTTCACTGGTGATCCGCCAGCGTATTCCGTTAGCGCAGGCGGGGTTACCATACCATTTTCACCCATCAAAAAAAAACCTCGATTGCGCTATCGATTGGAAACACTGGCAGTGTACCATTGAGGAATGATACGTGAGGATGAAGCAGGCCAGTTGGTCCATCGTGACGAATTTAACAATAAATAAATCACGATATTTTCCAAGAGAAACCGCATAGAAATCGACCTGATAGGATTGACCTGATCGCTTGCAATGACGTTACTAATCTCTAATACTAACAATCCTTTCTCCACCCGAACTAAGATGTTATGCCTCCGTATTCTACTTTAAATCAAATCTGCAAACATAGCTACTTAGCGACAGAAACACGAGTAGGCCAATGGTACATGACGACCCGGAGAAAGATAATAAAGTCTAACAGCCCCATTACCAGCATTATATGTTACCTTTGCGAGACCATTATGGTTAATTCTTACTGAATTCGTTACTATAGGCAAACTGACCTGTTTTTATCCTCCTTTATCATCTAAGTAGTACTTCCAGCTCCCAATTATTAGTTTTTTTTTTTGTGTATTCTGTATTTAGTCATGACTCATTAGGCAGTCACGGCTGCGCTACTGGTTTACGCTCGCTCCCACCGTGGTTTTTTTTTAATGGGTGAAAATGGAATGGTAACCCCACCCGCGCTATCGGTATACACCGACGAGACACCAGTGGACGATCATAGGTGAGAATTAATGCAGGTCAGTTGGCCCACCATGATGAATTCGACAAGAATTAAACATGATGGTTTCCAGGGGGAACCGCGTGGAGGTCGACCTGAGAGGATACATTGCTAGCAATGGGACTATTAGACCCCATAACTAACAATCCCTTTCCCTTCACCGTGGGGGTTAGGATTTCAAGTAGAAATGGGGAGTGGATGTGGGAAATATGTTTTGTGTTTATTAGTTTAGGTGTCGGTGTGTAATTGGTTTTGTATTATTATGTTTTTAAGAGTGGGCTTTGAGAGTAAGATATGTGTTTTTTCATTGGTGTGGTTATGAGTATCTGTAGTTGGTTGGTTTTATAATATGATGTTTAAATATGTGTTTTATGTATGTTTATTGTTTGTAGTTTTAGGGATCAGTCTACTTGTCCGGATAAGTTTATGTGAAGATGAGTTTAGGAGGTTCATTGTTTTAGGAAATAATGTATTTTGTTGTGATTAGTTGTTGTTTTATTCTTTGTATGTGTGGCATGGTGTAATGTGATTAATATGAGTGTGTAAATATTGTTTTTGTTATTTATTATTGTTTTTTGATGCTTAAATGTTGTTGTGGATGAATGAGTGGCATTGTGTTGATGTGGAAACAATTACAATTTGGTATTCACATTTGCTATAAAAATTAGTAACAAACATGCGACTTTTAGTTTTACGAAGGCACAATTTTACAATTTTTCACCCTATCATTATATGTACAAAGAAGGGTGGTAAATTGGTTTTATATTAATATATATATATATATATATATATATATATATATATATATATATATATATATATATATATATATATATATATATATAGATTTTGTTAGTTTATCGGCCTCTTCATTACCCTTTAAAGTTTATAATTTTAAATCTGAATGTTTTAAAATTATAAACTATATACAAAAGATAATTTTATATATACATATATCTTTTTATTCTAGAATACAATATTGTATTGTACAATGGTTGGTTGATGCATTGGGTTGATGTCTTAATGTTCCTTGACCAGTCAGTTGGACTAGTCCAGGACCAATTGAGTGAAAATGAGGCGCATGAGCGGACCAGTCCACATGTCAGTCCGGTTGGATGTTGAGGGAGGGAGGATGTATGTTATAGGTGGACTAGTCCATGGACCAGCCTATCTCACACGCCTTATGATGGGATTTAATCGAGGCAAAGCTCTGTGATTGTTATGGGTTGATTGGTCATTATTCCTATTATATGTACCTATATCTTATCATCGTTGTTATTCAGATGAAATATACCTACCTCACTCCAAACTTCATTTTTTTATAATGGACGATAATGGAATAGTAACCCCGCCTGCGCTAAGGGTATACGCTGGCGGCCAAACTACACAAGCCTGCACAAGATGGCCACTTTATAAAACTTTTCTTATGTGTATTTATTTCTATACTTTATTTCTATAATTTTGCTAATTTAATAATGACGTAAATCTTAAAGGATTTATCGCCTAATTCATAAAAATTAAAACTTTCAAAAATATAATTTAAATAGGTATTAGGATTTTTGTTACTTTCTTTCAATCTCCATATTCATAAAAACATTAAAGCTGTCATAAACCTATTTTAGATATTAAACTGTTTTCTCTCTTTTTTTGTACTAAATTCCCAATGTGAAAAATATTTACAAGCCAATGTTAAAATAGGCTTTTAGGTTTTAATTTTTATGAATAAGGGCGTGAGACTTTACCAGAGGTAGACATTGTCCAAAAATCGTTTGTTTGGGTACCTCTGTCCCATTCGTATTTCAGCCGTGAAGCAATTGCATTTGCTTGGCTATGTTTCAGTTTGAAGGATGAGACGTAGCAGTGAAATTACAGGATATAGAGGCATAACACCTTAGTCCTGAGGGGGTGAGGGGGTTGTTAGTTATGGAGAGTAAGGGCCCTATTGCTAGCAATATACTCAACCAGGTCGACCTCAAGTGGTCTCCCTGGAAAATATCTTGCTGAATTCCAAGTGTATTTATCACGAAAATCACGATAGGCTAAGTAACCTGCCTTTTGCATTCTCATTTATCATCTCTACTGGTGCTACGCCAGCGTATACCGTTAGTGCAGCCGGATTACCATTCCATTATCATGCATTAAAAAAAAACACCTTAGTCCTTAGGAATGGCAACTTACAAGACTGTGCACGAGAAGTATCATGTGCGACACAGTATACTATATTTTATCTATGGCACTGTCTATCGTTTATAGATCGGTTACCACTTTCCATCAGATGGGCCGTCAGCATATTTACTATTTTAAATAGCATAAAAAAAGAAAAAAATATTTTAATAACTAAAATAGTCATGAAACATTTGATATGTAAATAAGAGGGGTGTTTTTTAATGACAAATATTGGCGGAGCACTACTGAGGGATGATAGATGCGAATAAAAACGCAGGTCGGTTAGCCTATCGTAATGAATATACCTACGTGGAATTCAACATGATGATTTCCAGGACGGGCCACGTGGAGGCCGACCTAACAGAGTATATTGTTAGCAATAGGACTGGTAGACCACATTACTACCAATCCCTTCCCCAAGAATATGAGTTAAGTTGTACTTGAAAATTTAATCAACTAACTTAAATCTAACTTGCTAAAATTTTATTGCAAATGATGATTCAAACTTGGTACAGAATTGTGAAATAGATCGTGTAATGTGTTATCAGGCAGATCAACTTGCAAAAATGAAAAAGATGGCGGTTGTCGAAAATATTTATCTTATCGATATCAGTATCGTTTCCGATTAATTTGGGGTTGCCGATTCCAAACATTAAGGTGTTTTTGGATTTTGAAAAAAGCACTTCCTGTTATATTTAAATAAAACTTATTTAATTGCAAACATATTTATTAACATCAAGAGAATGAACAAAGGTGAGAAAGCAACCGGAAGATCCGCTAGTACATACATGTTAACTAATGTCATCTGTCAATTAAGATGCGTTCCTTTATACATATTTAAACTAGGTACGTTCATCTTACACCTCCCCTTCAACTTTAAAACAAAACTTTTACAATCAATTACAAAATAAAAAAACATTTTACAAAATTACATTATAAATTGAGTCTATCTTTAGGTTTTATAATTCTTCCACTGCGAGTGTGACATGCTTTATGAGGGATATTTGATTGGTTACTATTTTCAGATACAATATTTGGCACATTATTACTAACTTTGTCATTTAAAGAATAATCAAAAAATCTCTCTTAAAACTATGTGTTTTTGTGTTTGACCTCTTAATGTGATGAGAAGTGCGCCTAAAGGGCTTACAATTTTCTCCCCTACTGATCCAATATGATCTAGGTTCTTTAGACTTCTTAATAACTACTCCTTTTTTCCAATAACTATCATGACCTGTCCTATAAGTTACATTTTCTCCTTCCTTAAAATTTGTTTCACCCTTCCTTATAAATCTATCATGAATTTTTTTAGTTATAGATTGTTTCACAGTTAACAATTTATGAATATTTTTCTCTATTTTAGGTTCTAACATGCTTTCTGTAATAGGTACACAAGTTCTCAACTGTCTACTCTGTAATATTTGAGATGGTGATACTTCTAAACTAGATAAAGGTGTACAGTTATAACTTAATAGAAAATCTCTATAATCTACATTATCCTCCCTCGCTTTCTTTAATAGATTTTTAGCAATATTTACTGCCTTTTCTGACATGCCGTTACTTCTAGGATAGTGAGGGCTACTGGTAGTGATACAAATATCTTTAGATTTATAATACTGAATACATTCATAAGATTTAAATGGATTGTTATCTGCTATAATTTCAGTAGGGTAACCAAACCTTGTAAATACTTCCTGAAAAGCATTTATAACAGACTTTGAACTTTTATTTATTATTGGTATAATTTCCAACCAATGTGATAGATAATCCACAACAACAAGGTAGGATTTCCCTCCATACTCCATAATATCAGAACCTACTTTTGAAAATCTTAATTTAGGTATCTTATGCATTAACAATGGTTCATGAGTATTTGCAGATTTAAATTTCTCACAAGTTCTACATTTAGATATAAAGATTTGAATATCCTGAGACAATTTCGGCCAATAAAATAGCTGTCTAGCTTTTTTAATACTTTTACTTATGCCTGGGTGACCAGAATGAACTAAATTTAATACATATAATTGTAAAGATTTAGGAACAATAATTTTGTTAGTATAGAACACTAAACCTGATTCTACATAGATATCCTCTTTAAATTTAAAATATGGTTTACATTCTTTTAACAATTTATTTTCTTCAGGCCATCCTTGATAATAATATTTTATAATTTCAGATAACACTTTATCTTTGCTAGTCTCAGATCTGAACTCAGACTTTCTTTCACTACTCATAGGCAAATGCAATGAAACTGAATGAACCATGTCTAACATTTCATAGTCCTTCTCTGTTGTTTTCATACTACATCTAGATAACATGTCTGCAAAATGAATGTCTTTACCTGGTATATAATTAAGATTTAATCTATAATTTAATAATTTAAGACACAAACGTCTAAGCCTTGGAGATCCTACTTTAGTAATAGGCTTTTTAATAATTGAAATCAATGGTTTGTGATCTGTTTGTACCTGAATATTTTTAGCACCATATATATATTTATGGAATTTTTGTGTACCAAAATAAATAGCTAATAATTCCTTTTCCGTTTGACTATAGTTTAATTCACAATTGTTCATTGTTCTGGATACACAAGCTACTAATCTTAAACAGTTATTGTTATCTTTTTGAAACAAACAACTACCTATTCCATTCTGAGATGCATCACACTGCATTATAATTTCCTTTTTAGAATCAAAAGCACTCAAAGCTGGAGCCTCTGAAACTTTCTTTTTGAGCTCTGAAAAATTTTTATCATGTATTGGTAACCACTGAAATAAAACATCTTTTTTCAATAATTGACATAATGGAGCCATAAGCTCAGCCATTTCTGGTACATATCTTCTAACATAATTGAATGACCCTATAATTCTTCTTAACTCAGCTATATTTCTAGGAGCTTCTAGACTTAATAAAGATTTGACTCTATCCTTGTCCATTTCCATACCCTTTTCACTGAATATTTGTCCTATATATTTAATTTCTTTTAACTTATATTGCAACTTGTCTTTATTAAATTTAGCTTTTATTTGTTTTGCACGTTTAATAACTTCCCTAACAGTTTTATCATGAGCTTCCTCAGTTTCTCCCATAACTAGTAAGTCATCGAACCATGTTATTACATTAGGTATATCGCCAAAGTAATTTTGAATTTGATCTTGAAATACATCAGGTGAATTTGAAAGACCATACGGTAAAACTAAGTATCTATACACTCCAAAAGGTGTCGCAAAACAACATTTCCATGATGCACTTTCTGTTAGTGTCACATGATGAAATCCTTCCGATAAATCAAAAACTGAAAAATACTTTTTACCTTTTACTTTACATGCTATCTCATCTACAGTTAATAATACTTGGGGTTTTCTAATTATTTTTTTATTTAACTCACTGGGATCTAAACACAATCTTATATTTCCATTAGGTTTTTCTACTAAAACTAGCCTATTTATACATGCTTCTGAACTTATCTCTTCAACTTTAGTGATAGCTTTCCTCTTAACTAACCTATTCAATTCACACTTCAAAGGATTATATAATTTATTTGGTATCTTAGGTGCCGCATGACAAATTTGCTCATGTGGTAATGTAGGAATATCCACTGGTTTAGGAAAATTTCCATGACCTTCAAAAATTTCCATATTTTCTTGTATAAACTTAAATTTCTCATCATTACAATTTAAATTTACTGTATTAATTCTTTTAACTAAATTCAATGCAATACAACCTGGTAATCCTAGTAACATTGATTTACAGTCAACTACCATGAAATCTTCATAACATTCAATTGCTTTATATTTACAGTGTAAATTTACCATACCCACTGGTTTAATTGTGGAGCCTTGAAAGGCCTCTAAACTTTGGTTACATTTCCTAAGTTCAATATTACTTCCTAGTGACTTATATATATTTAATGGCATTATACTCACATCTGCCCCGGTATCTAATCTACAGTTTACATACCTGTTCTCAATTAAAATGTTCTCTGTCCAGTGTGTCTTTTTATTACCTTTTACTTTGTTTCTCGTTATACTGCAACAATACAATTTAGAATTAGAGTCACTGTCAGAATTACAATCTACATTTTGTACCTTTTTCTTCACATTACAACTAACTGCAAAGTGATTCTTTAATCCACATTTATGACATCTCTGCCCAAAGGCTGGACACTCCCTCGGACCGTGGTTTCTCTTACAGCGCCTACAATTAAATTTTTCTATATATTTTGTTTTATTTTCTTGATATGCATGCTGCCTTCCTTTATTTTTCTGTTTCCCATTATATACTTCTTTATTTCCTTGATATACTTCCTTTTCCTTCTGTTTTAAACTATTTCTTTTCTTCACTATATCTATTTCTATATTTGGATTCATCTCTTTTGCCTGCTTTTTACTAATTTCACTTGTACGACAAAAGTTGGTTGCCTTCTCAAGTGTTAAATTGTCTATTCTTAGTAGAGATTCCTGTAAGGACTTGTCGTATATGCCTTGCACTATTTTATCTCTTAATATTTGGTCCTCTAATGATTCTTGTCCTTCTACATTTTTATACGAACAATTAGCAAGCAGCTGTTTTAAATCTGTGAGAAAATTATGAAAACTTTCGCCTTCTTTTTGTTTCCTTTCATTAAATTTATATCTTTCAAATACTTGATTTGCTCTTGGACTTACATAATTATTAATAGCTCTTATAACATTTGCATAGACTTGCGATTCTGTTTCCGTAATCGGCAATGTATGTAGCAATCTTGCAGATTCGATTCCCATCATATTACGCAAAAGTGATAATTTTACTTTGTCCTGCGAGTCATCTTTTCCAATGCTCACTAAATAATCCTCGAATGCCTGTATCCATACCTTCCACTCTGAGGCTGCATTAGGCGATCTTATGTCGAAATTTGGAGGCAATTTAACCGATCCTTCCATGATGGCGTCTGCTTGGCTGAAAAACTTCTTTACGATATTTAATACTTGATACAATATCGTTTACACTTTGAATACGATAATTGCAACTTCAACCATGACTACTACTTCGAATACCGCTACGACTGCGCCATGTTATATTTAAATAAAACTTAATTAATTGCAAACATATTTATTAACATCAAGAGAATGAACAAAGGTGAGAAAGCAACCGGAAGATCCGCTAGTACATACATGTTAACTAATGTCATCTGTCAATTAAGATGCGTTCCTTTATACATATTTAAACTAGGTACGTTCATCTTACACTTCCACCCTACCAAATACAACATGTATCATAACTTCGTTTCCTAGTTAGGATCACGTGACGCGACCAACTGAAATATTGGCTTCCTCCCCTTATTAATATAATGTTCGATGCAGTCTTAACGAGTTATAAGACCAGTCTCCAAGCCTATCGTTTTTGCTGTGACACAGGGTGGTTTAAAATAAATGCATTAAAAAATAAAGATCTCGAAGGATCTATTGCAGAAAAAAAAATCTACTGCAGTATTATTAATTTTTTTCTTCGGAGAGTTTTGCTTGTAACCTCTTATGATTTAAAGTGCGAAATATGTATAAAGGTCTTAAATTAAATAATATTTAATTATTACAAAAGGCCAGAATACACAATTTAAAAATTTTATTTATTATGTATATTTTAATCGATAGTTTTAGTAACAGAATCCAGATGTTTTAATTTATGGTCATCAATGTTTGGTCTTGCTTCGTATGTACAAATAGTGACTCCATGCTTGTGACCTGGTGTCCATTCTCCCTTCAATCCTATATAATATATCTTTGTGTTTTCTGCACCAAAATTACTAGGAAAGTGCATAGTTAAATGACTCACCGAAGAAAAAGTGACAATCCTAAAAAATGTAAAATTATTATTAACATGATCTTAGTAAAGATTGGAGAACTTAATGCAAACTAGTGTGCTGATAATGCTTACTTTGGATTATATTCAAGAAGTCCCTCACAGTCTTTCTGGAGATCGAAAACTTGATCAGGTTCCATTGACACATCATCAAAAGTCATATTTGGTTTATTTTTGTACCTGAAATTCATATTACTATTATTCATATATGATATGATATGATTAAATAAGCAGCATTTAGCTTAAATTATATTGACCTCTGTGCTTAGATTATACAACCCTCATAGATTTACATACAATTAATTTTATAATGGGCATATTTATAGATTACATATATAACTAGTCCGATCATAAATACTGTTACATAAAAACATTTCTTCTTTTTCAAATTTTAATTTATTTTGAATTTACAAGTTTATTATTAACAAGTTTATTATTTTAAAAACTTCTTTCGAATTCGCGCCATTGTACATATTTATTCGTATTCATTATGAAATTACAATATGGAATGGGGTGTTAGAGAAAAGTTCGGATTGCAGTGATCGCTTTGCACAAAGTGGGTATAGAGCCGTCGGTCATACTCCAGACACTTCAAAAGCTTGGTATCAGTCGTATGTTCGTTTATTGTATTATCAACAGATAGAATAACACTTCCTCTGTCGAAGACCAGAAAAGATCGGGGCGACCGCGTGCTATTTTCTTTTTTTTTGTTGGATGAAAATGGAATGGTAATCCCGCCTGCGCTAACGGGATACGCTGCCGGAGCACCAGTGAAGGGTGATAGATGAAAATGAAATCCCCGAGTCGAATCCCCGTTAGGAAGAAAAAAAATCTTATTGCGAGAAATGAAGATTCCCGCTAGGACTCTGTCGCGTATTATAAAACAAAACCTGAAGCTCGGTGCTTATCATCGATATACAGGACATGCCCTAAATCAATCTTTACAATTAAAGACAGTGAATCGATTAAAACGCCTTCTGTCGCGATACGCAGGTGAAAGGCACAAAAATATCCTCTTCACCGTAGAAAAAAAATTCACGATTGAAGAACACTACAATAAGCAAAATGACAAAGTGTACGCTCATAGTTCTAAAGAAGCTGCTCAAGTGGTCGGAAAGGTATAACGTGGTCATCATCCTGCGTCAGTGATGATTTGGTGAGGCGTGTCTTATCAGAGTCACAAAACTAAATTTTTGTTAATAAGGAGTAAAAACTTCAGCTAAAGTGTATCAAGGTACAGTTTTGGAACATGTTGTGAAACCTCTCAGTAATACACTTTTTAAAAATACACCGTGGTCTCTCCAGCAGGACTCTGCACCTGTTCAAAAGGCACGAATTATCCAAACCTGGCTCTGAAACCAACGTACCGGACTTTATAAGAGCTGAAGGCTGGTCCTCATCTAGCCCAGACCTCAAGCCTTTAGACTTTAAATTATGGTAAATTTTAAAGGACATGGCCTGCTCTAAATGACACGGAGACATTGAGTCTCTTAAAAAATCTTTGGAGCAAGCAGTGGTGACTCAAGTGGTCGGAAAGGTATAACGTGGTCATCATCCTGCGTCAGTGATGATTTGGTGGGGAGTGTCTTATCAAAGAGTCACAAAACTAAATTTTTGTTAAAAAGGAGTAAAAACTTCAGCTAAACTTAGAAACAGTGCGTAAATCCATAGATTCATGGCCAGATAGATTAAAGACCTGTTTAAAAGCCAAAGATGGCCATTTCGAATAGAATATTTTTTTGTTAAAACTTTAATAAATATGTAAAAATTTTTGTAATATTACATTACTTCATGCAAAAAATGCATTTTCATTTGTAACAGAACTTACGGCTGGACTAGGTATAGATATATAGACAGCTCGGTGGATCTTGGTGAAAGGGAACCGGGGCCCCCAACATTATGACGCGGCGAGGGAAGTCGTGGTAGTTTTAGCCAGTAGAAGTCCGGCAGTACCCATACACCTCCCTCGGGGCGTATAGGTCTGCATGATGCATTTCCGCACGATAAAAAAAAAAGTATAGATATACAGATACTAGATATTATCGCCGTGTCGGTCCTGGCATAGAATGGGCCACCCCTTCCTTTCCCGTGGATGTCGTAAGAGGCGACTAAGGGAACTTATAGTCGAGGGATGGTCAGCAGCGTCCCTCTTAAAATATCTCTAAAGACCTGATTGCGGTTGTCAACCCGCTTGCCAAGCGTGACAACTACTGACAAAACCCCCCAATGGTAAACACTAAAGAAACGATCCCTAGTCCCCAGTGACATCGGTATTCCTGGCAGGGAGTCAGTGAATGCAGGTGGCTTAGGACCATTCTTTATGGCAGTCTATGGAGGAGGCTAATCTCCAACAGTAGCCGAATAATGGCTAAAATGATGTTGATGATATTTATAGACAAATTTACCACCTTTAAACGTGAATTGTCAGCTTTATTGCCATTCTGAACTGAAAAGCATAAATTTTACAACTACAAACCAATACCTACTTACAATCGTAATTTATTTGGGTGACAATCAGTGTCTTCTGATGCTATTCTTATGCCTTTGAGTTTCACATTTCCTGTGAAAGGTATATTAAACAAAAGTTCTTCATCTGCATCGCTCTCGACAAACTGAAAAATATAAAAATTATACAAATACATATATCAGCATTTACTTAGTTCACTTTTTATTTACAAGTATAAAACTTTCCATGCCTGGAATATTTTACTAATTATACACTATTTGTAGTCAAATTTACATGTAAAAAATGGATGATGGGGAAAAGGAAGATTTCTCCAGATTCCCCACAAAAGTAATTATGGAAAGAAGTTTTACTTTGTGTATATCAAATTTAAGTTTTTTAAAAATTAACTACTATCAACTTTGGAACTATTTTTTATGAACGGAAAATGGAATTATAACCCCGCCTGCACCATTATACTAGTACGCAATATTATCAATGAGACATAAAAGAATGGATGAAGGATAAGTCATTAACATATTTATTATGAAGGGTGGGCATAACACCTTAAAATTAACTATGTACCCTGTTCCCCATAATCCAATCCTAATCCAGGATCAGGCATCAGACAATTCTGGAATAGGTACTGTCCACCAGGCCCTCACTTAATTGCCTATGATGAAATTAAAGCCCATCATGACAAATTCAGAAATAATTAATCACAACAGTTTCCAGGAACTCATGCAGAGATCAACCTGACACAGTATGTTGCCAGCAATGGGGCTATTATACCACATTACTAACAACCCCTTCCTCCTCACAATAGAAATTAGGGGTTTGTGGAACAATAGGATTATATATACACATAATAAAATACACGCAACACTGGATATAAGGGTAGTCAATTTGCCTTTTCTGTTTCTACACCTCTAGTTTATAAAAAAACACTAATCTGAGCAATTTTTTTATTGCTATCGCTCCCGAGTACCCAGAATGTGTGATATCATCAATAGCTAGTGTCATTTTTATATTCACAATTATTAAGTATTATATATTTAAAGAATGACATGAAAAAAAGCTGGCTGTATGAAATAAGAACTTTCGCCTTCCTCAATAGCGTTAAAACTGTCAGTGGATACCCATAAACAGTATAATTAAATAAAAAATTACGTCAATCCGCGTGTTACTAAACACAATTATCATCTTAAAAAAGATTGAATTTAACAAAATCCTAATAAAATAATCCGCCATTTATTAAATTCATTTGTTACAAAAAATGTGATAAATGAAAAACCATTCGACCGATTTTGTGCAAACTTCACATAAACCATCTACTAAATAGTCCAAACAAAGCCTAAATATTTGGTTTGGATAGGTGAGCCCTTTCTTAAGATATAAAATTACAAGGAAAAGTGGCATTAATTTTTATACATATAGATATTTAAATGTGTTCCTAATTGCAAGTTATTTAAGCAACAAATTATTATGTAAAAATATACAATGGAAATTAAGATGTGTCTTGTTTGTTTAACACCTGACGAGTGGGGGGAAAGGGATTGTTAGTAATGGAGACAGAATCCCATTGCTAACAGTATACCCAACCAGGGTCAACCTCCTCGCGGTTCCCCCTGGAAACTATCATGGTTAATTTCTAATGAATTCATCATGATGGGCTAACTAGCCTGTTTTCATTCTCATCTATCACCCTTCACTGGTGCTCCGCCAGCATATCCCGTTAGTGCAGGCGGCGTTACCACACTGTTTTCAATCATAAAAAAAACTGCTGACGGATATAGTGGGTCGCGACAACCCAGCCAGTTGTTCGACTGGTCTCAGGTACACTATAAAGGGACTATGTATAGCTGTTTTTGCCACCACATTATTTTAGTTTAGACCTTCACAAGACAGAAGGAATTGATTTCATCATTATATTCATCTTAGTTTTCAAACTATATACATCTGAAAATTTTACTCTGGGTCCCAGAGACCCTGAATACCTAGTGCAGTACATTTTGTGAAAGTAAATTTGATTTTTTTTGTGTGTTCTAATTAACATTATTGGTAAATAAAATTTGGATTAATTTCCTCCTTTAACAAATGTAATTGTTTATTATATTAAAAAAATCAATTCTTACTAAATTAGTCAGTAAAAAATGAAATTTTCAAGTTTAATTTCTTTTGAACATGAAATAAATGATGGTACGAATAAAAAACCTTACAGAAACGTCAGCAGATGATTTCAACAATATTTTATTGGATGAGCCTGCCACTGATGAAGATCTGACGAAACATCATCTCCAAAGATGTTACAAATGCCCTTAACTACACTTGCAGATAAAAAAAATATTCAAAGACTGTTAAGTATAGTTGCAGAGAAATACCATATGAAGAAGTGATTGATTTAGAAAAAAAGACAAAGATGCTCATAAATCAAAACAGCATGCAGTGAATGCAAAAAACCCATGTGTAACCAACATTGAAGTACATGATGTGTTGTATGTAGTTCATAAGTTTGTAGACAAATCGTCATAGTCGTAGAATACTGACGGATCTGACGAAGATTACATATAAAGATCCATCACTATTCTAAGACTATGACGAAATAATCTTAAATGGAGAGTTATTTGTTATAATATGATTTTTTTTTTTATATCAGATAATAAAAGTTTTCAAAAAACTAAATTTCTTATGTATTTTTTAAACATTCTTAAACCCTTTTTGTCTATCCATCATTCCTCATAATTTCCTACTTTCATTTTTAAAAATAATTATAGTTTTTGAAGAACTCAATAAAATGACTGATATGTTCTTTCTTTCCACTTTCAGCTTTACAATGATATATAAATTTTTATTTCTAACGTTAATGAATGTAGAGTTATTGAATTTTTAATAGAATCTCGTGAAACGCGTTTGCAAAGCTTTAAAGCCGAATTATACCTATTTAAATTATACACAATAAATACAGATCATTGTATTTGTCAGAGTGTAAACTTTAATTAAAAAATAAAGTTAAAATCGGTCTGATAGAAGCTAAAATATTTAAGGAAAAAGTTGGTTGGGACGCAACGACCCTAAATACTCGTTGTGAGAGTCCTCAAACATGTATACCCGTCAGGGGTTAAAGAAATGTTTTAGTAAAAAAACCTTTACTCGAAACCATACCTACCTCTATCCTATCAAGTCTCCTCTCCCATGACTTAAATACCAATTTTCCAGAACCATCCACAGTTTCGTTTAAACATTCCAAATTTTCTTTATCTATCTTTTCAAATAAATTGTAATGCAAACCAATATCTTCAGAACTTCCATGACCATGTTCATGATCGTGATCTCCATCATGACAATGTCCATGTGACATTCTGTTCGAATAATTGTAGTAAAAATTTAATAGAAATCTTTTTATAAATAAATAATGGTAATAGAATCATCGATGCCTTATAAAAATATTATATGTATTTTGTTTAAATACACAGACCAAGTAATAGATATTATGAGAGTTGGCACCGGCCATGTACATATATATCAACGGAACCAGAAAAAAAAAATTAATTGCATGTTACCTTTTCGAAGTAACAACACAATAAATATTAATAATAAATAATAATAAATAAATAGTCATAATGTTGTGCATACGCCTTCATCTAATATATCGATATCGACAATTGCTATAAAAAAACTAGCTATTACATAATATAAATTTTCAAATATTTCGAAAAACCTAGACAATGAAATAAGTACCTATGTATATTTAGGTTCTTTATTTTACTTTACTACAATTTTTTTATCTAACTTTTTTAACCGGCGAGAAATGCAAATTCTCTTTGACACATGAAACAATATATAGTAGGAAGCATTGTGCCGATTAATCAAGATGGCCATAATTCGCCATAATTAATTTTATTAAAGTGTGTGGTAACATAGTTTCATGGAAAAGTCATTCCAGCAACGATGTTGAAACTATCACAGTTGTTTACTTACACAGAGTAGCTAATCACAAATTAGAGAGACTATGTTTATGAACAAATAATCACTATGCAAAGTCATCACGTTACCTACTTAAATTATATACAATATTGTAGGTAACATTTAGAGCCTTCTAGGAGTACTTGATATAAATCGATACTGCATAAAATATACCGCAATATATCGCGTATGAATATCATCTAAAATCAATTTTTCTTAAGATCCTCGCAGTTCATGACTTCAATGAATTGTTGTTGAGGAAAGCGGATCATTAAAAGTAATGAATTTGTCAAATCCCAGATTTAGCGAAATCTAGTCTTCTTTTGTTTTATTTGTGTAAATATAAATACAACAGTTGACATTAAACATTTGTCAAGTAAATAATTAAATTTAAATAAATATTAATTAATCGTAAATTTGACACACTACAGCTACTTTTTATTTTGGTAAGTATGTATTTTAAATAATTAATCACAATAAACATAAATGAAGTCGGCAAAAATTCTATACTATGGCGTGTGCAATTTGAAAGGTTTGAAATAAAGAAATAAAATCTAAAGCAAAAATATTCATTACTTTTATCTTTATAAAAAAGTCTGCAACACCATATATAAATTTAATATGTCCGCTAAAAAACTGGTTTTTATGTTAAAGGTAAAAAAAAAAATTTAAAGTTCGAATACAGGTTTGACGTCTTCTCTCTCTCTCTCTCTCTCTATCTCTCTCTCTCTCTATCTTTTCATTTAAGAATTTCCTCTTGTCAGTGCAACTAATTTATGCATTTCCTTCCAACCATTTCCATCCCAGGCCATATCTTTGACTTCCCTATACAACATCATACCTAATGTTTCCTTTATCTGTCCCATGTAGTTATACCTTGGTTTTCCATCACTTCCTCTTTTGCCCCTTATTTTTCCTTCAAATATGCTCTTTAAATTCGTTATGTCGTATAAGGCGGCCCATAATTTTGTATCTTCTATTCTTTATTGTTTTTATTAATGTTCTTTTCTCATTCATCTTTTTCAAGACTTTGTCATTCGTTTCTTTTTTCCTTTGTGCCGTTATAGGTTTGCCGTATACTTTACAAATTCTAATAAAAATAAATAGCTAAATCAAATTGTATAATCAAAGAATGTAAATTTCATGGAGATAAAGTTTATTTTTTACAGTATGTTAATTGTTGCAGTTGATGAAAAATAAAAACAATAAGCCGGTAAAATTATTGCGTTACGACTGGTGCTGACCGTGGGAGAATAACAAGTAAAGCGTAAAAGGAACTATATAAATGTAACGCAGATTAAATTGTTAAATAGGCCGTTAATTTTAAAATCTCAGAGAATACTACTTTGACACACGCCAAAATACCAGCATTACTAAAATGTGTTGAACAGTTTAGAAGTTACACAAATATTGTACCCGTGCAAAAAAAGGATCTGAAATATTATTAGATACTAGCTAACCCATCAAACGTTGTTTTGCCACATAAATATTTTTTTTGGATGGCCACGCTAATTACCTAGCAGTATGAAATATACTTTACAACCTATACTTATAGGTGGAAGGGATTGTTAGTAATAAGGAATTTAGTCCTCATTACTATCAATATACCCTATCAGGTCGACCTCCACGCGGTTCCCCTGGAAACTATCGTGATTAATTTATCGTTGAATTCGTCACGATGGGCTAACTAGCCTGCCTTTTCATCCATGCCTATCTCCTCTTACTGGTACCCCGCCAGTGTATATCGATAGCGCAGGCGGGGGTTACCATGCCATTTTCATCCATTAAAAAACCTATTCTTATGGAGAGGGGGAAAGGGATTGTTAGTAATGGGGTCAAATAACCCCATTACTAACAATATATCCTGTCAGGTCAACCTCCACACGGTTCCCCCTGGAAACCATCGTGGTTAATTCTAATTAAATTCGTCAGGATAGGCTAACTGATCTGTTTCATCTTCACTTATAATCCCTTACTGGTGCCCCACCAGTGTATACCGATAACGCAGGAGGGGTCGCCATTCCATTACATCCATTAAAAAAAACCTATACTCATAGGAATTGTTAGTAATGGGGTCTAACCGATCCCATGCTAACAATACACCCTGTCAGGTCGACCTTCACGCGGTTTCGCCTAGAAATCATCGTGGTTATAATAATAATATATTATAATTGTAGTGGAATTCGTTTCTAGATGGGCTAACTGACTTCTTTTCATCGTCACCTATCATTGCTTACTAGTTTCCTGCCAACATATATCGATAGCGCAGGTAGGGTTACCATTTCATTATCACCCATTAAAAAAAAAACCTATTCTCATACATACTAAATATACATAAAAAATTTCATAAAGTGTCGAGCCGTTTCATAAGAAGTCCGACTACAAATTCGATACACATGATTTTTATATATAAAGTATAAAAAGGAATTACAACATAACACTTAATATACTTAGCATAATAAATAAAAGAGCATCTTCAGAGATGTATCTTAAATTTAGGTTGACGTTTCTTATGTAATTAAAAAACTGACAAAACGATTTTAGTTTTCCAAATATCAAGTATTTATTTTTTAATTTTCCAAACACAAATTATCTAAATAAATATTAAATAATATTAAATATTAAATAGTTCATAAACAATTGTCCGTATATCTGTCTAGTAATAATCTGCTAAGTCCTTTGCAATCTGGTTTCCGCCCTGGTCACAGTACAGTCAGTGCTCTTGTCAAAGTCACTGACGACATACGCCGGGCTATGGACAACCACTCCCTCACACTCCTTGTTCTCCTAGACTTTAGCAGTGCCTTTAACTCTGTAGATTATGATATTCTTTTAAATATCCTTTCATCCCTTAACATATCTCCACCTGTAATCAATTGGTTTAACTCTTATCTTCGGGGTCGACTGCAGTGTGTTCGCCATGGTGAGGATACCTCAGATTGGTGTGCGGTTACTGCAGGAGTCCCTCAAGGCGGCGTATTATCTCCTCTTCTTTTCTCTGCATTTATCAATGCTATAACTCATGTAATTTTTTCTTCCTACCATCTCTACGCAGACGATTTGCAATTATATTTTCATTTTAATCTTTGCGACATATCTGAATCAATTGATGATATGAATTTTCAGCTGCTTAAAATATCGGAATGGGCTAGATCCTTTGGGCTTCTAGTTAACCCGCGAAAATCCCAAGCTCTCATTATAGGTAGTCATCGTAATTATAAAATGCTTGATCATGATGCTTTGCCTCCTGTTTACTATGAAAATGAGTTAATTGCATATGCTAAGAAAGCAAAAAACCTAGGTGTTATAATTGATTGCAATTTATCCTGGAATGAACACATTAATGGGGTCAGCAAAAAGCTATGTTTTTCATTTCATTCTTTTAAACGATTGCAAAAATTCTTACCATTTAAGACAAGGCTTACTTTGGCACAAGCTCTACTGTTATCTCTTCTTGATTATGCCGACATATCCTACCTTGATGCAACTGAAGAGCTTTTAAACAAATTAGAGAGATTACAGAATTTGTGTATACGTTTCATATATGGTCTGCGTAAATATGATCATGTCTCCGCTTATAGAACAAAATTGAGTTGGCTGCCAATTCGAAGGCGTCGAGACTTTCATATAATGTCGTTTTTATATTCCGTTCTATATAACCCTACTTTTCCCTCCTATCTTCGTGAACGTTTTGAGTTTCTAGTTCCCCATGACGTGTCCTCCCGTTCGACGAAATCTCTTATCCTCAAACTCCCTTCACACTCATCTACGCGCTATAGTGGATCTTTTACCGTCCATGCTGCTAGATTGTGGAATTCTCTTCCCATATCTATCCGTGAGAGTCAATCCCTAAATATTTTTAAGAGTAGACTTAAAGAGCATCTGCTATCTCTATGAACATATATTTATTTATCTATATGTGTAGGTATATTGTATGTATATGTGTATGTATATGTAGGTTTATGCATAGATGTCGGTATATATTTATGTATATGTATGTGTGTATTTGTACTATATAATATAATCTAATTAATTTAATTTTGGCTATTTAAAAATTGTACACTGCTGTATCCGCTGACATTGATGCTCCTTTCCACTTTGGGTTTGCTGGAAGAAAACTCTATCAGAGTTAAGCTCGCCTTTGTACTTTTGTTTACCTCTGTCATATTTTTATAACTAATGTGTACAATAAAGTATTAAATAAATAAATAAATAATATAAAACTTTACATATATTGTGCAGAGAAATGACTGCTTAATCTATGATTCGCTCAGATCTGTGGTAACATTGTAGTTGTCACTGTCAGTGAATAATTCAATAAATATCTAGGCACCCAGTCCTAATTGCTTTACTTGAAATATTATACTTACCTGTCTATTGTTGATTAAATAATTTTGTGCATCTCAATATCTAATAATTATTTTTTATTTAATCTTTTAGCTATACTTATAACGAGACATTCAGATTTACCTAACAAGAGGTTGGCTAACAATCGGTTAATTATGTCTTTGTCTACTATCGGCATTCATATAGGAATCGTAGCAATTTTTATTACGTGTCTCCTATTATCTGCCGACATTCGTGTACAGGCAAGTGAAAATGAAGCAGACAGCATTACAAAAATCGGACAAGGAGTAGGCCATATTATGAATATTTATTATTGGTAAGTTGCGAGTCAAATAAAAGCACAGCAATAGGTATAGATAGCCAGCTAACCTCTGTCATAGCCATCATATGAAGTGTTTAATATCCTGTTTTAGAGATCTATGATTTTAAACTAATTACATACCATTTTTTTGCTTGTGTGGTTTAAAATAAAATCAAATCCTATGAATAGATCAATAATGTCGTATCTTTGTAACAATTTTCATACAAATCTGTCCAGTAATTTAAGTGATCAAACAAAATTTTCAGTAAACGAAACTGAAGAATTTTATTATGTGAAACTTAATTCCACATAATAAAATTGAAAAACAATATTTTGACAAGATATGTAACTACTTTATACTAAGTAAAATAAAGTTACAATTACTACAACTTACCTCCAGATTTTAAATAACAAAAGTCAAAGATCCAAAGAAAATTATTATTCCTAGACTATCTACCATAATAATAATAACAATAAAATTTTAATTACAGTTATTCCTGTGGATATAGAAAAGTTTTTGAAGATTATGCTGGCATAATACAGCAGAAATATCCAGAAATATCTGTCATAGGTGCAAATTATGACCCACCAGGTTTAAATATGTATTTATCAAGAATTATTGTAAGTGTAAATTTTAATTAGACTATGCTTTAATCTACCTACATATTTCAATATTTTTTTTTCATCATTAATTGTTAAACTGAACAGTTAATTATTAAAACAAATAAATAATGAATGACTTCCAATATGTGGCAAATTAAAATTACCTTAGCATGTCCCTAATATAGTAAGGTAATTTTATATCACTACATCTATTGATTAGTGACCTCCAACATATCTATTTGAGGAAAACCTAAATCATTCTTGGTAATATTTTATTAATATTTTGACCACTTGAGCAGTTGTCATGCTCTTAGTAATTAAGTCAAAGCAACAACTACATATTTCTATGATAATTTTAAAATATTTAATTTAATATAATAAATTTGTAACTAAGTAGTCTGTACATGGGAAATATATATTAAAAATTAATGAGGGATCTTAATAAGACTAATAGAAGCTAAAACAATAATATTTACATATTTTGTCTGTTTGTTTGTTCTGGTATCATGCAAAATCTACTGCACTAAAGTGAATGCAATTTTCACACTTGTATTTTTAAGTTAAAATGTGGTGTATGTTTCATCTTGTTATGCCATCTAGAAACAGTCTACTTCATTGGCTTTCCTACTACTGAAACCATGCACAAGTAGCAGGCAAAACTATTATAAATATTATTATTAATTTCTGAATTACCTCTCCACATGTTTCTACAAAAGGAAGCACAAACATTCCTTATAAAGTAACAAATAATACAAAGTCATTCTATAAAATATTTAATAGAGATAAACATTACACAAGGGCTGCAAGGACAACCTTTCTCAGTTGAATCAAACTGAAGCAATTAAAATGTAAATTAATCAGAATTTAAATTACTAATCACATTTTTGTTACAGGGACTAGGTAAAATGATATTGATTATGTGCATTTTGAGTGGAGTCAACATATTTGCATGGTTAAATAAACCCCAACCCTCATGGTGGAGTTGGTGTTTAGAAAATAAAATATATGCATGCATGATGATGTTCTTCTTGGCAAATATGATAGAAGGCCAGTTAGTGTCGTCTGGAGCATTTGAGATATCACTCAATAATATTCCACTTTGGTCTAAATTGGAAACTGGAAGAATTCCTCAGCCACCAGAATTGTTTCAAATTATAGACAATACTCTGCAATTTTCAAAAATAGATATGCCAAACTCTAACTTTGCACAATAATATGTAAATTTTATTTATTTAATTTTTCAGTATAATGTTACATTAAAACTGTTAGTTATTTTATTATAAACAGGGGCTGTGGTTTACTGTTGGTGAAAATGGAATAAAACATAGGAGATGGATAATATAATAGGTATTTATTGATATCTACTAAGAAGAAAACTGCTGCCACTTGTGAGCTCAATATTTCTGTTCCTAAACAGTTTTAGTGAGACATGAAAAAAGACCATACAAGTATTAAATCAAATCATCAGCTAAATATTCACAAGCTCAACTATAGATTTCTACATTGAAAGATACAGTTCTACATAGGGCCAACCTTTGATTACTTGGCACTTCTAATCTGAAAAGAATAAAAAAAAAAGATCAGTGGGAATTCACAATGTATACTCTTAAAGGCGAATTTGATGTGACCCTTATTCTTAGATCCTCTATTACACCTTAATACCACTTTTGAATTTCGGTGTCTCAAAAGCTGTCCAGAAACTTAATCTGTACTACTATGTGTGTGACTACGAATTGGAGCATTTACAAACTCTGGGCATCATTCACTTGGGTACTATCTACCATATAATAACATAAACTAGCATATGTACTTAAAAATTCCAAATACTGTGAAAGCCTTTTAAATTTCCAATCATCTTTTTTCAATCTGCAATATGTATATGTGACAATACTGACATTTGTGTGGTGTTTTTGCAACAACTGAATTGGCTAGTAGTTACTACTAATATAGAATATAAAATGAGTATGTTGTCTTTTGGCACCTTATGAAATTTGGTATATATGATATTATCTGGAATTTAAAAACTTTAACAAATTCAAGTTAAAAATTTGCTCTTAATATTTTTTAAACTTCTTTATTTCTTCACTGTATTTTCAAATAAATAATATAGTAAAATGTTTCAGTGTTACCCATCTCCTTGTAATTATTGTTTATTGGCAAACATTAAAATTTTAGTTTTTACAGTACAAAATAACTTCATAAAAAAATTATTATTATTATTTACATTGCATACATAATAGAACTAAAGTTCAAAATTTTATTATGACAAAGATGTAATAGAACTAGTTCAGTTATCTAGTCACATCATTGTTAAAATTGTAAAATATTCACAAACTTCTTTTTTATGAACTATTAATTAAAAATTTAGAATACATTATCATTTTTAATTTTTACTTGACACTGTTCAGATATAAGTGAATTGCACTTGAATTGTGAATCTGTCCACATAGCAACAATTTGTTCGTGTCCTATTATAATGAATTAGTTGGCAGTTTTAATATAGTTAGGTATGTGAAAACTTTCTGAGAACTGCATTTTTGAGATTAAAATTCAAATGGGATCTATTTGAACATTGAACAAATAGGCAATGATCTTATTGTTTATTCTTAGCTTGAAAAATAATTACATTAAAATAGGTACATAATAATATATTATTTTAATGTCCCTACATTAGGATATGACGATGACTCAACATTGTATGAAGTACGACTTATCCCATTCATAAGGAAGCAATAGTACTCGGTTGTCGTCTGTTATTATTTGTAAACAGCTATGAAGAGTGTACTGTATAATAATTTATTTTATGATATATAATATTATTGGTGTTATATAGATGGATAGAAATAACAGGTTACACGCTCCATGTTACATAATCATCAGGTCACTAGCAAAAAAATATATACAAAAAATTAAATAATAGCTTGTCATATACGTAGTCTGATATAAACGCAGCTCGTCATATACACAGATTGTCAAAATCGTAGCTTATCATGTACGCAACATTTACGAAGTGTTAACTGTTATGAAATAATATTTGAAGAAACATGTGTTAATATTTAAAAAAAATTGGATGATATTTACACCTATTTTCCTATAAGTAAAAATGAAAACAAAAATAATTGATAGTTTTTACACTACTATTTTTATTGAAAATGTAATAAATTCAAATAGAAGTCATGTGGATTGCAATCCGACATCCTTTCTACGGTTGTTAAAGTAAATGAGTAGCGACTTATGTTTGTGACGTACTGAGTACAGTGACCAAATGCATATGTATGTATTAACAAATCGTCATAGTCGTAGAATACTGACGGATATATATATTTAATATTTGTCAGATCTGTCAGTATTCTACGACTATGACGAAATGTGCACGTGACATGGAGCGTGTTATCTAAAATAACGAAAAGTGTTAATACTGATCAGACTGTTCTGCAATGTCTATTGAAAGTAAATAAAAGATAATGATTTCACTCCATTTCATTTATTTCTCATAGCTTCAATATGATTAAAAATTTGCATTCTATAGGATGTAGTATTGCACATATAAAATATGTTAAGTAATTAATACCATTTAGATAGCATTTATTTCCTTATTTTAACACCACATTCATATTTCGTTTAGCATCGAAATTTAAGTCTAACTTGGTAAATTATTATACACGACTGATATAGTCGTTGATATTACAATATCAAATAATGACCAAATTTATACTACATTTTGTCATATTACGGACACTTTTTTGGTAGGTACTCTACTCTGGTGCACATAACAGTTCTAAGCTTTGACATTACATAGTCAAACAATGAGCAATCAATTTGTAATCTCTTAGTGAAATAATCCATAAAAACCTACTAATCTAAGCAAGTGTTTACTCTTATATTATGATAATTTGTACAAAGTGCTATTTTATCAAAGAATCCACATTATAGTCACTCCATATTATTCTTTAAATTAAATAGATTTCTATAAACTATGGTTCTTTTCACACTACTTAGAATAACAAAAGAGTTGACGGCCCGCCTGAAAGAAATTAGACATAAATTATATATTAGACAGCACCCTTTGGCATCATTCGCTTGTATTACAAATCCTGAGGGCTTTCAGATCACATATCGTCGTCCTATTTTAATTCCATTGCAGTTGATTCCTGGTAATTTTGTCATGACGTACCTGACTTCACCTCACCTATCAATCTTCTCTGGTATCACCAGTGTAGAGGAGAATACCTATTTAATAAACACTTCACTTCATTGACAAATTCACGAGGCTTAGTGAATGGATCATAGTGTCCCGTCAAACTAATGAATGCGGTCGTAAATCGTTGTCATATGGTCCTTGGGGATGAACATGCCATTCAGTGGGATGCGTCGAGTGCGGCGTGGCACATGGGGCAGGAGTGGCGCAGTACGAGTTCGTGCGGCATGGCGCGCGCCCCACACGTGCCACAACGCCACGCGGCCGCGCCGCCCTCACCCACACTCCCCGCCAGGGGGCGCCCTGACACCGCACATCCTGCTACCGTGGCGCCGCATGCCGGACAACTTGTCGACCTGTTGTTATAAAATACTTTACTAGAGCAAACCTTTCCCCTTAAACAAATAGCAAACGAATCCATCAATGGAATCGTTTACGCAAGTGACTCTATGAGTTAGAATTAGACAACGGGCGTTGCTATCATTTAAAAATTGAAATATAATGTGAATAAACTTTTTAATGGTAGATTTATATCCAACGTATTCTATGATTAACATTCTAGTACACTAACAGAGAAGTTTTCAAATAATCAATCGGAAACATTTAAAAATGTTTGTTTTTGAAAATTGTCAGATAATAACAATATTGCCATACTTCGGTAAACAAAAGTACTAACGCTCTTAAAGCTCAAAATAAATATTTATACCGAACTATGTCTAGTTAACGTATGGTAGTAGTAGACTACTACTATCTTAAATCAACTAGCAAATATCTAGTTATATCGAGTCAACCCTAGCCAACGTAGTAGCAATCCTCCTAGGAAAAATTACTATTACCATCTTAACTATATTGTAGTTACTAAAAAATGCTCGCAGCGTATATTATATGGAATCTTTTTTCACCTAAGGAGTTTTTATAAAATGGAACTTTAAAAACAAAGATTACTCACCATTCAGACATGGATGATGTGCAGTTGAGACAATCGATTTTATTTCCCTTTGGGTCTTTAGGTTTACATCTAGTAAATATTTCTATCGCCAAATTCTCAAAATTAAGGGACTGCAACAAATATTGTTTATAATAAATGCACGTGTGAAGAAATGTAATTAATAAAGAAAATATAAAAAAAAAATTACAGTACTTACATCTAAAGCTTCGAGTTTTATAAAGGCTTTTGAGCACAGATTAAAAGCTCGAGCTTGAATAGCTATGGCCGCTATAGTACACCAAGCCTGGAAAAATGGCAAATAAGTATAAAAAGAATGCAGAATGAATGAACTAATGAATGTTTACTATTTAAATATTGGACATCAAATTTTTATATACTGTGTCATTTTTATAAACTGAACTATTTAGATGAACTTTTATACTTACAATAACTATAAAAAAAAGGTTATTAATATTTAAAAAGTTTTAACAATTCACAGGCTCCATATTTATTGTATACTATTAAATATTACATAAAGATAGATATACTGTTATCTTAACTATTAAGGTCATAGATATCTAAGTGTATAGAAATCTATTAATGAAATGAATCTAAAGATACCCCATGCATTTAACATGCGTAACACCAATTAGACCACACATTACACCAATTAGACCAAAGATTCCGAATATACACATCTACCTAGAAATCTAGAAATATGTAGTGCTGTCAAAGTAAAAAAAATAAAAATAATAAATATGTAAGCGTAATCATTGTTGACATTAAACGAACAATGCTACTAAGAAAAAATACCTGTATATGCTGTGCGGGGTGCAGGTCGGGCACGAGCGCGTACAGCCGGGCGGCGGCTCGCAGCGCGGCGTCCGCCCGGCCGCCCGCGTGCGCTCGCGCCGCGCTCAACCATAGCCAGTGTTGCGCAAAACCGCGGCTGTAGCTATTTATTGCTAGCCGATTCTTTGCTCCTTCTGCAAATGAAAAAATATATAATGATAATCCGCATAAACGAAACTATTTGATATAAATATAAACAGCTAATACACGCACCTAAAATATAATATCATACAAACGACGCCCAAACAAATATATACAACAAATATATTTGCGGGGTAAATAATTGCTTGCAACAATTGGAAGATAAGTTTTTTAATGGGAGATAAAGGAACAGTAGCTCCGACTGCGCTATTTATATATAATATTCTCGAGGCACCAGTAAAGATATAGGAGAAGATTAAGTCAGTTCAGTTGGCCTGTAGTGGCGAATTCATGATAGATAATCACGGTTTCCAGAGGGAGCCGCTGGAGCTCAACCTAAATATACCCCATATTGTTAAGAATGAAACCACCTAAAAATATTCATTATTAACAATTCTCTTCGCTTTGAAAATATGTGTAGTACTTAACAGATACGGTAAAGTAATTCCTCACCAAGGTAATAATAATAAATATTCACATAAAGTGTCTACTCTCCTAACTATGGGTTATTCCAAGTTCGACTTATGGAAAAAAAAACAACAATTAATGTCTAAAATCATAAATGTGTCAGTGAACAATAATATATAAAAAAATAAAAACACAACTTTAATTCTAAATATTATAGTCTCCTTATGGAAAGAAAAATTAATTTGTTTCATTATTTTATATCCTCTTCTATATATATTCTGTCTATATCTGTTGCTGCTACTTTAAACGATAATTTAATAATTAACATAATTACCAACAGAATTTTGGCTGTATAAATGGCCTGATAAAATAAAAAGTTTCTTGATTCGTAATGGTGACACCTTTTTGGATGCTTCATCATTAGCCAACTGAAAGATGAAAAAATTATAGTAATTAAATAATTGAAAGATTAAAATAGAAAATCAGGTATGGTGATAAAAAATATTATCATTATATGGATTATCCATTACTTATACGCTACAAGAGATATGATCCTATGTCCATTATACCAAGTATTTCATTCTATCATTATATTAATGTTATTGTATATTATACTATGATATATTCATTTGATATGTTTACCTGGAACGCCATGGCAGCTGCTTGCAACATCCTACCAGTTTCTTTTAATTGTATAATACCTTGAATTGATGGTGTTTGATTTAAACTGTCGCTTATGTCTTCCAATGTGTTTTGTTTAGATAGGCCATCCTACATATAGAAACGAAAGGAATTATTTTCCTTTTTCATTATAAAGTTTTTAAATATTTAATCCAAAATCATAAGTATAAAAACTAGGAAGAAGTGACACTCCCACCAATTGGGCAATTATTAGATTTTATTCGGAAATTATAGCTTCATAATAAGATTTGGTTATTGTACAACATACTCGTACACCTACGCCTTATTTATTACTAATCCTTCCTGCCTACAACTAAGCTATAATTCTAAAATACCTTATATTTAGAAGATCCCGTGTATAACTTAGATAACGATTCATTATCTTCTAATGCCATATAGCACTTTTTTAATCCATCTGTATTGTTTGACATTAAATAATACTCAACCGCACCCGACCTGTAAAATACAAAGAAATTAAGTACCTTTGACAAGAGTTGCCTGCAGTTTACTTTTTGCAATTAGGTAATTAATTAAAAAGTTAAATTGGATATATAAGTGAACTCATAGATTAAATAGCATCTACTACTATTATTTAATAGCAGATGATGATTGATGTAGAACTTTTGGCGTTTAGAGCTCAGTGTGTGGTCTAATATCCCGTTAATCAATGCAGTTCAGCAATCAATAGGGTTTGATTTACTACCCATTTTCCCGTTTATTGTCAATTTAAATGGATGATAGTTCGGAATCAGTAAGCCGTGTTCATAATCGTTTATTACAACCACTTGATTTCCGAAATCTTCCATTTGCTTTAATACTTTAAATTATATGTCTACTCTTTATATCATAACTTGTGAGCAATTATTTATTTAATATTAATATGTATTGAATGTACGGACTCCATGTTTTTATGATTATATATTATGTACCAACTAAATAAATATTTATATATACCAATTCTGCCTATCAATATAGTAATCACCGATGTTGCTATAGCTTTGTTTAATTTGAACCTCCGTCGTACTAGGCGACATCTTCAGTAGTTCTACCACACGAAACCAATGGCCCAAACGTTTACGAAGTGCTATAGCCAGGTCACTGAAAATGTTTAATAATAAAATTAGCATCGGTGTTGGTGTCACAATCACAACACAGCATAGACTTTGATTGACAGAGAATTTACAGGCTACAGAAGAATAACACCTGAGTCCTCAGGAATGCCAACACATGGAGGGTATCATGGGCGAAACAGTATACTCTGTTATATCCATGGTACTGCTCATGTTTATAGACGACGGTTACCGCTTTTCATCAGGTGGCCTCACTTGCCGTCAGATTGTTTTGCATTCTAAGTTGCATAACAAAAATAGACTTTACAAAAGAAAGACTTTGTAGAATAGTCATCTGGTTGGCACCTCTGTCCCACTCGTGTCTCCGCCGTGAAGCAGTGTGCTAGCATGGACGCTTTCATTTGACATTATTACTCGTATATATGGCAGCAAAATTACACGCAAGAATTGTGTCGCATGAATGATATCATGAGCATCATATATATGTACACGATGCTGTTAGTAACTGTAGACGACAGTTACCACCTTTCGTCATTGTTGCTTGCCATTCTAAATGAAAAAATCATTAAAAAGCTGTCTATGTACCAACTTTCATTAAAATTCATTTAGTTATTTAAGTGTAATTGAGTAACTTTAACCTAATGAATAAAAACGTAATCTAAACATCCAAACAGCAATAAACTGTCAGATTTATTATTTAAAGCGAACGATTACAACAACGAGTGTGTTCAAGTCGAAAACGAGAGCTTAAAATCACACATGTTAGGAATCGTACTTTTTTTCAAATTAATCTATATTGCTTTATACTACACCTAAAGTATTGGTTATTTTTTTATAGAAAATTTTAAGTTCTAACCGTCTGTCTTCATTCTGGTATATTTTTTCAGCGCCATCAAAATCTTTAAAGTAAGCAAGTATTTCTGCTTTTTTAAGAGCATTAGAATGCAGTTGATTCAAACGGGATACAAATCTTATTCCGGCATAGTCATTGCGTCTCACAAACGCTGCTTCTGCTGTCTCCAGGGCAGATTCGGACTCGAAATTTTTTAGCGCTGCTTCCGCTAGTAACAACCTGTAATTTGTATTAAACCTAAGAATACATCTGGCAACTAAGCAATATCCAAGGGGGAAGGGGATTTTTAGTAATGAGGTCTAATATCCCCAATTCTAGCAATACATACTATTAAGTCGACCTCCACGCGGTTCCCCCTGGAAATTATCGTTAATTCTAGTGGAATTCATCACGATGGGCTAACGGACTTGCTTTCATCGTCACCTATCACCTCTCTTCGGTGCCCCGCCAGCATATACCGATAGCGCAGAACCCCGTCTGCGCCATTTCATTATCATTAAAAAAGTTATTATTTAAAAAATATAATTATGCAATATCAGATAGTTGCCAGATATTCATTATTATACTAATACGTGTGGCGATTCCCTTGGTACTTTTATTAATGATATATTTCAATTTACTTGACTTTTTTTAGTGGTTTTAAATGCTTTTTTAGATCTAAAACATCGGGGTTAATCAAAAATTAAATAATTATATCGCTAATACTTCTTTTTTATTATGCTCTTGTTTAATGGAATGATGGTCTACACGCTGAGCCAAAAAATCAAATATGAATAAACCATGGACTTTGTCAAACAAGACATTGTTGCCTACTCTTGCGAACCACTTAAAATTATCATTTATTAATTATGTAAAACGAACATTATTACGGAAACCATTAATTTATACTTACCATAACTGTGGATGAGGATTATCCTTTATAAAATTCTCTGCTTCTTTCAAACCAACTTTTTCGATAAGTTGTCGAGTATCTCTTAAAGACTTCACCTCAACTCGCACTATGTGTTGCGGAGTACACTTGTCAGTTACGCTATCTAAAAGTGCTGTTGTTATCTCTAATTCCTAAAACAAACATCAATAATGATCAACATTTAAAAGCTTAATAGATAAATATAATTCATATTAAATTACTTTTCGTACTTATTTACATGCGTGAATTTACAGAGTACAGAGGAATACTACCTGAGTCCTCAGGAATGGCAACGCATGGGGGGTATCATGGTCGAAACAGTATACTCTGTTATGTCCATGGTACTGCTCATGTCTATAGGCGTCCGTTTCCACCAGGTGGGCCGTCAGCTTGTTTGCCATTCTAAGTTGTATAAAAAAAAAACTTATATTAATGTCATAAGTATTACCTATAAATATACAGTGTGAAAGCTACTATCAGGTTGGCCAAAATGAAAACAGCTGATTCAGATGGATGGTCTGAATCAGATGGCAGATTATTTTCCTATTGGAAATTAATCTGCAATTGAAATTGCGAAATGTCCACCTGTGCGAAACCGGAATGGGCCGCTACTTATACATAAAATAGTTTGCTGTTACTGATACATAGTCGCACAACATAAACCACAGGGATTAAAAACTTGAAATTGTAACAGTTGATGCATTTTAATATGAAAATCAGAATGCCATACAACCCTTTATCCTTTGCTTATGCGCAAGCGAAATCGCGGGCAACAGCTAGTTATTGACAGTTATTATTATTATTATTCAAAATGTAAAGAAAACATACGTATAAGTTTATGAGACATTGAAATATCACTTAGTGAACTACTAACACTAAGGGGTTTTGCCTCTAGATACTGAAAATTGAATTACTACAACTAATAACGAATACTGCTAGTTAATACTACTGTACAACTACCAGGACAGAATTCATATTTTAACCGTTAACTGTCCACTGCTGGACATAAGCTTTCCCCATAAGGGGAGTTTTGCCAGTAGTTACCCATGCTTGGCAGTCGGGTTAGCAACCGCAGTTAGGCTTTTAGAGATGTTTAAAGACGGACGCTGCTGGCCATCCCTCGCTCTACCTTAGTCATCTCTTACGACACCCACGGAAAACGTGGCCCATTCTATGCCGAGGCACACACGGCGATTTTCAATATAATTCTAGTTAAAATATTCATATAAGCCATACTTTAAATTTACACAAGTAACCCTGCATAGTGAGCGGTTCTTCAGGCTCGGAATCTCGCAACACATAGAGACGAGCTTTCTCCGCTACCGCCAACATTTGCGGATTATCACTCGCCCACAGCGCGCTCCATACATCTTTACGTAGCGCCTGACCGATGCTTATATTATTTGCCATATCTGTATCCAACAGATACAGCGAGCCAGGTTGATCGATTACATAAAATTTGCTGAAAATTTTACTCAATTTAAACAAAAAAATATTATGGTAAATGTTTTTTATTGAGACTATTAAAATCAGAAAGTAGAAAATAAATTATTTATTTTCTATCCTCTATATATTTTAGGTGCTATCAAAAATGATAAATTACTGGCTTTACTAAAATTAAACCTTAAAAGCCCTTTAATCTAAAAATAAATATTAAAGAAGCATAAAATTATGTACAGAACATTCCATGTAGCACTACTAAATTATATTGGATATGCACATCAATGATGTTGACTACAATTGACATTCAATGTTAAGCAAATGACAGTACTGGGGACGCGTACTCAACGGGTCATGCCAATATCCCTCGTCCTGTTGGTGACGCTAACCGCAAACAGCTTGTATCTAAAATCGAGAGTACTCTTGTACTCATCGACTGAGGTTGATTAAATTTTGTCCAATTCAAATCTACTAAGACACAAGCTTGCTGTTATTAAACCCCCACTTGCTGTAGCTCCGAAATTTCAGAACACATCCGTTACCATCGCCAAAACCCTTGGGATTTTTGAGGACGATATTTTCAGTACAGTCGGAATCTGTAGTCATCTGAAGGATAAGGTGAAGCTGGCGTCCAAAAAGCTCGGAATGCTAAATTAAACAATGAAGTACTACACCCTGGGACAGAGACTGCTATCGGACTCGTGACTTATATAAAGTCACAAGACCGACCCCATATGGAGTACTGTGAACCGAAGCTACTGGATACTAGTCCAGAGTCCAGAGACGTGCTATGAGAATTATCGACGATCCCAGGTTAACGGGTGATATCGACCGTCTTAATTTAGGACTTTGTTCTCTTTGCATCTTCTACCGCCTGAATAACGGATTATGTTCTGAAGTACTTCTCAACATGAAACCTACAGCAAGCAGGTAATCTATCCTTACAACTTAGAATCAAACAAACACTCAGATTGTGGAATGATTTTTCTGCCGAGGCTTTCCCTAGAGACTACAACATGGGGTTCTTCAAAAAGGGCGTATTAAGATTCCTTAAGGGCCGGCAACGCGCGCATGATATCCCTGGAGTAACAAACGTCCATAGGCTATGGTAACCCCGTTTACCATCAGAGAGGCCATATGCCTGTTTACCATCATAGTAGTATAAAAAATAAATTTATTAGCTCATAATAGACTATGAGTTTTGAGATAAACATTTTTAATGCATACCTGGAATTAGAATTGAGCCCTAACTTGTAGGGCTTCGAATTCATATTAATGGCAGTAATTTTTTTAAAATTAATTAATGAAAATAGCGTTATGATTCCCGACTCCCTTCCAACTAGTAGATGGCTATCAGAACATGTAATACAACATATTGTATCATCGTTAAAACCTACATCGCTCGATGTAACAACAGTTCCATCAGCATGATATAATTGCTCTGTACTTCCTGAAAATATAATTTCACAAAAATTTTTATTTGGCTCTGAACTAGTAAAAGCGGCACAATACAAATATTGAACATTCTTATTTATAAGGAAAAATGTTTTTGTCATTGTTTTGCATTCAAGAGTGGCACGGAAGCACATCTTAATACACAGTAATGAACACGTAGGAAAACCTAGGAGGAATACCGTGAATATGATTGTTTATATGATATATGAATAATTTAAGGAAATTCATAAAATTTTACAACATCCTTCTCCCCGCTCGACTCACTCTTTCACTCAACAATAATCACCGTCACGCACTTGTCGCTCATATTCATTTATACACGATGATGACGTGTGATAAAACATTGACATAAATTCTGTTTCAACAGAACTTATTAAAAATATAACCAATTAAAAAAAATATATTGATATTATTCATATAACAAATCTAAATGTTGAATAAAGCCAATTTATTCGTACTTTTATTAGTTCTATTGAAACAGACCACACTAACGTATATTGTGTATACCTATTTTTATATACCTTCAAGTTTATTCAACATGTCCATGAAAATAGAAAGTGACATCACCTAATAACAGGCATTGCTATACTAGTTAACTAACGTATATTGAACAATTTAAATAAAAATAAACAATGTTTTCATAACATTTTGTTATAATAAACGTTAAAATGTTATAAATCTCTTTAAATTCTTACTTGGTCTACTGGGTGTGGAAAATTTCCAAATTAAAAAGGAGTCTTTAGATGCAGCCACAACGATCGCTTTACTGTTGATTGTGACGTATGATACAGGTATAGTTACAGGCTTAGCTGAAATGAATATCATAAAATACATTAAATTAAAACTTAATGAATGAATGAATGTAATGAAATTAGTGAATTAAGATAAATACTAACCGTCACATTGAATACCTTGCTGGTTGGATATTATAAGTGTACTTAGTGTTGCAATTACACAATATTCGCTAACACCGCTCATGTCTATAACATCGGGTATGTGATTGATCCAAGACTGAAATAACAGTAATATATTTGTAGGGTCTGGTATGCTGCCAACTAATTCATTTGCAACAACTGCAAGTAATCCATTTTAATATTTGACTTTTTAATTTATTATTTTTGTGCCATTTGGAGTTTGAGATTAGAAAAAATTCAAAATTATTAGTAAATTTTACTTTTGTTTAAAAAGAGCAATAGTGTGTTGATAAAATGTATGTTTATAATAAATAAATAATGTATATTATATATTTCTAAAGTTGCTATAGACAAATGAAACAAAAGATGCAAAGATACAAATTAATATAAAGAATATGATTTTCAATTCCATTGCTTTCAAAATGTAAATGAAAATCTATTTTCGACGTAAAGAATCTTATCATATATCACTATCAACTAAAATTTTCTAAATAAAAAACAAAAAAACTATAATACATCTATGTTAATATAAAAAAATTGAAGACATGAGCGGATAAAGGTGATTGATATATAGCATTTTTACTATTCTATGGAATGGATGGAGATGTTAGAAGGCGTTACATGCATATCAATATAATTTATACTAACACTCGATTTCTATTTTTTTATGCAACTTAGAATGGCAAACAAGCTGACGGCCCGCCTGATGAAAAGTGGTAACCGTTGCCCGAAGACATGAGCAGTACCATGGACATTACAGAGTACCGTTTCGCCCATGATATCCCCCATGCGTTGGCATTCCTGGGAACTCAGGTTTTATTCCTCTGTACCCTGTAAATTCACGCCATATCCCACCCTTCAAACCGAAATACAGCTATGCAAACACAACTGCTTCATGGTAGAAACACGAATGAAACAGAGGTACCCAAGCAAACATATGTATAGACATAAATCGCAAATAGTGTCGTGTATGGAGTACTGCTCGCATATCTGGGATAGCTCCGCTCTGTACCTCCTACACGCGACTCCCCCCCCCCCCAACCTCCCTACCACGGAATCCTCACTGAGAGCCCCTGCAGATAAACCCGCACACCGCACACCCTGTCCCGCCGGTGGGGACGAAGATCCACCGCGACACACGGTCCGCGCGCAATCAAGTTTGCGTCCGAACGCATCCCTACGACTCCGATTCCCCACCCATCACGACATACCAACCATTTGCCATCCCTAGGCTGGGGGGTCAAAGTGCGGTTGTCTAAACCGAGAACCAAGCCACTCTGTCGCCCTTGGGCGTACGCCGCAGTCCATAAGTAGTGGCTGACGCCTCTATCTCTCCCTTCTTTCGCGGGCTTGGAGTGCCGTCTGCACTCGCCCCTGCATACGCGTTCGGTGAAGCTATAAAGGCCATATGTGGCCAACAGCAAACATAGTTAGAAAAAAAAATAAAGCGGTCAACCCCGGATAGTAAATCAATCTTTTTTCGTTTAATCGTATTAATTGATCGTATTGTGTGTGTGCGTTCAGAATGGTCTGGACAGATGCCGTAGTACAATAAAAAAAAACCCTTCATTTATGCACAGAAAAGTAATAATCCGAAAATGCAACATATCACTTTCATCCATACATGTCTTCAATTTTATGTGTATTTATTTTAAACATACCTGATGAGTATCAGTGTCCCAAAAAGTAACAGTTTCAGTGCCAGACACAAAAGCTAGTGTATTCCCATAGAATGTATATTTGTGGTCTGGTTTAACATTGGCAAAATATATAAACGAATCGATCGCTATTGCCAATCGTAGAGACCGTTTTTCCCAAGAGAGAGCTCGTAATGTACCGCCCGGCACTCGCAGAGTCCTTATGTGCTATTAACATGATAATGTTTAAAACTACATTCCATACGATAATCAATTGTTGTTTTATTGAGAATTAACCTTCACTATTTTACTATATTTCTTAACAACAATAGTAACCACAGATAGGGATAATGAAATGCATTTTTTCAAACGTTCTATAAAGCTGAACGTGAATAGTTAAGTTATAATCAATTCGCACATATTTCGCCGACATATTAAAAAATAACGTAGCAGTATCTACCGTCGTCTCTTTCATAATCGACGGAACAAGCAACTCGCCCATCACCGTATAGTGAAGATAAATCAATATTTTTTTAATGTAGTCCTTTAACATACATATATCTAACGGAAATAAAGGCTTTGAATTATACAACTTAACATTACCTCTCCATAAGCAGTGAAGAACTGAACAACATTGGTTTGGTCAGATGTGCCTGCTGCTGCAAGCACTGTCCCATTATGGTTCCAATGACAATCAATGGCTACCATATTGGTTTCCACAACGACGCTATCTGTAATATTTAAACTATAATGAATAAAAGATCAAAGAATAAATCTATGTTTTCAATGAACATCCCAGGTTTTGTGTTCTCTGCGTACCAAATTTAACCATGGATATAAGTGATTTTTTTTTTTACTTGAAAAAATAATTGCCTTATATGATATGGTATGATGCCTTTATATGATATTATACGCAAGTTGATGTTTTATATTGTATGATTAACGTATGTTACTTTTTTAAAAAGTTGGTTTGCTGTTAAATTCTAGCAAAGTCAAATCTTGAGAAAATAATTCGACTCCTCAAATTTAAATATTCATTTTTAAATAGCATTTATAAATTGTGTTTAAAATTTATTTTATAATATTTTATATTCTTATAAATAAATTTCAGAATTATATAGAGAACTTGGCCTATTTAGATCCCAATTATTTTGTCGGCGAAGTTGACAACTACACATGTTCTTAATATTAAACTTGGCTTCCTTTTACACATTACTTTTTGTAATAAACAAATTATAATTATCCCACATTCAAGTGATCTATAAAATTAATGAACAGGTAACTTCTTCTCTGAACTGAATAAATCTTTCCGATCTCACGCTGCACTCGTCTCGGCGTAAAGACTATTAAGGTCTTCGTGCAATAAGAGAGATGGTGCAAGGTAGTCTTTGACTTATGTGTCAATGGTTGTAACATGCTGCATCTGCAGTCGAGTTTGGTTAAAATTGGCATTAGCGCCGTAGTATGACGCGCGGTATCGCGACTTCCGGGAATTTGGTGGGCGACAGAGGCGGTGGATGGTTTTCCAGTCGTCGCCGACGTCTTCCAGTAGTCAAACCCAACTCTCCTCCTGTGGGACTCGATCTCGTTCTTGATGATGGCTGCGAATCGGTTCAAACTCGTCTTGAGGATGGGGCATCGTGTAGTCTGAGCTGAGATTCTTGCTAATAACAGCCGGGATCCTTAATGATGTTTTCTGGACTGGATCTGGCTGGGCTGCAAATCCCATGGCTCTCTGTATAAAGATAGACAGGTCTTCTGAAAGTTGTTCGACTTCAAACAAGGTTGAAACTGCAATCATTGATGTGTTTCGCTGCATCGAGTCCCTGAACTTACCTCAATCAATCCGGGCTTCGGGATAACTAGGCATACCGGCAGGTGGTCAGAGTAGGTGTTTTTTAAGGGGGCTTCCTGCGTCGGTTAGCTCTTATATAGGATTATGTCCAGTACGTCAAGCGTCTTGATTGGGTCGTAGGGATAGTGAGTTTCCGTGTAGTTCCGACATAGAATACCCCACCCCTTTCTTTCCCGTGAGTGTCGTAAGAAGCGACTAAGAAAGGGCGAGGGATCGGCAGCAGCATCCCTCTTAAAACATTTTCAAAGCCTAACTGTGGTTGCCAATCCGCCTGCTAAGAGTGGCAACTACTGGCAAACCTAACGTTGTATTAAACATGTTGCTCTGTGAATTTAAAATTTATTGAAGTATCCACAGAAGAATTGAGGATATAACTGATTTAAAATTTTATTACCTTCCTCAATACAATTCTTCATCAATAATATTAAACCATTTTTATAGCATATTGCTAATACAGGTCTGTTAATAGGTGCACTTCCAGAAAACCAATCCATTGAAATTACTTCCATTGAACCCGCAATGCCATTGCATGCTACTGGCATCTAAAATATTAAATTATTTAGAGCGTTATTATTATTATATGCTTGAAGTGAGAGGCCTTACTTGCCTTACTTTGAAGTTAAGGATATATGTGAGTACAGTAAAAATTTTACAATCAATTTTGTTAATGTTGTTTCTGAATATTATGACTGTATTATTTTAGTAATTGTAAAAAGAACATTTGCACACCTATGTAATGGTAAATATTGCTGAACAATTGTAATTAATTTTAAAGTTTGGTACTGGCAATCACCAATATTTAGTAAAAAAAAATAATTCATACATACTTACTTACATACATACATTCATACTTCTCGTTTAACAAAACTGTTTGAATTTCGAATGATATATTTTTTTTTTGAAACATGAAACCTTAATAAAATTAGCGATAAAAGTAAAATATTTTTTATCACACACTACGCACTAAGAGTTAATAATTAACGTGAAAGTATTTCAGAGCAAAAGCAAGGCGCATAGGCGTATTGAAGGGGAGAGCGGGTGCGGTCATGCCTATCTATGTATCATCTTGTGCGCACCCTAGGATAGAGAGCTTTCAGCTACGGGCAGACATGTCTAAGAGGGCACATGCGTCTATTAGTCTAGGGTCAAAGAGAGATGACCAAGAAGCATATACGTGTTTAGAGAAGGGCCGTGTGGACTGCGTCTACCCCAACTCATCTGTTACCTTAGGAACCCCAGTATGGAAGCTTCGCATAAACATGTTTGAGAGTACATATACGTATTTTTTTAAGAGACTAGATAAATTTTAATGCTATTGTGTTATTTTTTTTATGGGTGGGAATGAAATGGTAACCCTGCTTGTGCTATCAGTGCATGCTGGCGGGGCACCAATGAAAGATGATAGGTAAGAATGAAAGTAAGCAGTTGGCCCCTCGTGATGAATTTAATAAAAATTAATCACGATGATTTCCAGGGAGAACCGCTTATTGTTTAGTGTTAGTGATGCGGTATAATTGTTTCATTACTAGCAATATATTCTGTCAGATTAATCTCCTATCAATCCTTCCTGGAAACTATCATTGTTAATTTCTGGATGTAATAATGTGCCAACTTACCTTACTTTTCTCACTTATCATCCTTCACATGTATCTATTAAATATATCAGTTATTAATATTATCGTGATTAAAATCTATTTGCCGTCTGTAATACTTCCTTCAAATTATTTAAATAATTTCTATCTATTCATATATAAGAAATCCTCTTGGCATTAAATATACAGAATGCATTTTTCAACTGAATAAATGACTGCTTCGGAAACTATATACAAGTAGGGAAAAATAGAGAAATTTTAGAGCCAATTACATTTAAAAGTATTAGATTAACAATAATTTTCATAACTAGTATCAAATTTGTTGATTTTGAAAAAAGAAACGAAATCACTTGAAAAATGTCTCTCTGTATAGATAAATCTTAGATCATAAGATAAATATATTATCAAACATTATTATTACAAACATTGTAAATATTAGAATAAACCTACAGTAAAATTTCCTTGATCATCATACAAATGAAGCTCCCCATTTGTTAGTGCAAACAGAAGTAATGAATTGTCTGGAGACCACTGTACGGCAGCTAGACCAGGCCCTTTGATGTCCTTACCCCATACTCTGGAGCCATCCACAGATCCCACAATAACAGCTCCTTAAAATTATGATTAGTATATAGTAATTTCAGTAAAATTATTGTCATTTTTAGAGTTCTGCAGCCAAACAAACAAAACTATTTTTTTTTTATTGGATTGCAGTGAGCCGATTCTATGAAACAATTCTCCAAACCAAAAATAATTTATGATGGTCCATAAAATAGTACTTAAGTGAAACTAAAAATTAAAATATTAAAGATAGTTTTAAAGAATGATGCCTCAGATTCGACTCCAGTGTCTGCATATAAGTTACAATATCATAACTATTTTTGAGTATTTTTAGGAGATAAATAATGGTAATGACTGCCTGCGCTATCAATATACCTCGGTGGGATACCAATGAGGGGTGATAAGTGAAATAAGAATTAAAGCAGAGCAGTTAGCTTATCGTGACGAATCCCACAACAACTAACATAGATGGTTTCCAGTATGAACTACATAGAGGTCGACCTGATAGGGAATATTGCTAGCAATGGGACTATAATACCCCATTACCAACAATCTCTTCTTCCCACTATTTTTGAGTTATACTAATATAAAACTTAACAAAAAGTTATAGAAAATTTGAAATGAAAACTTTCAATATTAATATGAGAAATATGTCTCGTAGGAGGAAGAAAGGATTGTTAGAAATGAAAAATAGCAATCTAATTGCTAGCAATAAACCCTATTAGGTCGACTTCTAAATAGTTACCCTGAAAATTATCGTGATTAATTTATTGTTGAATTCGGCACGATGTGGCCCATAGTGACTGATCTGCTTCCATTCTTACCTGTCATCTCCTACTTATGCCCCACTAGCGTATACCGATTACCCTTTCTATTATTAAAAAAAAAATGCTGCATAAGGGACAAGTCAAAATTACCATACCTTAACAACTCATTAACATTGCTGAGAATGACGCTCTCCCTATCAGAGAAGAATAAAGCCTACTATTATCTACGATAATGATAAATGTATTTTCTTTGGACCAAGGCATTTGATGTTCTGTTAATTCTGCCTACTACAAAGGTATGACTGTACATAATAATATTAAAAATAAAACTAAATATATTGCTAAATAAAAATGTGTTCTTTACCGTCTTCATATGCAATGCAGATCTTCTGGCCATCAGAACCCCAGGCCATGCCTGTTACTGTTGATTTATTTCTGTTGTTTATCATTTCTTCATACCATGAACCCTGAAAATGCACATAAGTTATCACTAGCTATCTATGCCAATATATACAGGAAAGATTTTATCGTTTGTTTGTAATAGATAAACTTAAGAACTACTCAAATGATTTAAAAATTTTTTCACCAATAGCTACATTATCACTAATATGGACTATATATATGGGGTATATATTATATATTATTTTTAAAATGCAATCTACCCTTGCGAAATCAGGCCTAATTGCTAATAATATATGAATAGTAGCTAACACCCCTATGTATGTATTATATAAGTTCTATAGCAGCTATAAAATAGCTTATATTTTGTATGTAAATGATATAGTTGTCCACTTCGCTTTACCATAATAAAAATATAACAGCGCATATAAAGACCGACAACGAACAAGCAACTCCTCTCGTGTTGCAGGTGTTCATAGGCGACGGTAGCTACTTTCGATCAGGTGGACCGTCTGCTCGTTTGCCTCCTTAACAATATAAAAAACTGTTATTAGCTTTTTGTCTTTTACATAACTAAACTAAGCTTGAGTGACTTCAAAATATTTACATGCGGTTTTTATTTTATCTTTACAAATTTGATCTTGATCAACTCAAGTGACTTCCAATTCGCCTTCGCAGGAACTGGCATATCCTATCTCTTTTTAACACTATTCTTTTTCGTCCTTCAACACCGGTTTATTTTATGTTAATTCTCAGGGTCATACATTGAGTAGCGCGAAATCCTTTTGTTTAATAACCCTCACTGTTTCTTCTAAATTCTACTCCTGCTCTTTTACTGTCCAAGCCATTTGTCTTTAGAACTCTTTACTTATTTCTATTAGATTAAAATAATCTCATGCCTCGTTCAAGAGACAAATAAATGGTCTTTACGTCTCTCTCTAATCTGTCTCGACTTTTTTTACGTGTTATTTACCTTGATTTATTTAGTACATTTATATTTTTATGTTAATGTATTGTTATATTTAGATATATATCATATGTATATTTTTACCAGAGGGAGACTTTGTACAAAAGTCGATTGCTTGGGTACCTCTCGTCCATTCGTGTTTCAACCGTGAAGCAGTTGTGTTTACATGGCTGTGTTTCGGTTTGAAGGGTGAGATATGGCGTGAATTTACAGGGTACAGAGGAATAACATCTGAGTCCTCAGGAATGGCAACGCATGGGGGGTATCATGGGCAAAACAGTATACTCTGTTATGTCCATGGTACGGCTCATGTCTATATTGCTAAGCTTGTTTGCCATTCTAAGTTGTATAAAAAAAATATATAGTTATCTTTTTATATAAATGATATTTGCTTACTTTTATTTCTGTATTTCTGGCAGTTAGTCTGTACAAGAAGAAGGGCGCCTTTTATATTTGCACATTCTGCATCAATATTCTTTGTATATCATTTCTTTTGTTCGCAATATTATTATTACTATATTATAATCTAAGACATAAATAATTTAAAATAATACACAGTGGTATGTACAAATGAGTTTCTACCATAAATGCATTAAAATAGTTATTAATGTCGTATACACCTATTATAACACCAAATGCAGTTTAATATATAGACATTTTTTTTTTTTTTTTTTACAACACAGGGGGCAAACGAGCATGCGGCTCACCTGATGGTAAGTGACTACCGCCGCCCATGATCACCCACAACACCAGCGGCATTGCAGGTGTGCTGCCGGCCTTTTAAAAAGGAATATACTCTTTTCTTGAAGGTTATGTTGTCGTATCGAAATTGAATTTGATATATATTTATAAGAATTGTGTTTTCAATCGACAAGCAGTAGTATATATATATATATATATATAGCATATGTTTTATTGACTATAAATATATCTATATTAGATAAATTTCTTATGCCAATAGCTACCATTTTCTTACTTTTCTCTTCTATCCAGAGGTTGTCTAGTAGAGATTGCTTTAGCGATGAGACCGCCTTTTATACTTCTTTTTTTTTAAATTCGCTTTAAGTTTTAAGTTGAGCGCGCTTATCCCCGGATTTCAAATTCCAGGTTGTATAGCCTTTTATATTTTACAAGTAATACAAGGTGTCCTCAAAGAAAGTTTACATTTGTTTAGCCGACTGTATGAACGCATCGAATGTGAGAGGAGCGGAGGATACGCCAGTAGGTAGCCTAGCTCTTGGGAATTCAGTCGCTATGGCATGATATGATATGTATTTTGCTTGGCAACAGTAATTATTTACGTTTAACAACATTTTGTTTTCGAATGAACTTCATTTTCACCTTAACGAGAACGTAAATAAGTAAAACTGCCATCACTGGAGTGCAACGAATCCGAAACACAAGCACGAGAAGACACTTAATTTACTCATACCAGAAGTGACTGTATAGGCTGCGGTGTAGGCGCGAGGAGTTATTGGTCCTTACTTTTTTTAAGGATGCAAGACGAGGTGCAGTTACAGTAAATTTAGAGTGTTATGTGAAAATGTTAAATAATTTCTTCGTGCCAGTACTACAAAACTTTACTTGTTATAACCAAAAAATATGGTTCCAGCTAGATGGAGTAACCTCACATAGGTTCAATAGGTCTCAGTCAAGAATATGTGATATTTTCCTTGGCAAATCTCCATGAGAGATTTAACTACTATGGACTCTTTCCTGTGAAGTTATCTCAAGTCCAAAGTTTATAACAATACAATACTTCACTGGCAGATTAAATAGAAAATATTCGCTATGAAAGAATTATTTATTGGTCATGTGGTATCAGCATAGAATAGGCCACCCCTTACTTTCCCGTGGGTGTCGTAAGAGGTACCTGAAGGTGAGGGATGAGCAGCGGCCAAACACGGCAACTGCTGGCAAAAACTCCTTATATATATATAAAAATTTTTTCACATGCATATATATTTATAGCAGTTTGCCCAATGTTATCATTTTACCTTGTACAACATCCAGACTATGATGACACCATGCTCGTCACTTGTGGTTAATTTTTGAAATACTTCATTCCATATAGCAACACACAGTTTACCAGTATGACCCTCTAAGCTGAGATTCATAGAGAGGTTTCCACCTCCTCCTTTAAAAATAATACAATAACACCTAATTAAAACAAAGGCAATGAATGACGAAATTTTAATACAACTCATTTCAATTTCTTAAATAATTTCAAGCATACACAATTCTATATATATAGAAACAGGATCATAGTAAAAGGATCCATCAACATAGGTTGAAAAGTAGTGACCTTAACAATATTTTCATAAGAGCGGGTGTAAAGTTTGTAAAAAAATATTGTTGGATAAAATTAAATATCAACCGCACCTGCACTATCCACATACACTTCTGAGACAATACTGATCAGTGATAGGTAAAAAAAAATTAGAGGTAGAATTAAATAATAGATAAGGGATAAATTAATTATGATGGGCCAACTAGGCCAATATTAATTAATTTACCAAGAATTCATCACAATAGTTTCCACATGGAGATCAACCTGGTAAAATGTATTGCTAGCAATACCATTCTATTTTCACTCATTAAAAAATTTGGTAATTTTATTACCATTAATTTTTATATAGCTTTTAATATATTAAAAACATAAATCATCTTACCAGATTCTAATTTCAAAACTTTTAACATTCCATCTTCTCCGCCAACAGCAATGTATCCAGAAGAATGATTCCAAGATATGCATGTAACATTTGATTGTTTCGGAATGGCTATCTGATAAATATAAATAAAACAATAAATAAATTTAGTAGAGAAATTATTATCTCATGTACTATTAATTTTATTGTCTTCTAACTGTATCAAAATATGGTTACTAAATGTTTACAGATTATAAAATTTATAATAGGTATTTAGTTATAAAACATGAAATGGTCAGTTACAGAGACCTATGTTAAATGATGAATAATAATTTGCCATGTGGAGCCACAACTTCCTTTCCCGTGGGTATCGTAGGAGGCCACTATGGAAATTTAATGGTTGAGGGATGGACAGCAGTATCGCTCTTAAAACTACAGAATCACCAAATCTTAACTGCAGTTGCCAACCAGTCTGCCAATAATAGCCACTACTAGTAATCCCCTTATGATGGAGGCCTATGTTCAGCAGTAGACAGTAAACGATTGATGTGATTGTGAAGAGGGACTGTAAAATTTAATTATACATAGTCTAATGCAGAGTCTATAAATATGTGAAACAGCAATCATTTTGGTCAATTTTACAAAAACACATCTAATAAATATTTGAAGGTTCTACCTTTTTGCTCATATAAATAAACATTTTGTTATTAAACTGTTACTTTTCGTTGTAAACATAAGATATGAGTTTATTTATAAACTGTAATTAATAACTATAATAATCAAGCATCAATACGATCTCTTGGAAATAATTTAGCAAGAGCTATAAATAAAAAAAAAAAATTCATAGAAAAACAGTTACTAAGGCAACGAAATGCATAACAAGATATTCAAACATTTGAGTATTACTAGATATCAAAACTAAAACTCGCCAGTCGAAAGAGAAATGTCAAAAGTCAATTAAAACTTTTTGAAGTTGAAATTAAAACAAAAGGTAAAGGCGGGTTTGCCAGATGTGATTTTTGATTTTTACCCAAATGTCAAATATTTTTCTTCATATCCATAAAATTCCCTTTCCTTTCTAGCCAATCCCAAACTTGTATCGATTTTTAGTACATTTTGCTATTCATCATAAAGCAAACGAGGAAAAAAGAATACTAAAATACCCCGCTTCTAATTGTTTATACTTTCTTGACTTCTTGCTTTATCCTCTACTGTTTCGCTACCTTGATACCTTCATATTTTATATATTGTTACATGGATTACAGGCATCATAACTCCCAAAAAAGTTACCCAAATTTCTTCCAGCGTACTTTTTTTATACCGCCGTAGTAAACAAGCATACACCCCGTCTGATGGTAAACGGTTATTGTTACCTATGGCCGACTGCAACAATAGAAGTGTCACATGTGCGTTGCTGAGTCTGAAGAAACCTTAATATACCGTCTTTGCAAAACCCAAAATACAAGCCTCTAGGGAAAACCTCGGCAAGGAGCTCCACTATAAAATTTGGTATATGTTTTATCTTGATATGCGTTCTATAACCGCAATATTTTATTGGTTTTCCTATTTCTAAAAATCAAAAAACTATTTTTATATAAAAATAATAGGACTTAATTTCAGTGTCTTCAAAATTTATCCCCTAATTGTGGTAATTAAAGGATGAAAAATATTGTAAAATACACTTTTCTATATTCATTAAAGAATAAAACTAAGAAAATAGTCATAAAATCAAAGTAAAATATTTAATCAACTACTTTCTTAACTGAAACAAAAATTTTATTGAAATACCGTGTTTTATGGTGTTATCCGAATATTACACGATCCATTAATTTCGTTTAATGAAATCATATTTATATACTTATCATCATATACATTTTTGTTCTCACAACAAAAATTATAGTACACAGGTAGATGGGCATTATCCTAACACATAGATACTATACTTTATATACCAATTGACGCGAACAAAACTTCAAGATACAACGATACGGTGCATCAACCGTTCGAACGAAAAATCAAAATGTTTACTAATAAGCTAATAACATTTTGCCCAAAATTTTATTAGTAAAATTAATAGTATTTAAAATCCACCGTACCGTTTATTATTATCATAAAGTAGTTATAAGAAAATACAATTATAACATACTCATTCGTAAAATGTTAAAAAAAAAAACTTTTATAAAAAAAATACCTCAGATAAAAGAAAACATTTAAAACTTCTGTACGAATGTTTATAACCGGAATAAATAAACGAAAAATTAAAGTCCATTTCACTCTTTATTATATTTTTATCTTCCTTTACTAGAATAAAACTATTATTACGATATTATATAATTAACCATATTTAAAGTAATTATATAAGTTTATTATAAGTACCACACAATCAGATCAATCGTCTGGTTTTCAACCTATAATATCCTGCGCCATGAGGAATCAGTAACTGAACATCTGGGAGCACAACGCAAAACACCCAGACCTGAGCCAATTCAGGAAAGTTCGTCTTCAAATTGGCTCAACTGGGAATTAAACCTGGGACCTCATTCAAGCAAAGCAATGTACCCAGCTTATCATTACGCTACGGAAACAATTAATATCAATACATATGAATAAGATAATAATTGTAAAAATGTTTATCATATAAATTATATTATACCTATGTAATATTATTATCTGATAGAAAAAAAAAAAACTATGAATACTGTACTGTTGTATTTTTAATATATAGCTTTTTAAATAACAATCAGTAAGACCAAGATTACAATTGAGTAGATTATTTTCTGAGAGATCTTTAGTGTCAGAATACGTAGATGAAATCATTATTTTATACCCAGGAAACGGAGTTTTTAATACTAGAGAACTGTCAAAGGTATATAAATACTTTAATGGTTTTTATATCAGACTTAGTATATGTTACATTTATATATAAATATGTTGTATTTTCATATTGTGTTTCAACATTATACACAAGTTAGTTTTTACAATTTATATATCGTATCTACGTGTGGGAAATATGTCAATGTTTAAGTTGTTAACTTTTATGTAATTTCTGATATGTTCTCGGTCACTATCGGTCAACAAAGTCCAGCTCTCTAGCTCTACTAATATTTCTAAATTCATGCAACTTTGAATAAATCGTTCCACAGATGTCATTGTTAAGAAATCCGACTGCATTATTCTTAATTCTTTTAGATAAATAAGTGGATTTTTATCCAAAATCTTAAAAATCAATTCATCTGTGAACTGAACAGCTGTTCCAGTGTGAATAAATTCAACATTTAAACAGTTTGTAAATATGAATAACAGTTGCTCATCTGTACATTTTGATACACAAGTTATTTTTTTTAAATTTCGGTATGGTAATATTTCCAATTTTTTCGTATATAACGATGTATGCTGTATAAGCGTGCAATTGTATAAAGTTAAGCTTTCCAATAAAGGGCACATTTGACTGATATACATTAATGCATTTAAATCTATTTGATCCACATGTTCAAGATGTAAATTTGTTATATTGCACCCTTTCACTTGCAAAACTTGCTTGACTTGATCGGCATAAAAATCACAAGATAACAATTTTAAATCCCTTAAATCTTTGAGACCTACTAATGCCATGAGGTCACTTTGCAACGTATTATGAAATACGGTCAAATAACGAATGTAAGGACACATCTCTACTGCTAATTGTAAATGTTGCATAGTTGCATAGCGACTCACATAAATTTTCAAATTGAATGGCTTTGCTGTGGAATTGGTTAAATCAATAAATTCTAATATTCGACCAATATCATCACATCTGCCGATATCTTCTAAAGTCTTACATTTTAAAAGTAACTTTGTAAATCCTTCTTTTGAAACAAAAGTTCTGTATAATTGTATACTTCTCAGATTTTTTAATTTTAATATTATGTCAATACTTTCATTTGTTATACATTTAGAACAAGAAACATCCAACTTCTCAATGAGATTACAGTTATCAACGATACATTTTAATATATTGTCAGTGCAATCGTAATTTATGAATAAATATTTCAAACAGTGTAATTCTTTAAGGGATTGAATAACGCCTTCCTCCATATCGGCTGTCTTCCATCCACCTGAAAGGGATCCAAGGTTTAGATAAACAAGGCCTTTCAGCATTGATAGCTTTGAATAAAACACAGAACGTAACATTTTAGGTATTGTATCGACGCAAACACGGGTTAAATTTTTAGTGAACAGTACTTCTGTCATCTTTACTATAACATTCATTTGTGTAACAAATTTTCCCATAGACGCTCGAAAACCCAAGGATTGTTTCGTTTCTTCCAGTAGATCTGATAAAGCTCTTATAACTTCATGTGATAACAAATCATGAATCATCCATGGCACGTTATAATTCAAAAAGTCGCGTATATAATTTACATTTTCTGTTAGTGCTATATGTGCTCCGTTAATATCTTTTTGAGCTAATGATGCGATTGGTTTCATGTGAATTTGTGCTTGTAATGCTACCCAGTCTCCCAATTTTATCAACGCTAACTTTTGGAGATTTCGTGGTTGCTTGTATCTTGACATTATTTATCTGTAAAAGAAAAGAAATTAATATAACATTTAAATATTAATTAGCTTGTAATTATTATTAGATTTTTTTATTATCCCACTACAAGGTCATTCAAGAAGAATGTATAAGATTCTCACTCGATAGTTATGAAGTTACATTAAAAAATTTAAAAATTCTTACAACATAACTCATAACAATAATATAAACGTACACAATTTCATAATCATTTGTAAATAGCATGTAATTTTCAGCCTGGTATGCTTTAAATATCTATAATAACACACTGTATGATACCGATATTGAATGTGCCACCACCTTCTTTCCCGTGCGTGTCGTAAGAGGCTATTAAGGGTACTCAAAGGTCGAGAGAGGGGGGAAAGGATTGTTATCAATGGGGAGGTGAACCCCCATTGATGTCAATATATCCTATCAGGTCGACCTCCATGCGGTTCCCCCTGGAAACCATCGTGACTAATTTATCGTTGAATTTGTCAAGATGGGCTTACTAACCTGCCTTTTCATCCTCACCGATCATCTCTCACTAGTACCCCGCCAGCGTATACCGTTAACGCAGACGGGGTTACCATTCCATTATCATCCATTAAAAAAATGGTCGAGGGATCGTCAGCAGCGTCCCTCATTAACATAACCAAAACATAACTGCAGTTGCCAATCCACCCGCTAAGCGTGGCAACAATTGGCAAAACCCTCCTTATGATCGAGGCCTATGTTGAGCAATGGACAGTTAACGGCTAATAAGGTATTATATATTAAGGTTTATGAATATCATAGATAACCTGGTAATATTAAGAATAAAAAAAAATGCATTTAAAAATGCAGATTTTCATTCTGCGTCCGTTCAAACTTTTTATAATTACTCCTCTCATCCAAAGGTTGTCTGGGAGTGACGCGTTTAGCTATAAGACCGGTCATTGTTTTCTCACTGAGATCAATTCTTGTAATTGTTTATGTCACTGTTATACCACTGAGATAAAGTGTAAAAATAACAGTAAAATAATTTGTAAAATAAATTGTAAATTCTTTGTTTGCTAGATTGAAAATGCGTAATACTGCTTTATAAGTATTTCTCTTATACTTGTTTTTATAATTCTTTCATGAAATTTTGCTTTAATTTACATAAATTGCTAAAGAATAACAATTTTTTGTTTGTTTTCATACTGTTTTCAATGAACATGCTAGATATATCTGTCATGAGTCGAAATGTTGTACTGTATACAAATTATAAGCTCTTTGTTTAACTATAATATATTAAGAATGTGTGCGAATTTTTTAACTATGTGCAAAGATATATTTGAGATTAGAGAATATTTCATTTCTGATACTTTTGAGTGACAGACTCAGAATAACTATAATTATTATTCTGTCTTTATTGTAAATAAAGTATTAGCGGCATTTTATATAAATACTTACAACTCTATGATTGCTGAATTTAAAAGTATTAGAACCGTAAACTAATAAGAGCATTAGCAATATTTCGGTACTTTTACTTTTGTAAGTCAAGTAAACTGATATATGAAACTCAAAATAATGTTGTTATTATAAAAATATAGATCTATAAATATAAGTGAAAGTGTTGTTTGTTAAGAAATACGATACCACTGTAATTATTGTTGTTGCACTATCGGTTTCACAACTTTTGTTTATTTAAAAAATACATTTATGTTACTGCACAATTTATAATACTTACAAATTACGAATCAAATAAACACAAAATAAACTTTTACTACAGTCAAAAGCAGAAATCAAATGGAATCATAACACAAGAGCTGCTAGGTTCAGTACATATTTATAGAAAGTGTATTTTTAGTATTGCGACGTAACTATTCAGAACTGTTTACGTTACACCATAGGTGTAGAAACAGAATATATATTAAATAAAATATTATTAGAAACTATATAACGCCACTGCAATTTACAAACAAGACCAATCTTGATATACTTACAATTGCCAAAGACAGGAGCAGTGGAAAGTAATATATTTCTTAGACAGAAGAGAAAATAATATTTTTGCATGTAAATTATGTAAAGTAAATAAGTACGTCCAAATCTCGATGTATCTGTGCAACATGAACTTACCTAGCCTAGACAATCTTAAGCCATTTTAAAGATTTTTTTTTTTAAACTTAAGACTGTCGATCCCTGTCTTTCGTTATCAGCCTGATTCGGTAATTTAATCGGAAACCTGATGCAAAAACTTAGTAAATACGATCAGGCTTAAAGTAAACAAATTACCAAAATAGATTAAAATAATGTAAGTGTTATTCGCATATATAAACCTAATAGAAGTAGACATACGATGTCGATAGTCAACGCCTTACTGTCCGACTTGACCCACTGAAACTGCGCAGAGATGTTGCATCTCTGTGCATCTTCTACCGAATTTATCATGGGGAGTGTTCTGAGGAATTGTTCGGATTGATACCTGCTGCTGATTTTCACCACCGTACAACCCGCCCGAGTGGCGGTCTTCCACCGTGCGTTTTTCAAGGCACTTTCTTCCACGCACAACCATTCTTTGGAATCAACTTCCAGCAGCAGTATTTCCGAACCGATACGACAACATAACCTTCAAGAAAAGAGTATATTCCTTTTTAAAAGGCCGGCAGCACACCTGCAATTCCGCTGGTGTTGTGGGTGATCATGGGCGGCGGTAGTCACTTACCATCAGGTGAGCCGCATGCTCGTTTGCCCCCTGTGTTGTAAAAAAAAAAAAAAAAAAGACATGGGTAACACTGCGCTAAACCGCACAATTGCACCATAGCGCCTACATACTTCACTGGTGGAAAAAGGAATTGTTAGTAATGAGGATTAGAAACTCTGTTACCCTATCAGGTCGACCTCCTCGCGGTTCTTACTGGAAACTATTGTGGATGATCCATTGGTGAATTTGTTACGATTGACTGATTAACCTGCTTCATCTTCACTTATCATCCCTCATTGATACCCCGCCCATGTATACTAATAGCGTAGGCAGGGTTTTTTTAATGGATGATAATGAAATGGCCACTCCGCCTGCGTTAACGGTATACGCCAGCGGGACACCAGTGAGGACTGATAGGTGATAATGAAAGCAGGTCAGTTAGCCCATCCTGACTAATTGCACTAGAATTAACCACGATGGTTTCCAGGACGAACCACGTGGAGGTCGACCTGATAGTGTGTATTGCTAGCAATGGGTCAGTTCGACCCCATTACTAATAATTCCTTTTCCCCCCAACACGCAGGCGGGGTTACTATTCCATTGTCATCCATTAAAAAAACATACTTCACTGTGCATGATGTGTGAACTTATTTTTTCAAAATGAGTTGGAGCACAGCGGGAAAATGGGGAAAAGTGAAATGGACTTTGGGCATGGAGAAATGTGGGTAATTATTTGTAAACTAAGGGCCTACCATGAAATATTTTCTGAAATTCCAAACAAAAATTTCATTTTGAAATTACATAATACATACCGTTTAAAAATGTTGAAATATCGTTCCTTTGAACTTTTATACTGAATTTATGCAGAACGAAATATTAAGCTTATACTGAGCCGATTTCGGTATGAACGAGAACACGACTCTGAAAATTCAGAATTTCGTTTCATGGTAAACCGTTTGTATAGACGGTATATACTGTGGTATATAAATGTACACAAACATAATAATGAACACTAAGCATGAGAGACTAAAAGGCCCGCCAAAACTTACATATCTACATACATACACTAATACAAATACAGGAACGAAGTTATGGTACATGATAACATTAATAAGCAAATTTTTTTAAGAGCGTTCATAACTTTATTTTGAAGAAATGTGACAACTTCGCAAATAAAAAAAAAAAACTACGAACTAAAACGTTAATAATGTACCAAGTTTAATAACTTCACTTCATAATAATATCATTGAAAATTTGATATTAATATATAATGATAGCAAAAAAGTATTTAAAAAACTTCAAAGCTGAAAATGTTGGTACATTGTTTTAATGATAATTTTATATGCAACGAATTCTAGGATTAGGTTCATAGGCAGAACACTTTTTAAATAATCAACGAAAATTTTCGACAATTCTTCAATTGTTTCTGAAAATTGAAAGAAAATAACAATACTAAACAAACTGACTTAATTTTAACCTCCGAAAAGGGGAGATTATTAATAATGGGGATTAATAGCTCAATTGTTACAAATATAGGGCATGTCGGGCTGACTTCGACTTGGTCCCAAGTGACTTGACTTCATCCTCACCTAGTATCTTTATAGTGCCCTATCAGTAGGTACGAGTATATACCGATAGCGCAAGCGGGATTACCAATCAATGTTCCCTGTCATAAAATCCTTATGATAAAATATAATGATGACAGATCTTATCTATTACCTTACAGTAAGAGTTCGTGAATAGAGAAGGGAAGTGGTGGTAATTGAATGAAAAATCTCTGTGGATCTTCTACCGAATTTATCATGGGGAGTGTTCTGAGGAATTGTTCGGATTGATACCTGCTGCTGATTTTCACCACCGTACAACCCGCCATAAACTAAAGTTTCATCCCAATCATCTGGACGAGTGGCGGTCTTCCACCATGCGTTTTTCAAGGCACTTTCTTCCACGCACAACTATTCTTTGGAATCAACTTCCAGCAGTAGTATTTCCGAACCGATACGACAACATAACCTTCAAGAAAAGAGTATATTCCTTTTTAAAAGGCCGGCAGCACACCTGCAATGCCGCTGGTGTTGTGGGTGATCATGGGCGGCGGTAGTCACTTACCATCAGGTGAGCCGCATGCTCGTTTGCCCCCTGTGTTGTAAAAAAAAAAGGAAATTTTTATTTCAATTTTCCTTAATATAATAAAACTATATAGGTGCTTCTTTTACATTTTAATTACAGTGGGGAAATTAAATTTTTCTTAATATATATAATACATAATACTATTAAACGATTTTTATACGAGAAACGGAAGCAAACGAAAAACATGCAACGATCTTTATGCTATAATTCTTTACAATACTATCTAATCTATTCGCTATTCTACAAACATTTCCACGCTGTACCTATCAGTTAACACTATAAAAACAGACTATTAGAATTTTCTATACAAAATGTAGCAAAACTACGAGATAACAACTTATATTATTACTAGTAAAGATTGATAAGCCGCCGAGCCACTGTTTCTATAAAATTAAGACAAGATTTTCTGTCCCTTTCTATCATGTCTATACTGTTCTATCATTTTATGCACTGCTATTCACTATTTGCACTATTTAATGCATTTTACCATATTTCACACACATATAACACTGTTGTGAAATTATTTTTTAAACACTTTTATACACTTTAACCTATTTTTCAATACACTGTTCTTTTTCGATGTCGATGTACGGTTATCCGAAACATTTAATGTAATGGTTATAATCATACTATATGTACATATATTTATTATTAATTAATACTTTTTTTTAGAATGGTTTTTCGAGCATATGTTATGCAAGTTATTGCCATATTCTCTGTCTCGTTTTAACATACAGGTTATTATATTCTCTGTCTCGTACATTGTCTATCGTAAATTATAATCGAATTATCAAATAATAAATATAACTAAAAATATACATTTTCCTATCTATTACGTACTATTATTACGTACGTATATATACGTACTATATTACGTACTATTACAACAATAGAGTGCCTACTTTACAATAAATTTCTTTATCTAAAAAAAAAATGAATGATTAACGAAAATTCAACAATACCTATTTTTTTAAAAAACCTTTGCTAATTAGTTTAATGCTTAAATAGTACATTATACTAAGTTTATGGTTTAATTGGTTTAGGCTAAATTTTAGAATTATTATCAACATACAGGTAATATCCTTAATCTATGCTACCCTCACGTTTATTTGTCATTGTCAACTTTGTCAGCTGTATTTGACTTTATGTGATATTTTTTATGCTGTCTTTTTGGTTTACCTATCGATCCATAGCCTGTTTTGATGAATTCGTATACAAAAGTAATCGTTCATTTATTTATTGTTACCTAAATATTTATAGTTTTATCAAAATTAAAAATATTTAAACAGTATAAGTGATCCCCTAACTGTAATAGTAAAAAAAAAAAAGAACTACAATCAATGTAAAATCATAAAATGCACTGTATTTATCAATATGTTCATCGATACTACAGTGCGGAAACGTACACTCAATTTTAACTACAATTTTTTATGGTATTCGTTGCTGTTTTCTTTCAAAAATTATCTTCAAACGTATAAAAATGTTAGGGAGAAAACAGAGCTTGAAGGGAGAACCGGTCCTCGCGGATTATGGTCCAGAAGAGTCATTAAATGAGAGTGCCGACATAGAATGGGTGAATAAGGTGAAAACTTTTAAATAATTTTTAACTATAATTAGTTATCTACATAATTAGATTTTATTGAAAAGACACAGTTATTTATTTAAGATTATTGATTTACTTTTTTATATAAATTCTGCCCAACATTGAAACTATTATTGGCATGTAGAAGACATTAATGGAGAAAATGGATTTTTTTAAGAGTATAAAAATTGGGTAAATGCATACTCTAAGGAGTGATGGCAGATCTTCATGCCAGGTCACAAGTACTAAAGTATATTATGATTTTTTTTTCCAGCTTTGGGTTAGAAGAATTTTGAGATCCTGTGCCCTTTTGAGTTTGATGTCTGTTTCATTGAATACTCCAAAATCTTTTGAGAAATATCCTTATCTACAAACTGTTACATTTGCTGTTGACTGCTGTGTAACTCTTTTGTTTACTGCTGAAATGATTGCTAAAATGCATATTAGGGGTATACTAAAGGTAATAATATAATATTTTTTAATAAACATTTGTAAAATATTTTAACTGTTTTGCAATTATTAACATAATGTTTATTTAATTAATTTGAAATATTTCAGGGAGATGTAGCATACCTAAAAGATCATTGGTGTCAATTTGATGCTTCTATGGTGTTTTTCTTGTGGGTTTCTGTTTTGCTACAAATGTTTGAATTAACAGGAATTGTACCTAGATACAGTTATTTAAGCATATTAAGAGCCCCTAGACCATTGATTATGATAAGATTTCTCAGAGTGTTCTTAAAGTTTTCAATGCCAAAATCAAGAATCAATCAAATTTTCAAGTAAGTGTAACTAAATAAGTAAATAGTTTTTGTTAATATAAAACTACTATTAATTTTTTAAATTTAACTTTACAGGAGATCCAGTCAACAGATCTATAATGTGACATTGTTTTTTCTCTTCTTCATGTCATTATATAGTTTATTAGGTGTGCAGTTCTTTGGTGAACTGACTCACCATTGTGTGAGAAATGATACTAACCCCAAGTAAGTAGGAGTGATATATTAGTAATTATTAATTATAAGTTTATATGCAAAATGTTGATATTAATATTCTCTATTATGTATTTCTATTTTTTCTATTCAGAAAAATATATCTGAACCTATTTTATTTTCCAGTGAAGTCACTATAAATTCTCTAGCCATACCTGATACATTTTGTTCACCTGATCCTGACTCTGGATATCAGTGCCCAGCTGGAATGAAATGCATGAAGCTTAATTTGTCTAAATATATTATGGGTTTTAATGGGTTTGAAGAATTTGGTAAGTTTGCCATTTGTCCGTAATATCCCTCATCCTCCTAATTTTTAATATATTCATTATTGCATGTTAATAAATAAGAACATAAATTTATAACTCAAATTTACAAATTAATAATTATTTATTAATATACATTTTATGAGAAATTCTTTCTCATATTGCAATGTCAAATTATGGAAATAACTTCTTTCCACATATAAGAGAGTCCTTCTGTTATCTCTTTCAACAAAAAGTTGATTTTACATTTTCTTATAAATCTTAAATCCATTAAACTAAATTTCTAATGCAAGTAGTGTATTTATTTATTTTAACATTTATTGCATAAGGTAATCATCATCATCATATCAGCCTTTAACTGTCCACTGCTGAACATAAGCCTTCTCCTTTAAGGGTGTTGCCAATATTTGCTTCGCTGGGCAGGCGGATTGGCAATCAGTCGGGCTTTAGAGATGTTTTAAAAGGGATACTGCTGCCCATTCCTCATCGTCCCATAGCTGTTTCTTACAACACTTATGGGAAAGGAAGGGCTGGCCTATTCTATACAGGGACCACACAGCCATATATTTGTGGTTATACCGAACAAAATTTATTACATACTTTTTTAAATCACTAAATAAATAAAGAATTATTATCATTATTGCCTTAAAATATTAATACCATTGATAAATTTGATGCATTCATTTCATAATGATGATATGTGTACTGATTTTGAGATCATTTGTATAAAGTAAAAATCAATAAAAGCAAAATAATATATTTTTTCCAGCTACAAGTTTATTCACAGTTTATCAGGCATCATCTCAAGAAGGATGGGTATTTATTATGTACCGTGCTATAGACTCCTTACCAACATGGAGGTCTGCTCTTTATTTCAGGTATTAATGTCTTATGTTAAATTATATTTTTGATATGTAATTGAAATCAGTAGATTTTTATTTGGCCTATATTTTTAACATTTCATACCAAAAAAATTATCTATCCATTCTATCTATTACCGTGCTACATGCAACAATCTGTAGTGCAATTTGAAAGGAACAATTTTTATGACAAATCATCAAAAAACAATCCAGTTTTTTAAATACATTTTATTATTGCCCTAACTAAAGAATTCTTATTGCAATAATAATATTATAACAAGAACTGTTTAAGTCATGAAAAAAATGGTCTCGTATATTAATAAATAAGTATAAGATTTTTTATTAAAAAATCCTTATATATATTTATACATTGACAAATTATTTCATATCTACTTACACACTTATATCTCGACGTGTGTGTCTAGCTCACACTCACCTTTTTTATTTATTGTATGTATATTATGCAATATTAAGATATGATGTTGATATTGTTAACTCTGATTTTGATAATTATTTTAAAATCAAAAAGGCTATATTTAAATTGCCACAAACATGCTGATTTTATTTGTAGAATAGTCGTAAATTATTAATATACATAACTCTTAAGTACCTAGTCAAAAAAGATTGTTAGTAACGGGGTATAACCTTATTGCTAATAATATACTTTAGCAAGTCGGCCTTCACTCGGTTGCCCCTGGAAATCATCACGGTTAATTCTTGTACAATTCACTATTATTACTAACATTATTTTATACTCATCTATCATCTCTCACAGGTGCCTATTATTATATATAGCGCCATGCTGGCACCATATATATTTAATATACATTCTGTAATGTCATCTAACATTTTATTTATATTTATTAATAATAAAATAAAACTATCTAAGGTACTTAATTATTTTTACAGCACAATGATATTTTTCCTGGCTTGGTTAGTGAAGAATGTATTTATAGCGGTAATAACAGAAACTTTTAATGAAATAAGAGTTCAATTTCAACAAATGTGGGGTGTTAGAAATCCTATTACAAAAGGGAGTACAACTCAGTTCTTTACTGGAGATGACAATGGTTGGAAACTTGTTACTATTGATGAAAATAAACATTCAGGTATTCTTATAATATTATTACAAAAGTAGATAAAGTATATAATATTCTTTTTATTGAATAACATATTTGTATTTCTAGATACGAAATATGTTAAGATTTATGATTAATAACATTATGTATATTTGCTTACAGAGCTCATATGCCATTTGGTACAGTAGCTAGTTTGAAACTGATATCACAACTGTTAATATAATTATTAAAATAACATTACTTAACTGAAATTTCAGGCAGCGCACCGGATATCTTTCATAAAATGTTACGTTCTGCTTATTTCCGACTGCTAGTAATGGGCGTCGTATTAGCTAACGGAATAATAACAGCTACAATGAACTTCAAACATGACAACAATCCACGGGAATTTTTTTATGAGAAGTACTATTATATTGAGGTAATTATAAAATATAGAATCAACAGAGGGCGACTTTGTACAAAAATAGCTTGCAAAAGTCGCAAAGCTTGCTGCAAACGCTCCTAATGTTTGTATTGTCTTAGATTTGGTCTAAAGGTGGATATGGTATTAAATTTATAGGGCATGGAAGCATAAATAATACCATAGTCCTCATAAAGGAAAATGCATGATAGGTACTATGCGTAACTCATGTGCGATGATTAACTACTTCTTTGCTTTAGATGGGGCATAATCTTTTTGCAATTTCTATTTTCTTTTTGTTCTATAGACATTCACATCAATCTTATTACTGTAATTGGATGTTTGCTAGTAACAAACATGCAGTTCATCGAGTGCTCTCTTTGTACAATGAACTCATCTGGTTTCATATGTGGATTTTAGCAAAAAGAGTACTTATTTTCCAACTCAAGTATATGTGCTATTCCAAGTCATATAAAACATTAACATCTACAATCAAGCTTATTTATATTTAAAAAGATATAGGGTGTTTTATAGAGAGTAGTAAAAGCTAGTATCTTAATAAATTTGTTGGCATATATTCTACTCTAAAATCATCACATACTAATGTGCTTACACTGACGTGTATTATACTTGCAATTTATTCTTCTATGGTAATGTATTATTTCAGATTGCATTCACAATTTTCTTAGACTTGGAAGCACTAATAAAAATATGGTGTCTTGGATTGAAAGGTTATTTCAAGCATTCTGTTCACAAATTCGAATTGTTACTAGCTATTGGCACTACTATACATATAATTCCTCAACTTTATATGTCTGTCTTCACATACTTTCAGGTAATTTAATCAATAATAAAGTAATATTAATGTTATTTACCTCAACCATAAATACATATTTATAAATATATTTTTTAATTCTCTGTTTGTAATGTGTATTTTCGTCTTTCTAAGTCAATCTGTCATGTAATACATTTTATATGGATCAGTTATTGGCTGAAATAACTAGATATTATTATTATAAAAAAGTATGTTTATTAATTACTTAGAAGCTTTAGAATAAACTTGATTTCATTTGGGGCTAAATAGTTTGTTATATATCCAGGACTTTATTTATATTTTTGTAAATTTTTATTTTATAATTAATTTTTTCATCCATAAGGTTCTTCGAATAGTAAGACTTATCAAAGCTTCACCCTTGCTGGAGGGATTTGTGTACAAGATCTTTGGACCAGGCAAAAAACTCGGCAGTCTTATAATATTTACCATGTGTTTACTGATCATCAGTTCCTCCATCTCAATGCAGTTGTTCTGCTTTCTATGCGAATTTACAAAATTTGAAACATTTCCAGAAGTAAGTCTTAGTAACTACCCATTTTACTCACTGACTTTTAGTATTTTTTGAATTTTTCCATTTTAAACATAAAATCGACTCTTTCTTTAAACTTTTAGTATATTAGAAATTCATTAAATTCATATAGTCATTTAACATAAATTATCCTGTCCACTGCTGAATATAAGCGATCATAATCACTATTAATTCAATATATATTTTAATAAAAAAATTGTGCTTTATATTATCAAATGTATATATATTTCAGGCATTTATGTCTATGTTTCAAATATTAACTCAAGAAGCATGGGTAGAAGTTATGGATGAAACAATGGTGCGGACTAGTCAGACATTGACTCCTCTAGTTGCTATATATTTCATATTATATCATCTCTTTGTCACTTTGGTAAGGTATAATTATATGAGTATTTATAGTGTAATATTTGTAGGTATTTGTTATGTATTTTTGTATTTCAGATAGTGTTATCGCTCTTCGTAGCGGTAATTTTGGATAATTTGGAGTTAGATGAAGATATAAAAAAATTGAAACAACTTAGATATCGTCAGCAAAGTGCAGAAATCAAGGAAAGCCTGCCTTTTAGATTGAGAATATTTGAGAAGTTTCCAGACAGTCCGCAAATGACTAAGTTACATAAAGTCCCTGGGGATTTTAATTTGCCTAAGGTACTTTTATTTTATCATCAATATATATATTTTATCTCCCCTTTTTTAGTTATTTAATACTTTGTTAAAAACTGTTAATATATGTATCGAATTCTTTTAAGATATTTGTAAAAGTATAAGAATGCAATATTTATGTTTTTAAAAACTTTGTTTTATGTGTGTACAATAAAGTATGCAACAGACGGCTCAATTAACATGTGTGTACGCTTGTCATCATGTAATATTCATACAGCGACGATGACGAACCGCATATTTATTCGTTCATTGTTATATGTGCTCAGCACGCTCTCATATAATATATCATGCAGCGTAGGCATATGATAACGTGATGAGTCGTGTGCGAAAATCCTTAAAAGTCCTTTATATACAATGTATTCTATGATTAATGTTTTTACGCTACCATTTTTTATATAAACATTTTAAAATTTTAAACTGTTTATGAATGTTGACAGATTGACAATTCTGTAAAAAAAGTAAAGAGCGCTCGTAATGATGCGTGAATGTGGATGTAAACAGGTACGTGAGTCGTTCATGCGCCAGTTCGTGTGCGAGGAGAGCGGCGAGGAGGAGGCGAGCGTAGCGGGTGTGGCGGGCGTAGTGAGCGGCGGCGGCGGCGCGGGCGCCGGTGCCCCGGGCCGGACGCCGCAGGGCGACTTGTCACGCCGCGCCTTCGAATACATCGGCGTTGCCAAGATCGCGTTCCCGTATCGCAAGCGCTGTCTCGTGAAGACACTTGTGGTGGCGCCGCCTTCCCAACGACCCAGCTCTGCATTACGGCGGCACGTAGTCAGCTGTATTATTGAGTGAGTTCATTACTACGTATTATGCAACTATTTATCATCATCATATTTTTTTTTTATACCACTGTGGTGGCAAACAAGCATACGGCCCACCTGATGGTAAGCGGTTACCGTAGCCTATGAACGCCTGCAATACCAGAGGTATTACGCGCGCGTTGCCGACCCTGAAGAAACCTCTTTACCCCCTTTTGAAGAACCCCATGCTGTAGTCTCTCGGGAAAACCTCGGCAGGGAGCTCATTCCATAACCTGAGTGTTCGTGGGAGAAAGCATCTCTGAAACCGCGTTACGCGACCATTTAGGCTGTAAGGTATGAGGGTGAACTCCCTGTCGATTATGATAGAAAGTGGCCGTAGGCATCATATCAACAGTTCTTCTAGCACAATCCGTTGTATTATGAGGCAAAATCTCTCCTAAGACTTAAGGGTTCAATACCGCTTGCAAGCGTTTAGCAAGCAATATTAGCCGTTAACTGTCCATTACTAAACATAGGCCTCCTTGAGAGATTTTGCCAGTAGTTGCCACTCTTAACAGGAGGTTGGCAACCGCAGTTAGGCTTTGGTTTATGTTTATTTAATGTCTTAACAAGGAAGGGGTGGCCCATTCTATGCCGGGATCACACGGCTAAGCAGCTATTGCAAGTGGTTTATTTATTTATTTAAACTTTAATGCACAGTAAAATTTGATGTACATTTGGCGGTTTTAATATATATGGTTTACTATAGCTTTGCCCTCGTAAATTATGCAAATTAAAACTTTGTTTCACGAAATAAAAATTTTTCTTTATGCCAGGTTGTCTGTAAGAGATTGCTTTTAGCAATAAATTTGTATATTATTATAAATAGTATCATTAAAAATATTATTATTATTATTAAAAACAATAGACTAGCAAAAAATATTATTATCAGTTCATTAAAAATAATTACTCGGACATATAAAAAAATATATGACGACAAAACTTTTTTAATTCACTTAATATTAGCTGTAGAAGTTATAATTGTAAATCTTTTTCTTTAGTTAATAGTTCACTGAATATCTTTATACAATTAATTTGCTACTTTTTTTTTTAATTACATTTTTATAAATATTGTTTTATGTTTTCAGGTATTTTTATTTCACCCTGATCGTCATCTTACAGGTTTTTATTTTATCATTATCGTAATAATTTTCAATTTATCTTAATTTTTCAAAATATTTTTATATCCATATATAACATAAATTGTATTTAATTCGTGAACATGAATCACATAAAAATATTTCAATAATATTTTATAAATTATGGTTCCATTTCATAATTTAAATAAATTTATTAAACTAATATTCAGAGATTCAAACAATCACCGTCCATTGCTGGGAGATTCAGCGATGCTGGCTACTGGTGGAAAATCTGGGTTAAAGCCGCAAGGAACCATATCCAGTGCTAAACAATTACGAGTCGACCAAAAAAAGTAAGTTCATTTAGAGTGATAATATAAATCTGTGAATAATTTATGTATAAAAATACCTGCTAATAATGTAATCGGATCCTTAACAAAAACGTAGTTTAAACTGACCAATTATTTGTCATTCGAAGTTGCATAAAAAATAGTGTGGATTGCTTATTATCAGGTTCGGCTCGCGGTCTATAAGACGTTCAGTGCGCAGCGGGTCCATCAAGCTAAAGCAGACATACGAACACCTGCTGGAAAATGGAGATATCGGGGCCGCCTCCCGCGTCGTTCCTGCTTCTCGCTCCCGCCCACCCTACCTCGACATTCGTTTGCTGCAGGCTAAGCGGCAACAAGCCGAAATGAGAAGGTACTTTAAAATTTTGTTCCACAAAAAAAAATATTGTAGCCAAAGTGAATACTAGATAAATAATGACGGACCTAGTATTCGAAAACAAGGCTAACGACAATGAAGCCGAAAAATAGAGTATTTAAGATGTAATAAATAAAAAATCTATGGTTCTATCTTTTTTTATATTTACATGCATAGCGAGCCCAACAAAAGCTCAAAAAATATTTATTAATTGTATACCTACCCTTATTATTATTTTTACAGTTACTTACCTAATACTATGTTAATTTATAATGTAACAATATAATATATACACACATACATACACGCACGCATGTACGCACCCACATACACACACGTACGCACGCACGTATCCACATACACACATATCCATATTTATATATTAACAATTATAACTAATTACATAAAGAACTGTCTTATAAATTCATTCGGAGAAGAATTAAATAGGTCAATTCTATCTGCTAGGCGGTTCAGCATCCGCTAAGACTCATGTGAGCAGCGACTTACCTAATAGGTTAGTGTTACCGCGTGGCATGGCCAGTGGCTGCTGCTGGCGACGACGCCCCACATATCCTCTCACATTAAAATCAGTAGTATAAAATTCGTAACGTTAATTTATAAAAAATATACGAATCCCGAAAAATATAATAATAAAACATAGACTGTAAATGTATCTGAACTTTCGATGTTGTAAAGGGTCATTGTTGTTTAAATTCTAGTTAGTTAAATGCATAGAATATTTTCATAATACAATAATAAGTCTTAGAAACCATTAGTGTTTAATACATTTACACAAGCACAATTTTTGTAGAAATCAGCGAGAGGAGGATTTACGAGAGAACCATCCATTATTCGACACGCCTTTACTAATAGTCCCACGAGAGTCACGCTTCCGTAAAATATGTCGAGCCATCGTGGACGCGCGGTATGACGCCCGCCTCAGGGATCCCGTCACGGGCAATGAGAGAAAAGTGCATTATAAAAGCTTCCAGTAAGTAAAGTTGAATAAGATTGTGTTTCACAAAAAAAATCTATTTCTATTGTGGCAAAGCTAGTTATTTTGATTTAAAAACTAAACTACTAATACGAGTTTAATACAATTTCTAAGAGACCAATAAGTAAGGATATCCTTTTATATCATAAAATAATTTTCCATATCGGTGTAGAACTGAAAAAGTTATGAGGTAACAAACATAAAAACATACAACTGAATTGACACTCCTTTTTTTAAGTCGACTGAAAATTAAACTCTTTATAGTTAGTCTAATAAAAATCTACTGAAAATGTCCCAAAATTATCTGTAACCTTATTTTATATTTTAAAAATATTTGTAAATGTCTATCAACATGTTCTTGTCCTGCAATATAAGCTTAATAATTTACCTTTTAATTTTTTTTTTTACAGTAATTTTCTTGGCCTAGTTACATATATGGACTGGGTGATGATCATGGTCACTACTCTGTCTTGTTTGTCTATGATGTTTGAAACACCTACATACAGAGTTATGGAGAACTTCGTTTTGCAGGTTTGTATAATATGAACCTTCATTCATACATAATTCGTAACTTGTACTTTCTTGACCATCTCTCGTATATAATTTTCAGATAGCGGAGTATGGATTTGTTATATTTATGAGTCTTGAACTGGCGTTAAAAATCCTGGCAGATGGGCTGTTCTTTACGCCTAAAGCTTACCTAAAAGACGCTGCAGCTGTATTGGATGTGTTTATTTATATTGTAAGTGCAAGAAATTGCATAGTTTGTTCTCGTTTGCTTGAATATTATATCATATATATATATTCATTATTACATTGTGTCTTTACCCTATGTGGAAGTTAGAGAGACTCCAGTTATTATATCAGTTATGTCAATAATATGAAGATAAAAATTTAATCACTAACAAAAATAATTAATTGTCGCCTATTGTATATTAACACATTCAATGTTTATATTTCGCCAAAAATATTTGAAAGAAATATGACACAGAGCGATAGATAAATATATACTCTTTATTGTTTCCTACAAAAGATTACATTTGCAATATTTTGTCTTACTGATTAGCTATAGAAAATCAAGTAAAAAAGATGTATCAATGTCAGTTTTATATAGAAACTGTGTGTACACTCGCGTAAAGAGTTGCATGCTACCAGGTGTCGCTGACGTTCCTGTGCTGGATGCCGCTGCGGGTGCCGCCGGGCTCGGCGGCGCAGATGCTCATGATCTTGCGCTGCGTGCGGCCGCTGCGTATCTTCACGCTCGTACCGCACATGCGCAAAGTCGTCTACGAGCTGTGCCGCGGCTTCAAGGAGATTCTACTGGTTATTATCATTAATTGCGGCTGCTATCAAATTGGCAAAATTATTTCATATGATTACTCTTTTATGGGTTTATTATAATTCAAAACACTGTCTAAGCAGTATTAGTCAAAACTGTATCTATAATTGAACATTGTTTAGTAATAATTTATATATATAATTTTATATGCTAGTATATAAACTATATAACATTAAACATCACACGCATGCATGCATTTAGATATACTTATTACTAATATTAGATAATGTTTATGTCTTAATTTTATTTTTTTGATTTGCATGGTTATGGAGGAGCACAATACAGGTGACAACACTCTTCACAACAACGATCTTAGTATTGTATCAATTTTGTTACGAAATAAATATTTTTTCATTTTTCATTTTTCAAACATTATATATCATACAATCTTTCTATCTATATTTTTTGATTACACAATTTCTTTTGTTTAGTCATAAACATATATTAGACACGCTTTTGTAATAAGATGTCTAAACATATATTGTACACTTGTTTATCACTATTTGTTTTTTTGTTGTAAGATAGTTATTTTATTACAGTCCCTCAAGAGCCCTTTAAACTGACTTTTTTATTAGTGTACATAATTAACAATAATAAATTTCGCTTTACTAAACATAATTATTTTTATTTCAGGTATCTACTCTATTAATTTTACTGATGTTCGTATTCGCGAGTTATGGTGTTCAATTATACGGTGGAAGGTAATTTAAATATTTCTTATTTGTAATTATTTTTTTATGTGCTATTCTGATACGAGTTCCTCTTTTGAGTTTATAGCGTTTTCTTTTTGAATTCTAGTTGCTTTTATTTTTACTTTTATATATCGTAGGCTGGCGCGTTGCAATGATCCTACAATAAAACGTCGCGAGGATTGTGTGGGTGTATTTATGCGACGAGTATTTGTGACTAAAATGAAGTTAAGACCGGGACCAAATGAGACCTTTCCTTCGATGCTTGTTCCCAGAGTGTGGTATGTTCACTTTTAATTAAATTCTATTGTTACTGTCATCTTTTATTCTAGTTATTTTTTATCATTTATGCTTTCTGTCAATCTATTAATAATATACATAATTATTGCCACCCTTTAAGGCTAATGTTTAAAGTTACTCGTAAAACAGTTCCACAATATTTTTTTATATTTTTTACGCAGGGCTAATCCAAAGAGATTTAATTTCGACAACATTGGTGATGCCTTATTGACATTGTTTGAAGTATTGTCATTCAAGGGATGGTTGGACGTGCGGGACGTCCTTATCAAGGCGTTAGGTCCAGTAAGTATTTATTTTTGTAATATAGATAGATTTATTATTATTTCAATTATCAATTTTGTATAGGTAACACTACCTTTTCCTCCATAAAGCTGTGTTGGATATATACAATTATTGCGTTATAATAGGTACATTGTTGTTTTCTAGTCTAAATCATAAAATATAGTGTAATCTGGTCGTAAAACAAAAGACATACTGTCATCACGATTGATAACACGTAACTAGCAATCTGTGCATGTATTTAATGATAACTTTATGTTATAGGCTTATGGTTTATGTTATAGAAATGTCACTAACATCGCCGTATTGGTTCGTATATCAGTACATTATACTGACTTCCATGAAACTCCTCACGTTTATTTGCCGTTTCAAGGTGGATATACAGGCAGTCCTCGACCTACGTCGTTTCGATTTACGTCAATTTAAGTTACGTCGAACAATGTTTTGATACTATTCCTAAAGCATACGTCAATTGTTTCGATTTCCGGCATAGGAGAATTCACTTCACTTCATATATAATTATTTTAAGAACTTATTTTTTATAATAAAGCATGTATATCCGTGTGGATCCTAACCCTTGAGTTTTACATGTAAACATATGAAAAAAAAAATGTCTCGACTACTCGTAATCGAAACGACGTACGTTTCGATTTACGTCGCGTATTTCAAGAACCTAACATGCTATAAGTGGGGGGGAGGCATTGTTAATAATGAGATCCAACAGACCTATTACTAACAATGTACCCTAACAGGTCGACCCCCACGCGGTTGTCCCTGGAAACCATCGTGATTAATTTTTAATGAATTGAAAATGATGGGCTAACTGACCTGCTTCATCTTCATCTGTCATCCCTCACTGGTGCCCCGCCAGCGTATCCCTAAAGCGTAGGCGGGGGGTTACTATTCCATTTTCATCCATTAAAAAAAACATGCCCTAATTACGAGCACTGTTTGTAAACATTAGATATGAAGGCCTACCTCTTTAGACAAGCAGTAAATGAATCTAACAATAGATATATTATCGCTGCTGTATACTTACGATTAAACGGGACTACAACATGTGGTATCTTGTTCTTTAAAAACATTTGTTACTTGTCTATGGCGGCAGGTGCCACAGGACATAAAGTTGTTATGTCTATAGTATGTATTGACTAAAAATAAAAAAAAAAAGAAACAAAAATGTATAATGTAATGTTTCCATAACAATATATATACATTATACTTATAATACAGTATTTTACAGGTGCACGCACTTTACATTCACGTTTACATATTCTTGGGTTGTATGATCGGACTGACCTTATTTGTCGGTGTCGTCATTGCGAACTACTCTGAAAACAAAGGGACTGCTCTGTTGACTGTAGACCAGAGACGATGGTGAGATTATGTTCCAATTCGCTACCCATTATTGTTTTATTCTCAAATATTGTTTTTTATATATATATATATATATATAATTTAGTTTAGTTTAGCTAGTATGATTATATTATATTAATTATTAATTAGATGTTAGCCATATCTACCTGTAAAGTTATATATAGTGGATATATAAGACGTTCGACTCTGATTCGATTGACCAACCGACGATCTAAGAACTGCCTTCTTTTTTTTCTTCGCCTTTTTAAAGAAATGTTCAATACTGTTGTTAGCCCGCATCAATGAAGAATTTTTCTTGCTTTTCAACAGAGTTTTATCTTGCCGCTCGTCATCACTTATGTTGGAATAATAATAATTTTTCAATGTATAATCCACTGTGTCTTCGTTTATAGAAAGCTGAAACAAATGCGAATAGATGAACACACACATATACATATATATTTACAGTTAACAGCAAATAATAAACTTGTAATTGTTTTAGGTGTGATTTGAAGAAAAGATTGAAAATTGCTCAGCCGCTGCATTTACCGCCGCGACCGAACAAACGGAAAGTGCGAGCTTTTGCCTATGATGTAACTCAAAATTTGAGCTTTAAGAGGGTTATCGCTATCGTCGTACTAATCAACAGTGCATTGTTGGCTGTAACGGTATATACTATAATTTAACATTTTGATCCGTAAAATTGTCTGTAAATTTATCTCAAGTGAATTATCCACATTATTGTTAGTAATTAGTTCGGTCAGTTTCAATAGAACTTAATGAAAATGTAAACAAACCCTTTTTAGTCGACTATTAACTGCCTACTAATGTCAAATAGTAAGTAGAAATAAAAATCGAGTAATTTCATTTGGGTGTTTCTGTGATAATTTCAACGAATTTAGTTACCCTTTCATTATGTTTTACAATGTACATTTTATAATAGTATTCACTACATATGTTTGTAGTGGTCTCGTTACTCGCCCTACACCGAACAATTAGCGCTCACGTCTGCGTTACTAACCTTGGTTTTCGTCGTGGAAGTTCTACTGAAGACAATAGCGTTCACTCCTCGTGGTTACTGGCAGAGTCGTCGTAACAGATACGATCTACTTGTCACTGTGGCTGGGTGCATATGGATATTCATGCACTTTATACTAAAGGTGAGAAAACCACTTCCTTATTCGATTCTTTCTTCTTTTTGAGGGTTCCATATTTCAAAAGAAAAAATGAAACTCCCTAAATTGAGTCACTTTGTTGTCAGTCTGTCTGTCGGTCTGTCAAAGCCCTTTTTATCAAGAATGCGTGGAAGTTTCAAGTTGAATTTAATATCGAATACAGAATGTGCTCTTAAAGCTGTCAAAAAATTAAACTGCTAAGTCAACGCAATCAAAAGATACGTGCCATTTATAGCGTATATTTTGATATTTACAAGGGAACTAAAACCTACAGGGTATTTTCCGTGGACCAAGAATCATGAACTTTGGCAAGAAGCAATGTCGTACAGCACAAGTAAAGGGAATAATCTAAAAACCATAAACTTGTAATTACATAAAAAAAAAATATAATTTTTATTGTAAAATTTTCTTTCTTTTGTAATTACGAGTATAATTTGTTCAGAATTCTCTATGTGTGAGTCCGACTCGCACCTGGCTGATTTTTTGAAGAGTATTGATTCACTTTAAAACTTGTAAACCAAATAACCTTTATACCTAGTATATAGAGCCATTACTAGATAGGTATTTTGCCACAATTAAAGGTATACATTCTAAGCATTTAAAATTCCAACTATTTTGTATTACTTATACATAATGGTTGGAATTTATTTGTAACTAGTGGCCCATATCGGCTTCGCACGGGTGGACATTTTTACATTTTAAAAAGTGGCTATTAAGGCTGCACACGCGACGGAAGCTTAAAAATGGCGTAACTTCTCCCGTTTTCCCAACATTTCCCTTCACTGCTCTACTCCTATTGATCGTAATGTGATGAAAAATAATACTATAACCTGCCCAGGAGTATGAAGAATACTGTACCAAGTTTCGTTAAAATCCATCGAGTAGTTTTTGTTTCTATAACGAACATACAGACAGACAGATAAAAATTTTACTGATTGCATTTTTAACATCAGTATCGATCACTAATCACCTTTTTGGAAATATATTTCATGTACAGAATTGACCTCTCTACAGATTTATTATAAATATAGATTACTACAATAGTAAAAATTGTTATACATATTTTTTTTAGAATGACTTGTCATACTTCGTTGGATTCATGGTAGTGATATTACGTTTCTTTACAATAACCGGCAAGCACACTACCCTCAAAATGCTTATGCTGACAGTAGGAGTTAGCGTGTGCAAGAGTTTCTTCATCATATTTGGCATGTTCTTGCTCGTGTTCTTCTATGCTCTTGCTGGAACCATTGTATTTGGGAATGTTAAATATGGAGAGGGTATTGGAAGGTAAGTTAGATCTCAATTATTTAGTATCAAATTACAAATATAACTTTATAATGTGTATTGTTAGTAACTTTGTCTCTGGAATCACAAACATAAGACTTCGATAGTATACAAATAATGGGTGCCAACTCCGGGTAGTAAACAAGCTGACAGCCAACCTGTTGGATTATTGGTTCTATAAACAAGGCCATATTGACTCCACAGATTCAACACACCTACCATTATATACCCATGCTATTACGGACAAAACCGCGGAAAACAACTAGTGTTACAATAAAATTTAATTAGTAGTTAGTTAAGTAGGTTTAATTAGCATCAATAGAATTCTTCTCTTTAATATACCATTTGTGAAAGTTAGTGTGACTGAAAAAATGTAATTTGAAAAAATTCGTCATTATGTTTCTAAAAAATGAACGTGATTTTTCCAGACGCGCAAACTTCAACTCGCCAATTCACAGTGTTGCGATGTTGTTCCGCATTGTAACGGGTGAGGACTGGAACAAGATAATGCATGACTGCATGGTGGCACCACCATACTGTACGCCCGCGGACAATTATTGGGAAACGGACTGCGGGAACTTCACTGCCTCTCTCGCTTATTTCTGCACCTTTTACGTTATTATTACGTACATCGTCCTAAACCTGCTTGTGGGTACGTACGTAGTTTTAAATTATGGATATATAATGATTATTATATAATTATATCATATATGAATGAAGTCTCCAAATTTGATACGAGATAAATTATGAAAATAGACGAAGCTAGAGATGTATGTAAAGAAATTGTTCATTGATTAATTCAGATACACCATTGTTTATCACCAAAACTGTATTTTTAATTTTATGTTGCAAAAATATTTGTTTTACTACTTAGTAGAATACTAAAATTAGAATATATTATTAAATTTCTTACAGCTATTATTATGGAGAATTTTTCCTTATTTTATTCCAATGAAGAGGATGCTTTATTATCATATGCTGATATAAGGAATTTTCAAAACACATGGAATATTGTTGATGTGCATCAAAAAGGTGTAATACCAGTAAGAAAGGTAGGCAATTTGATTAGTTAGAATCTCTAACATTAATAATTTACCGCGTATTTGTCAAGTAATTTATTAGATTTCCAAATCTTTTAATTATTACTTATATACGAGTATAATTACATAAATTAGCTTAAATCGTAATTTTTACTATTGATGCTATTAAAATAAAGTAATTTTCGAACAACAAGTAGTTTGTCACGTACTAATAGGTATAAGCAAATTTTGTCGGAGTTTCAGGTAAAATTCATATTGCGACTCCTGAAAGGGCGATTAGAATGTGACACACACAAGGAGCGGTTATTATTTAAATATATGTGCTATGAGTTAGAGCGACTGCACAATGGCGAGGACGTTACCTTTCACGACGTCATCAAGTAAGTTCAAAGCACATGCATTATATTTGCATTTCAACATGACAAATATATCCTAAAATATTAGTAAGCTCATATGATTGATAATCTGACTACGATGGAGACGAAAAGTTTGCAATTAGCATCTCTATGTATAAAAAATGCTTAGTTTAGAAGGTCTTTAGCCCTGCCCCGCTCTATCGTTCTTCATGAAGCAGTGACTTTAAAAGTATTGTAGGGATATAGTTTCTATTTATAGTTATTATTTATAGTTTCTGGTAGCTTAGGACCATTCCTTATAGAGGAAATCGATGTTCAGCAATGGACAATTAATGGTTGAAATCATAAAATGTATAATTATGCCTTTTTCATTAAGTCATCTATTAAACCAATAATTTTCTTTGGCAATGTTTGTTGTATAGAAAAATCACACTATTCTGTTATTATTCTAGTGAAATAATAGGTACATATGGCGAATCACTGAAAACATATAACTGACTATAAGGAGAGTGCTTTCCAGTCATAATAAAATGCCTTAAATTTTTTTGTCTTTACAGTATGTAATAATAATTATTAACACTTGATCGCTTTATTTATTATGCGGTTTTTAGACCGTTTTTTCTTTGTTAATTCATTAGGTACTATTATTAATAAATGTTATATATTACAGTATGCTTTCATATCGTACGGTTGATATTCGCAAGTCATTACAAATGGAAGAGTTACTTGCTAGAGAAGAATTTGAATTTTTGATCGAGGAAGAAGTCGCAAAACAAACTATCAGGACGTGGCTAGAAGGATGTTTGAAAAAAATACGCGCCAATAGCAGTGTAAGTTATTTATTTGTTGGAAATTGATGTGTAGAACAAATTAGCGATATTGCAACCATAATAAAAATGAATATTTGTAGAATGTATAGATATTTATTACTCAAACACATTAAAGTTACGGATTAGATGATTAGATTAGCTAACGGCCCACTTGACGGAGAGTACAAACCGTCGCCCATAGATATGAACAATACCATGGACATAACAGAGTATACTGTGTTGCCCTTGATACCTTTCATGCGTTACCATTCCTAAGGACTAAGGTGTTACGCCTCTATACCCTGTAATTTCCCACCCTTCAAACTTTAACATGGCCATACAAATAACAGCTTTACGAATGGAACAAAGATATTCAAGTAGAGATGATTTAAAATTATATTATAATTTTAACTTTAAATAAAACAAATAAAATTAATTAATTTTGATACGCAGATAGACTACGTTTCTTTAATAATATACTATAGGTTTTTTCTTATATATTTTTTATTTTTTATTATTAATAATAATTTATTTATTTCTTACACGAACTTAAACATGTATATAAAAATAGCTGAAAATTATATATTTTTTACTGTACATTTTTCCATGTACCTATAAAACAAATGCAAATCGGCATTTATTTTATACATGAAATATAGCTGTAATGAAAATATAGCTGTAAACATACCTATACCGAAAAGAAAATCAGACCTGTGTTGATTGACGTGGGCACAGCTATAGAATACACCTACTAAGCAATAAACGAAGTTTTTTGTAATATAAATAAAAACTAAATATTGTAAACTTAAATTATAGAGTGATTTCCTTTTTTGATTATTACTTGAATGAATTTGATATTATATATAAGTATTGTATTACAGAAACAACAAACAAGCCTCATAGCGGGTTTGAGAAAGACAAATGAACAAGTAGTTGATATGAGTAATGAAAAAGCGGATAAGGAAAAATTTGAAACAGAGACACAGGTGACTATTTGTATTTTGTTATTACAACTAGTTTTGCAACTTGTCAGAATTTACTTTTTACTAAGCGGATTGTGCACGAAGATTCACTCCGTAACAGAACTCGAAATAAGTATATCAGCATAAGAAAGTGAGTATAGGCCGATGAATAACCAAACTGAAGTGGTTATACACTGATCATCTGCGTAAATTTTGTAGGGAATAGATACATTTAAGCCATTATAGTCTGTTTCAATAGAACTTAATGAAAATAAATAAGTTTTGTTGAAGTTATCACCGTTTATTATTAACTATTTTAGTTATTAACTAATTTCACGTTATACAATTATATATCGAAGCACAATTAATATATTTTTTATTTCTACTATGTGACATAAGCAGACAGGTCAGATCAATTATTTGCATTTTTGAATTCGAATTATATTGAAACGGATATATTTTAACGTAACTTTTGGTTTCACCCTAAATACAAAAATAGTTTCTTTTTTATACCTACATAGATTTGTTTCACAGCAAATCATCGCAAATACAGGAAGAACCGAGATCACTGAGTCTACATCACAACCTGCAATGTCTAGTACGTATTGTCTTTTTTTTCCATTTACATTACAATAAATTTACGTTTTCTTTTGCACATATCAATATAATTATTCAGTCTGCGGCAAAGTTTCTCAATACATTTTAGTCATAAATATTTAATTTGCCAAAATATAGGTTTTATAGTGTTACTAGCAACATTGACTAAAAAAAAGATTTTGATACGTTTTTCATGCTCAAAAATATGTTATGACGTGAGGCATTAGGAAAAAAAATCGCAAAATACTTGTTTTACGTGAGGATGTTGGCACTCGGTTGTTTCTGCCTACTCTGTAAGAGAGCTGGCGCGAAATTATAATATTTCTTGTTCGATTACAGATATAACGTCATTTGACACACAACCGAAGAGGTCTTCCACAAAAGGTCAATTTAAAAGACCCGGTCTCCCATCTGTTACAATACCAAGGTAAAGTAAGGTTCAATTATTGTCTCTTTAACTATCATGTGTAACTATAAATATCATATTCAAATCAACTTTATTTAAATAGACATATTTACAAGCATTTCTACAAGTCATAAATTTTGTTTTGAAAAAAGAACCGCAAGAAACTCAAAAGTTACTATTTTAAAACTCTGTTAACATTATGTATATTTATTAAAATTAATTATACTATGTCTAAAATTACAGGTCATTAAAAACTTGTGGATGATCGTCTAATACTATGCAAATTTGTCATTCAAGTAATTGTTTAGTGTATAAGCTTTTTTCATTATGATTTAATAACAGTTTTCAATATATTAAAAGGTAGATTAAAATATCCTTCGGTATATTATTATAAAATTTTTTGTCCATTCCTATAAAAAACCTATTAATTTTTACTAAACGATACATTGGAACAGCAAGTTTGAATTTGTATCTATCGTTAAGATTATTGATATCGCTATTTATCTAATTGAATATATGTTTGCTATTAAATTTACGAGCTAAAAAATTGTTTAAGAATAATGCCTAAATTCTTTAAATAGCCCGTGAGTCTTTTGAAGCAATTCTTTAATTTATCTAAAATCAAAATTTTAGAAAGGCGAGTTTTTAAAATTAGATTATAAATAAATCAGCCATTACGAAATTGAATAGGTAAACTTGATTAATTAATTAATTACAGTTAAATTTGTCTTATTTTATAGACCCGAGAGTCCTGTTAAGAAATATCTTCAGCCAACTTTGAGTGATCCGCACCCCGCTCTCAACAAGAAATCTGCACGTAAGTTGTTTTTTCAAACATCTGTCTCAGATAATATATCTAATCTTTAACTTGCCGAAACGTGGCAAGTCGTATTTATCTGTCAATTCTCAAAAACATTTGAACATTTTTCCATGTTATTGATTGGATATCTGACTGATATGTGCATTACTAGTGAACTATAAAAATTTAACCATAGAATTCGTTGCATATAAATCTACCATTGAAATTTTGCCTACTTCACATTTTGCTTCGGATTTTTCAAATACTGTTGTACCATCAAAATCAAAAAATTCAGGAATGTAGCTTTTACGTTGAAAGTCAGCCTACTGGTTGTTTTTTAGTTTGATGCCATCGTTCATTGTTCAGGTAAGCTATCTTTAGAATGGCACTTGTTGCAGCGGTGATGAAGAGCAACAACCGTGTTTCGCACAATAGCGCGGGCGCGGTGTGTGGCTCGGCGGCGGGGGGCGGGGCGGCGGCGGCGGCGGCCGCGGGCGCCGGCTCGGGCTCCGCGGCGCTGCACGAGGTGCAGTCTTGGTGGGGCTCGCAGCTCGTACACCACGTGCCATTCGACTGTGACTAGGGCGGCTCGTTTACTCATACCACACAGTACGGGTTATTTTCTATTAGTGCGATACCATTTATACCGGTCGCCATGGAAAAATAATTTTAATATAATCCATTTAATTATCCTTAGATACAATATAAGTACGTGATATAAAACAAACCTACGGAGTCCTTCTAATGTTCTCCAAGAAACTAGAATGTCAAATTAAAAACAAAGAAATTTAGAATCTGGCTAATAGATTGCTAGAATTGCTGATAATTCAAACATATACATTCTATTTTGAGTCCTTTAAATAACGTGACTATTATGAAAGTTTTTTCTAAAAAAACTTATCGAACACGTGACGATTTTCGCGGTAAACAGCTACTATATATAAATATAAAAAGATTGCTGTAGAGTTTATTGAATTATATGTAAAATATGAAACACTTATTTACATTCTCTGACTTGTTATCGTACTGTGGCGGTGACTGAACTGGCGACCGTTGTGACCGCTGCTCATCTTATAAATAGCTCCGTTATTATTCATTTACAAAGATACGACTGAATATTTTATACGCCTATAAACACACTTCTCGAGCGTAAACAAACCATGTTCCAAATAATATTGTTTCATGAATTGTTCCCTTTACAATAATTTATAGATTATTATATGAAATATTTAGATAAATATATAAATTTAAGTAGTGCCAAATGTTATTAGTATATAGTATTTAAATAAAATTACAATTATTCCATATTATTAATTTTAATTGTAATACCTATTAAAATTCATTGTAAATAATGGCACATACCTAACGAGAAAAGTACAATAGTAGACACTGTTAGTATAATACAAAGATGTCGTCCAGCGATGGGGAAATGAAAGAGTTTCGCTCGTAGTTTGAGACTGGATGCGTACATAAGTATTGTAGTGATGTCTTCATGGGATGTATCTTGGTGTAGAAATGGGCGCACGCACAGTTCGTGCCCAACGGACTGTGTTTGTCGACATTCTTTTGATAGACGAGCTGCCTAAAATAAAATATTGTTCATAAATATTTATCGTTCTTCTCAGCCAGGTGCGTCATAGCGTTAGCAAATAACAAAGTGCCAAAAACATCTATCCTTATACACCATCAGTTGCTCCATCCACTTTAATAACTCATCACACACACACACACATCGGTTCCAAAAGAGTACAATATTTAAAGTACCCAACTTAATTTATAATTTTAATTCACTGTAATTAAATAGTTAAATAACACAAAATCCATATTTTTTATATCTATTGGAAGTTCAAAACTACCTTGTACAAACATTACCAGAAAAATATAGTGTAGTAATGGTGTACAACAATGGTGTGCAACACTGAAATCATATTTGAGCCCTAAGCGAGTCAACTTGAGCGTATAGAACCAAAATCACAGAAACATACAAATCCTCAGGACAAACTTCAAAATGTTATAAAAATGTTTAAATTTTTATAACACTATAAATTATTTATTTTTTAAATTTATTTTTAGTCCAAAGGGGCACCACCTGTGATTGTATTAATATTATCAGTATACAAAGTTTACTGTGCAGTTTAATATATACCTACTTAAATATTATTCAATTTAGATAGGTACTAACCTGTATAAAAGGTACAATGACCGCAGATACCCATAACAGTTGATTTAAGACACTGATGGCCATAATAGGTTCGGTACGTGCATCTATTTTATCCCAATTCAATAACCACATGAGCCCTGATGTGGCCCAAGACATGTTCACAACTATGAACATGCATACCGCTGGTGCTAAATCTTCGTTTAAATATTTTAAAAGCTTTCGAAATTCTGCAATTTCCTATAATATATAAATAAATTAATAATTTATAAATAAATTCTACATAATTATGTATTCATTAATTACATAGACGCTTCCATAGCCAGTTGAGAATTTCAACCAATATAGACTGAATGTCGTTGTAACTTCAATTTAAACGTGGCTTAGGGTATACGAGCTCGGTCTTTGCTTCAAGTGATGTGTATAACAACGAAACGCAGCGCGTCAATCGCACCGCACTAGCGAAACTAACATTTGTCTGATGACAGCGCAGATTAAATTATCTTCAGTGTTTCAACTGTTTATGTGACCATCTTAAAATTTAACAATATATCCTGCCCTCTTTGGTTAATATTATATATATAGGGTTAGATTATATAGATAGTGTCTCCATAGAAATACTTCAAAAAAGACGGTTCGATTTTTTCATACAATTTTGCGTGATAAATAGTTATGAGTGATTTTTTATAACTTCTATAGTTATTTTGTCTTACAATTTCTTCGTCTTTTTAATGCGTAAACATTTATTTTGTTTATTAAATAATATGTCAAGATGCATTTTATGTATAAATAATTAGAATACTGATATAAAAACGAGACAGATAATTTGATAGCTGACAAAAAGTTGATCCGTTGAGGCTCGATGCTCTGTATAATCTAAGATTTTAGCATATTACTTTTATATGTTATCTATACACTCGAAAAACATTGTCCTCCTAAAATAAACAACGTCAACTCACCCTCATCCAATTTAGAGGTGTTATAGTTCTGTTCAGCAAACGTTCCTTTAGGAACGTAAGATGTACCTGCAGTAGCTGAGCTTGCAGACAATAACTAGCTACTATAGTCGCTTGCACCATATCATGTACGAGTGTACATACAATCAGCAAAACTTTTAATAACAATATCACTTCATTGGAACTGAAAAATAAATAAGAATAATTTATAAATTAACATAGAGCGGTACGATGGTGCAACGAAGTACGCGAATGCCACTTTGTAATGCGGGTAGTAAATTAATAGATTATATCCGTATAATTCTACGATTTATCTATACTAACATAATAAAGCCGGTGAACTTTTTGTTTGTTGTATGAACACACCAATTTTTGGAACTATCAGTCGGATTTGAGGAAATCTTATTGCATTTGGATAGCTCATTTCTTGGGGAAGGTTAGGCTATTCAACATTACATTAGTGACGACCATGAGCGAAGCCACGGGATACAGCTATAACTTAAAAAAATAATTGGAAGACGCGATTGATAGACTCTCTCAGTATCATAAATTCATCTGAGGGCTTCCTCCTCGCGAGGTCAAACATGCTTGCAAGTAGAGATGGGCAATCCACCTGGGTGGGTTTAAAGTCTGGTGGGTAAAAACCGGGTGTTTTGGGTTTATTGGGTTTAAACCCCATAAACACCCAAATTTTTGGGTGTTTATGATTTTGTACTTCATCATCGTCATCTCAGCCGCAAGACGTCCACTATACTGGACATAGACAATATTATTATGCAGCCTACAGAATAAAAAACTTTTAATTTGATTTTGAGTTTATTAAGAAAGAGATGAAAGTAAAATGTAAAACTACAGTCAATCACTGTCAGATTCAGAGTTATTACAAGCGATGAATTGTATAGGTTCGATAGGCTCTATTTCGTCTAAACTGTTATGTTCATTTACTTGCTCAATGAAAGCTTCTAAGGTATTTTCTTCATTAAACTGAATGTCCTCGCATTCAGCTTTATGTTTAAGATTCCAGTTATAACAAATGAATGAAATTTTTTCAGTTCTTTCAGTTGTAAGTCGATTTCTTTTGTTATTATGTATGTAGCCTTGGATACTAAAGGAACGCTCAGTGGCTGCCGAAGTACAGGGAGCTGATAGAATACGAATCGCTACTTTGCTTAACTCAGTGGAACCACAAATACCTTTCCACCATATTAGGGGCTCAATGCTATCTAATGAGCTCCATACAAATCCTCTGGCCCAAAAGTTTTCTTTAGCTTTATAACACGCCAAATCTGCCATTACATTTGACAAACTTAAGTGTTGGCTTAAATTGTAGATAAACTCCATACCCTTAAGTTCTTCCTCTTGAGTAAGTTCGACTCCTAGAGTCCTGGGGTCTAGAATATATGCTGCAAAATGTATTGGCCTCATTGCCATATTGCATCTTGAAGATACTGATGTTAGAATCTGCTGTTTGCTTTCTTCGCTCAATGTCGAAATCTCATTTAATGCAAAACGTATCTTAGCTTGTACATCTCTAAATGTAATGTATGTGCGATGCAAACGATTCTGGTCGCTCTCTAAGTAAAATATGCTTTCAGTGACTGGTTCCAAAATACTTATACATTCCCCTGTCTTCGTCCAGAAATCATCACTTAGAATTAAATCTTTAATATCTCTTGAAATTACCACATCTTCTCTAACTGTTAATATTTGCAAAGCTATCTTATTTGCTTTCAAACTTTTTAACGAAGTAACATGACTTCCCCATCTTGTAGCACAAGGCAATTTTAGTGTTTGTGTAGAATCTTCACCCTGCCTTGATTTTATCAACAAGGAACTTAATCGTTGACTCCTTTTAACAGTTTTTATTATATTTAGGGCTTGCATAATAAACACAGTTACTTCTTGTATCTTTACAATATCTTGGCACAACAAGTTAAGGATATGTGCACAGCAACCGAGAGGAACAACATGTGGATATTTGAGTTTTGTTAATTCGAATGCCTTTTGTATATTTCTAGCGTTATCGCCAATAAGTACAAGAAACTTATTTGCTCCATACACTTTCATTACTTTTTCAACTTCTTGGCTAAGGTATTCACTAGTGTGAGGATTACTTTCTGTATTCAAACTTTTAACGTATGCAGGTTGAGGTTTTGATATAAGAAAGTTTATTATTCCTTCATTTCTTAAATTAGACCAGCCATCGCACTGAAGGTGTAAGTAACTACAAGCATTTAGTTCCTCATTTAACTCAAAACGCATTTCTCTATATATTTTATCTAAGTATTTTGTCGCTAAAGCTTTACGTGAAGGTATTTTAAATTTTGGTTGCAATTTTTCGAAAAATTGTATCCATAAAGGATGTTGCACCATCGATAATGGCGTCCCTGTTACAAATATAGCTCTCGCTAATTCTGTTTTTATATGATCATCGGTGTCTTGAAACTCAGCATTTATTGTAGTGTTAGCAGACGACGAGGGGCTTATAAAAGAATCATTTGTCTCTATCTCTGACAGTCCAGACATTTTGGTTTTGGACGAGCTATCTTTTATAAGTTTCATAGAGTCTTTTAATGTTTCTGGAGATTTTGGACAAGTGATAAGATGTTGAAGCATTTTGGCAGCATTACTGAATTTGTAGACCTTATTACAAAGCTTGCAAGAAACAGACTTGTTTGGTAAAGTACGGTAGTGCTCCCATATGCGTAAATCTTTAGGTCTCCCCATTGAACCTAAAAAAATGAACGATGATTAGTTGGTCTGACGAAAATTCAACAATAGAGTGCCTATTTTTTTACAATGATTATTTCTTGTTATTTACAATAAATTTATTAAAAAAATAATAAAATAAATACAAAAAACCTTTGTAAAATTACATCTCCTCGGAGGATTAAACGCAGACGCTAGTTTATTATCGTATTGTTCTGTATTTTTCTCAGCAACTTCTTTAATTCGATTAGGTACTTACGCATATTATGTTAAAAATAAATATCTAGTACACATCTTAGGCTATCCACCATTATTATCCAATGACGACTCTCAGCTAACTATGCACTATCATCCAAAATAAACGTGTATGGAAAATTTTATCCCAGTCGGTTGAGGATTGAGGATAATTGCATCAACATACGAACATACCTACATACTTTTATTTACATAACGCAAGCTAAATAAAAGCTTGTAATAATACATCTAATTTTAAGTTAAAATTGTTAAGTGATCATGATATAATTGTATCATTCAAAAATCCACTTACCTTTAATTATTTCTTGTTAAGTATAAATATTATTTCAAATCTGCTCCCTTAATATGCACTTTTTTACTGCTTTTCCTACCTAACACGTTACCAGGAAGTCACGTTACCAGAGTCAGAGTAATAGTGAACACGTTTGACAGTGATTGTCGTCGCCTCATATTCAGCGTCGACGAATAGGGGAATCCCCAGTCATAATGTATTGCATGCGTGGCGGTCTTACTTCAAATCCATAAACAAAGAGATAATTACAGAACTCGATACTAGATGGCGCTGTTTTTGTTTGAAGAAAGTTTGCGGGCTAAAATACATAGAATTTCATCAATGACTTCCACAAAGAACAACATTTCTGTTTTTTCTAAGTCCGTATCTCTTCCGTATATTTCATAAGATATAAGCTTGGGCTACATTGTTATGCAACGTGATTTTGTCGCTGTCTTGCTAGCAGGGTTGACAGATATACGATTTAAATCGTACTCATACTATTATTTGTCTATTTTTTAATGTACGATCGTAAAGATTATGATCGTAATTCGCACAAAAACATACGACTTTTTGGTTACCTGGCAACATTTTTATTATGAAACGAACATGCTCACATCATCAGTCACATGCAACAATTTATTGGGGATTTCCCCTTCACATCTGGCAGTCCTGCTTGCTAGAATATAGGTAAGTCAGCCACAGTTACTGACGATCGATATTTAAAGGGTATTGTTTTTGTGCTAAATATTTCATAAAAACGTTATTTAATACTTTGTGGATTATTAATTTAGTTGATAATCACTGGAAGTAAAATGGATGCTAATTTGAGAGATCAAGATCTTCGTATAAAACAGTTAATAAAAGAAAATCTACGTAAGTACTCTTTTTATACCTAGGTAGGTAAGGTATAATAAACACAAAAGGTACTTAGATCGCGTGTGTTCGAAGCATTTATTCTAATAAATTTAATTTAAAATTGTAGAAAGAAAAAAATGTCTGCCAAGCCGTAGCCGAAGCCGATCTCCAAATATATTTGGCGATAGTGAGACCCAGTGTCCAGATGATTTACCCAGCGTCGTCGCAACAAAGAAAAAAACGAGGATAAAGTAAAAGAAAATTTACTGAAAGAAGAAACAAACTGTTCTAAATGCTTAATTTATGGAGAAGAGGATAAAAGAAATGAGTATTTCGGACTGTTAGTGGCTCAAGAATTTAAATATATACGGCCATGTGTGCGAACGAGGTGTTATGAAGAAATTTTAAAGTATCTACGGGAAGCAAAAGGCCAACATGTTGATCAACTGCAACATGAAAACACTGAAAATTAATTACTTTCATTTTATTATATATAGATTTTTAAAATTTCCTGAAATATTATTAGTTAACGTTTTATTTAATATTGTAGAATTGATCAATACAATTTATAAAAATAATTTATTGGTATTACTTACATATTTTCAAAAAAATACGTAAAAACCTATTTTTTTGGGTGATTATGGGAGTTTATGGGTGTTTATTGGGTTTTTACCAAAGCACCGGGTTTAAACCCGGTGCTTTGCCCATCTGTACTTGCAAGTAATAACTAGCTATTACAATTCGACTTTAGATAATTCATTTATTTCAAATTAATCACCACAACCACAACTATTTTTTACTGCAAATTGTGGCAATAAATTTTGTGTTTCACTTCCATTGTTTAGGGATCTAAATTTCTTTTAATAATAGTGCCTTCACGATACCTTGTCTCCATCCACCTAAACATAATAGTCCCTTTAGCCATCATTAGATTAACAGTGCACAAAGAGAGACACATCCATAAGACGCTTAAAATTATGAAGAACCAGAGCATTCGAAGTAACCGTCTAGGCTTTGCTGTAGGCATACCTTGAGGAGCGTACGATGATAAAAGGAAAACCTGCAATAATATATTTTTATAATGAAGAAATTAAATAATCCCTAATTAATATAATAAATATAACACTAATTTATCAATATTATAAATGTAAAAGTTCTTTAGGATGGATTATTGAATGGATATTTGTTACTCTATTATGCAAAAAATACTGAACAGATTTCAATGAAATTTGGTATAAACACTGGTACTTTACATCTTAATTTAGCACATAGTATAGGCACATTAGGTACTGATTCACGCGGGTGAAGTCGCGGGTACAGCTAGTACATATAATATATTTGAAAGCTGTAAATGATAACCCTATCTATATACAGTATTTTATATGTCACATATTATAAAATACATTATAATCCCATTAGTGTTATAAACATGGAAATTAATAATCATGTTTGTATAATTATTTGATTTGAATGAAATTTGTTATACGTGTAGGTTATATCCTTTTTTTTTATATATAAAGTTGCTATGTGTTAGGATATAACCTACCCCAAGGGTGTTGGGGTAGATCATATCCTAATATAACATATAGCAACTTTATATACTAATTTACGCAGACAAAACTGAAACAACTATCAAATAATATACAAATTAAATAAAATTCCCGATTATTTTGTCTACTAACATGGTAGCAACAGGCATACTAGTTTACTGAAAACAAACTGTATAGTTACCCTTTCCATTAAATTTTGTAATTGTTCATTATCAGATATCCTGAATAAATACAATGCATAAAGAAACCCCATGAAATGTAAAGCACTGGGGCCGATATATGCGAATACAATATTTCCATAACACACTTCTTTGTATGTATTGTATTCTTTAGGAGATGCTAAGGCTAGAGGCACCAGCTTGTAACAAAATCCTCTATCCCGTCTGTAAAAAAGTATACTTCCATTATTTCATTTACATTATTCATGTATATATACAACTTTAATACAAATTAGTAATTTTAATTAATCGCACTATTCTCATGCAAAAGGACTTCAGTGAACGTGTATTCAATCCAAATGACGATAATAGTCTCACCCGTTGCGCAGGATACTACTATCCAAATAAATTTTAGGATAGTCGATAAAATATCTATTACATAGGTTTATCACGTATTGTTGCCAACTTGCTAACTGCCTTTCTTTGACATTGATGCAATTTACCTAACTTCTTTCTCAACTATCACTGGTACTTGACCAGCGTATAAAGCGCAAGTGCTTCTTCTATTTTTAATCTATATTTATCTATATTTGATTGTATTTCTCTGGTCGCTTAAATATTAACACAACTATAATTATTACAGTTTGCCTATTTATTTTTAAATATTCGTACTGTTAGTGTGGGGCACTTGTTTACTATAAAAAAAAAAAAAAACTATTTGCCACATACCAAAGTTTCTTTATTTAATATCTGTACACGGTGTTCTATTATTAACTTATTTAGTTTACACTGCACTTTTAATTTATTTGAAGGTCTACTTGACTCACAATATGAGTTCAGGGTTTTATTGAGGCCGAATGATAAAACCAATTAGTTAATTTTGCTGGCCAGACAGGCGAACAGAAACCAGGTCCGTCGCTGGGTAGTAATTTGGCTAGCTAAATTACGACTGCCTAATTATGGGTTTGTATGAGTTTGTAAAGGCATAATACTGCTGATTTAAATGGATATAAATGATATTTCTATTCTATGCTAGGGTTGTAACAGTACGTAATCAAAATGCCTCCTACCTGAAGCATGACATGTATTGAAGAATATAGCCTAGAGACATATACACAGCAACTTGAACCGAATGAAAATGTGAAACACAAATGGTAAATTTTGATGAATTAGATACATCCACTAAAGGCCGCAATCCCATAATAGTGAGCAACTTCAAATATGGAAGTAATATCTAAAACAAATTTAATGAACTGAGTTTATACAATACATATGAAAAATTAATTGGACTACAAATACAAAATGTTTTATCTAAATAAAATTGTAGAAAAGTATGTTATCGAATCTGGAGCCAAATAAATAGGGCGGTAATTTTTTTTTAATGATAATGAAATGGTGACCCTGTCTGTGCTATCGGCATATGCTTGGCAGAGCAATGGAGTTTTGTATTTTGGAGCGACTTCAAAATGAAAGAAGAATTCAATTGTTTTTTTTTGTGTTTATCTCATAGGTTCATTAATTCTAAACCGATTTGGAAAAACCTTTTATTTTTTTATTTTAAAGAAAATACTTACTAAAATTGATTCAGTATTTTACTTTTGAGATCAAAATTACTGATTTTATCACAATTGAGGTCACTTTTTTTAAAACAAAATCTTTAACTATATTTGTATATTTACTACATAATGCCGCCATCGTATCATCGCTATTATATTATCGTGTCATAGGAGGCGACTAAGGGAACTTAGGAATGGGCAACAGCGCTCCTCTTAAAACATCATAAAAATTTAACTGTCACTGCCAACTCGCCTGCCAAACGTTGCAACTATTGGTAAAACCTCTCAGTTTGGAAGGAAGGGTTTGTTAGCAATAGGGAGGTTAATCCCCATTGCTATTAATATATCTTATCAGGTCGACCTCTAAACGGTTCTCCCTGGAAACCATCATGACTAATTTACCGTTAAATTCGACACGATGGACGAACTGACCTGCCTTTTCATCCTCACCAATCCTTCACTGATACTCCTCCAGCGTATGCCGATAGCTCAGGCGGGAGTACAATTCCATTATCACCCATTAATAAAACACCCTCAGTTTATAGGGTAGGTCTATGTTCAGCAGTGGACAGAACGGCTGATATGATGATGATCTCACCACATTATATCCTCATGTTATACTGTACTAACAATAAATATTTATTACTCGCCTTTGATTTACAGTAGTGTAATATTGCAGAAGTACTCATATATTCTGTATCTGGAGATTCAGTTATTTCACCAATCTAAAAATAATAAGTGCTAATATTACTTATTATTATTATAACGATAAACTTACCTTTATGCAGTATGTATGTAGCAAACACAGATTACAATGTATTATTGGATTTGATAATTATCTTAACTTTATACTTAAGAAGGGGTTATATTTATATTATCTGATAATTTCAATAAAAATTTAACTCACATCAACACTATTACCGCCAAGGCTGGATCTCATTGATCTTTCCATCGTCTTCTCGTTACCCAAAACGTGAGTCTCCAATAGATCGCTAGCTACATAATTGTTTAAAAAGTGAACATTAACTTGTTTATTACCCATTATATCTACTCTATAATTATTTATACATTATAGAAAAAGATAAAGAGACATTTAAAAGGATTCATTAACAATGATGATAAATTTAATCCACCTCATTTTTAAACTTATTGTATAGATACCTTCATTAAGTAGACGAATGACACTCACCACTGTCATATGAACTGTTACCATTATGCATATTTTTATTAGCAAAAGACGCAGTTTTTCTTGTATATTATTACAACAAAATTAGCTAGATAAAAATATTTAGATTATTTCCATTGCTTATTTTGGTATATCACGTAATGCGCATAATACATATCGTGTTGATACATTTCAAGTGTATAATATACAACCAAAGTTTTGTATGGTAGGTATGAACACTAATAATTAATATTTATACTGTACTGATGTGCTTTTGTATTATTAATATGTACGTCGCAAACTCACAACTGTAGATACGCAATTAAAAATAATATCACACACAATGACACTTGCTTTTCAGAGATAATAAGTAAACTCCACTTTTATAAGTAGTATAGATTACTCCGTATAGATATAAGTATTATTAAGTAAATCAAATACATGCGAACGATTGCAGCTATTGAAGAAAAGTATTTAAAAAATCCATTCAAGTGTGAGTAAAACCAACGTATTAAAGATTCCGTAGTCAAAATTATGCTAATTGGGAATAGTGTGTCTGCCTGCAAAAAGACAGCAGGCGCTGCAATATTTGAATTTTGTTTGTAACCACAAATGTTGAAATAAAAAATTAATCCAGTTTTACATCGTCACATCATCATAGGTTTTACTGACAGGTACCTACCCTAATTACGGTAATAAAGTCCTGGGTGGAGTGGATACTCGTAAACATCCATCAATTGTAAAAAGGTGGAAATATCGCTTTATATGCAAAAATACAAACTCATTCAGAACCATTTCCTTTAGCAAGCCGCTTAACAAATAGACTTCGTAGTATACTCTGAGGTCCACGTTATTGTTCATGTCTATAGGCGACTGTTATCCTTTTCTGTCGGGTCGGCCGTCAGTCGTGTACATCATTAGTGATTATATTATATTAAGTACTAAGAGTAACTGTAACAAACATACAAATATCCAAATATTTAAACAAACCTTTAAAATTTATAATATTGTAGATTCATGAGATACAGGGTGGCCCATAAGTCCTTAGTAATGAAAAAAATTAATTAAAATAAAACTAATTACACTATGAATAATATTTTTATTTGTAAATATAGCTAGAAAAACGGGAATTATTTTTTGTAAATAACGTCGTCCAAATGTAATCCGTTACAGTCACGGCACTCTTGCACGCTTGCCTTCTGAAATTGTCGATGACTGCGCGGCACGTCACTGCTGAAATGCTTGCCATTTCTCTGCGGATGTTTTATTTTAGGTCATTAATTGACCGCGGGTTAGAGTCGTACACTTTAGCCTTAAGGTAGCCCTACAAAAAAAAATCCATTGGAGTCAGATCCGGGCTACGTGGTGGCCAGGAAATGTCTCCTCTCTTAGAGATAACTTTGTTTGGAAAAAGTTGACGGATAACGGGCATAGCAGTATTGGAGGTGTGGGAAGTTGCTTCATCCTGTTGAAACCATGTTCGGGCATTAAAGCCTGGAAAGTTTTGCAATTTTTGTGTGAAAAACTCCTCGATCATGGCCACATATCGCTCCGAAGTAACAGTAACAGCACGCCCTCTGCCGTCTTCAAAAAAGTAAGGCCCTATGATGCCATGGGCTGACATAGCGGCCCAAACTGTAACTTTAGGGCTATGTAAGGGCTTCTGGTGCTTAAGTTTTGGATTAATCGGGCTCCAATAGCGGCAATTTTGTTTACTAACATGTCCGTTAATGTGGAAGTGTGCCTCATCAGAGAACATTATGTTATTGAACGAAGTAAACCGATTAAACATTTCATTAGCATAATTCACTCTCTGAATAGCATCAGTTTCTTTTAATTCTTGCACCAACTGAATTTTGTAAGGGTGCATAAGTAAATCTTTCTTCAAAATCCGTTGTAACGATGTCCTGGATACGTTTAATGCACTGGAACGCTTACGAGTTGACTGTGTAGGATTTTCACGAATAGATTGTGCCACTGTGTCGATGTTTTGTTCCGTACGTGATGTCCTTGGGCGACCCAACCGCGGTTTATCTAACGTCGAACCGGTCTCCTCGAACTTAGCAACCCAATTCTTAATCGTTTGGAGAGCTGGGGTGTCATCAAAGTTGTGTAAACCTTTGTGTTCTCGAAATTTACGCCTCGCAACGGTTGCCGAATTGTTGTTTTGATAAAACTCGCGCACACAAAACGCACGGTCCGCTCTGGTGAAACGCTCCATCGCGACTAAATTCCCAGAAACCGAAGATACTGCCCCCGCTTCCCCTGCACCGCTCACGCGCGCCGTTTTCGTTTAATTAAAATTTTACTTTTCTAAGGACTTTTGGGCCACCCTGTACTTAATACAATCCCTAACCGCGTTTTTTTAATGATAATAAAACGGTAACCCTTATCGGTATCATCATTTCAGCCATAATCTGCTGGACATAAGCCTCCCCCCCTAGACTGCGATAAAGTACGGTCCTGAGCCACCTGCATCCACTGACTCCCCGCAATGCATTTCTGGTCGTCGCTCCATTTAGAGGGGTCGTCCTACACTGTGTTTACCCGTACGCGGTCGCCACACAAGAACCTTTCTTCCCTATCTGTTGTCGGTTCTTCAAACTATGTGACCAGCACATTGCCACTTCAGCTTGCTTATCTTTCGGGCTATGTCGGTTATTTTGGTTCTTTTGCGGATATCCTCGTTTCGGATTCTATCACGCAACCCTTATCGGTATATGCTAGTGTACCACCAGTGAATGACGACAGATGAGGATGAATGCAGGTCAGTTGTGATGAATTCATCAAGAATTAACCACGACGGTTTCCAGGGTAAACCACGTGGAGATCGACCTTATAGGGTACATTACAACTAATAACTTACTAACAATCCCTTTCCTCTTAATGTCGTAGCCAAATGCATTTGCTGACTATTGTCTACCATTTTAGTGATAAATATTTCCACTGTATATCTATTAGACGGACGGCACTGGAGGAGTGACCTAGCTGACAAAAATTAAATCAGTCAGGTGCGAGTCGAACTTACATATAGGAGATAAAATGACCTACAATAGTGGTTAAAAACTGAAACGCATAACTAATCTCGCAGCCTAATATCGAAGAGTTTATTTTTCATAATTTCTCATAAACTGTGCTAGTTAGAAAGAAACATCGAATTTCCTTTATGCTATTGCTTTTTAACCTTTTTATTTATAAATCAGAAACTACGCAGCATAAAAATAATAAAAAAAAATAAGACAAAACTCTTTCCCTAGTATTATATATACTAAATTTTGCAAAGAAAGAAATCCTATTTTCAATTCTTTTGAAATATGTATAAGCCAAGTGTATCTACAACTATTTAAAATTGTAAAACGATATAATTATTGATAGCATTAATAGTTGCTAAGATAGAGCGCTGTAATTCCTAGGTTCACTTGGTTCTTGTGTATCATTTTAGTACGGAACCCTAAAAATTACTAGTAAAAGCATTTTACTATATTGAAACAACTTTTATAACACTTCCAAGCTTCACGTATAGGTAATTTCTAATTATGACAAACTACTCTTAACAGAAATTAATTTTAATAACCGTAGGATATAAAAATAATGAAAAATATTATATTATACATAAGAATATTACATGTATTTATTCTTAACAAATAAAAATATATGTACCACTTTACGGAGTGATTCACTTTTGTCCAGACCGCTCATGATCTATAGTAATTAAATATTATGCAAGTATATGTTGTTATAACATTTTCGGCAACTTTCTTTTTGTTAAAAATCCTGTTTTTCGAACAATCTGTTTCCTTTCTTGATAATGCTTTTTCATTTTTTTATGTTTTTCTGATTCAGATTTCTTTCCTCGCATTGTAAACTTCATCTCCCTGTTGCCTCCTGTTCCAGTCACCATAGCTGAGTAACCCTCTTTAGCTAGGCGATCACCTAAGCTTGCTTTACTTACTTTTGTTATACTTCTAATATTACTTGTAATTTTTGGAGCTTGGTTTAATTCGTATATACTTTCCTTATTAGAGTTATCTAACTGATCTACATCTTGTTTTTTATATTTTATGATTTTGTGTTGTTTCTTAACTTCCTTTACCCACGAACGATCTTCGTCGGAACTTTCTTCAGTTGATTCATACAATTCTATGTCGGAATCTTTATCTTCTTGTTCTTCAATATTCTAAAAAAAAAGCATAATCAGTCACATTAACTCGGAATAGAATGAACAAACTATAATTCTATTTGAAATATGTAATAAAAGTTTGTACCTGTACAATATCTGTATTAACACTCTTGGTTTTAACTTTGTTTTTATCAAGTCTAGATAGAACTGGATTAAGTAGTTTATATTCTTCCGCCTCTTTGTCAACTTCAAAGTCTGGATTTTCAAATAGTGCCTAAAATCAATAAAATAAATAACACATGTATTAGTAAATATTTACAAATAATAAACAATTGTATTAAAAAATTTCGTGCAATATTTGCGATTATTACCTTAAATCTATCGTCTTTTAATAAATTGGTAGGTTGTTTTTTCTTATGAGCATCAATATCCATAAGCCGAGAAGCCAAGTCTTTATTAACTTTCGGTAAGTTATCTTCAATTTTGATTCGAGATGGTCGTTCTTGTTCAATCTTTTCTCTTATTTTCCGTTTCTTGTATTCTTCAAATGCAAACGGATCTGCTATTGATTTTGCTCTCTTGTATAATCTCACGTCCACAAAATACCTACAAATTATAATATTTATTGAGTAATTATTATTGACAGTGCCTGTGACTTCAATTGGGATAACTCACTAGGATAATAAACTTTTATTCGTTAAATTTAAAAAGTCCCAGACGTCCCAGAATTAGATTAATATTCATACTCACCCATGCATATAAGCTCTTAAAAGATTTGTTCCAAGCAGGTGATCTAAACCAAGAGACTCCAACTCTTGTTTTGTTACAAATTTGTAATCATCATACACTGTCTGTGCAGCTGAACTTTCTAACTCTTCTGTCAAGTTATCTAAGAATGCACACCACCTTGGTGCAGGCCCTGTAATAGAAATAACAACTACAATATCCATCTGATATATGTTGCTAGATAATTTGATAATATGAAATTATATGAAACCTACCTAAAGAAGGAATGTAATATATTTGCATTTTTTGTTCTTCAACTGCCATCATACTTAGACCAGTATTTGGAATAACACATAAATCATTAAAATCTACTGATGACTCAATACTTGTGTACTGTTTACCCTGAAAAATAAATTCTAAAATGAAAAATATATATAAAGCTCTACATGTAGAAAATAGATATATATGCAAAAATGAAATTACAAGCAATATTGTTATTATTATGATATAACAATAACAAATAAAATTTAGCTAGAATTTTATTTTCAAAAACATGCTAGAGAATATAGCGAACTTAAATAACATTTAAAGTGACCTTCAAAAAAGTTTTTCAATTTTGCTATATTTTTCGCCATATGACGTACTAGCATATTTATTTTCAAGGGAGAGGCTTTAAAATAGGCTTATATGTACTCTGGGCACCAAACAATTGTAAAGTGGGCACGCCTATATATATTACTGATATTAATAACTAGATAGGAGCATACAAATATAAGGTAATAAAAATCTTACAGTATTTTTGTCCCAAATCTTCACAACTTTCGCATCCATAGTGTATACATAGTCCATTTGTTTGTGGAATTCTATATTTTTGATAGGCATTTCATTCAGATGATCTTTAATTAATAGAGGTTTACTTGATCTTATATCATATAATAAGACATGGCCAGTTGATGTTCCCACACCCATCTTAAGGGCATCATCAAATTTCAGAGATGTTATAGCTGGTAAACTGTCATTTCTGTAAAGATCAAAACTAATATTAATTTGTTATAATTTAATACAACTTAGTTTAAATTAAATAAATACTCACCGATAATCATAGTCTGTACAATGTATAGCACAATCTAATATTCCTTGCCTAGTTTTAGTACGAGGGTCCCATGCTTCCACATGTCCACTTCCACTACCTGTTATTACTAAACCATGACTTTCATTGACAGTACAGCAGTTTATTTCAGTTGCTTTTGTCACATATGGTGCTAAAAATTGACCCAGTTCTAGATTTAATCTGTAAATTTCCTAAAATATAATACATAAATGAAATTACTAATATTATAAAGAGGAAAGATTTGTATTTTTGTGTGTATTTGTAATGAATAAACTCAAAAACTACTTTGCCGTTTTTTTAAATTCTTTCACCATTAGAAAGCTACATTCACCCTGAGTAACATAGGCTATATTTATTGCTAGAAAAGATTAGGGATCCTTACTAAAACTCTAGTAACGTAACTCAAGGTGTAAAAAAACGCTATAAAATATTTTTCGTTGCGTGCGCTGCGGAAACTATTGGTGATAGAACAAAAGTATGTTCTGTGTAGGAATATAGGCATGTTGAAATCATGCTTGTCAGAAATGGTAATGGATGAAAGATACTGCTGGCATCAGAGAGTATTATATGATGTCAATGTCTATACGCAACAATTACCATTTCTCATCAAGTGGACTATTAGGTTAATTATAAAATTGCATAAAAATTAAAAATGTAACATACTGAGGATGCACCAACAACAAATAAGTCACAAGATGGACGGTGATAAGCTATATCTCTTCCAAAACGTGGAACTCTTAACCGATAGTGCCTGCCATGTCCAACGTGGAATTCAATGTAACGGTCACATTGTAAGAATACAATCTGAAACAAAAATAAAAACATTTAAACAAACTTTAAAAAAAAAGATGAATAATATAACCAAAAAGCGAAAAATAAACTGATATTAAACCTTTAAAGGACAAAATGTGCTTGAAGTCGGTTGCAAATGATCGTTGTTGATAAATTTGTATAATTTAACAGAAACTCGCAGATTCTTTTAATGGCTGAAAATATAATGATAACCACGCCTGCGCTATCGGTATACGCTGGCGGGGCACCAGTGAAGGATGACAGGTGAGGATGATAAGGCAGATCAGTTAGCCCATTATGAAGAATTCACCACGATGGAAGGGAACCGCGTGGACCGATACCCTATCGGGTAATATATACACTCTATCAGGTCGATCTCCACGCGGTTTCCCCTGGACACCGTCGTGGTTAATTCTAGTGGAATTTGTCACCATAGGCTAACTGACCTGCCTTATCATCCTCACCTGTCATTCCTTACTGTTACCCCGCCAGCGTATCCCGATAGCGCAGGCGTGGTTACTATTCCATTATCACCCATTAAAAAAATCATTGAGGTGTGGGGAGAAGGGATTATTAGTAATGCAGACTATCAGTCCGATTGCTAACAATATACCCTATCAGGTTGATCTTCCCGTGGTCCCCTGGAAACCATGTTAAATTCCAGGTATATTCATCACAATAGGCTAACTGACCTGCCTTTTCATTCTCATATCATTCCGCCAGCATATACCATTAGCATAGGCAGAGTTACCATTCCATTATCATCTATCAAAAATGAGCCATTGAGGAGTTTTGTCTTCCATCATCAGCTCAGCAACATGAGATGATGACTACCAAATGCAAATATCTGAATAAGTTTTGAAAAAATGTGAAATAATATAAATTCCTATAAAATCAGGGTTGCTCTCAATTTCAATCTTATTTATCAAATCCTGACCCCTTTGAATAAAAAAATATTTTTTCAAATTGGACCATTTTGGCAATTGACAGAGAAATCAATGGTCATACATAAAAACATAAATACAATTGAACATATAACCTCTTCCTGTTTTTAAGTTGCTTAAATAGAAATAAAGTTTTAACCCCAACAAAGCTTTCTAATATAGCAATTTATTGATATAAACAATTTTTAACATATATAAATCATATATCCTGTTTATTTTATATACAGGGAACATATTAGCTATATCAAATTTTTTTTGTAACTTTTGCTAATGACACAGCAACATTATGTAATAATAAAAACCTCATATAGCCTCGATATTTCTACAAAATCATCTGGACAAGATAGACAGATGGATGAAAGATTGGCACATAAAAGCCAGTGCCAGTAAATCAACTCATGTGATATTCACATTGAGAAAGAATAACTATTCTCCTGTTAAATTAGGAGCAGCTATACTTCCTCATAGAGATACTGGTAAATATTTAGGTATACATCTTAAACGTAAACAAACATGGAGACATCACAAGAAGCTGGAAAAGCTTCACTGGCTCTATTTACAAAACAGTATTGAAATGTGTTTAAACTTATTGAATTAAATTATGGGGCTCTGCAAAGAACTCCTATGTGGGAATGCTCCAAAAATTTCAGAATAAACCCCTAAAAATGATAGTAAATGCTCTATGTTCATTAAAAGTTCTGATCTACATGAATATCTACAGACTAACACTGTCAAGAAGGGAATTGAGTACAGAGTAAAAACATACAAGCTGTTTACTCTAGTTATTTTTAGTCCTAATAGTGTATATATGTTTTTATTCTATACTCAATTCTCTACAAATTCAATGAAGCACTAAGAATATACATTATTATGGCCCTGATATAGAATGGGCTACTTCCGTTTCTACAGGTATCATAAGAGGCGACTAAAAAAAAAACAATGGTCAAGGGATGGGCACAAGTATCCCTTTTAAAACATCACCAAAGTCTAATTGTGGTTGCCAACTCACCTGTCAAGCATAAAAATTACAGCCAAAATCATCTTTTATGGGGAGGCTTATATTCAGCAGTGAATAGTTTACAGCTGATATGATGAAGTCATAAATAATATTTATTTATGTACATATTTTATTAAATATAATTTTGGAGTTTGAAGTGAATTTTTGTTTGCTTTGCTATAAGGGATGGGCAGCAGCAGCATCCCTCTTAAAACATCTCTAAAGCTTGATTGTGATTGCCAATCCGTCTGCCAAACTAACTGTGGTAAATACTGGCAAACTCCCCCAAGAGGCAGGCTTATGTTCAGCAGTGGACAGTTAAAGGCTGACATGATAATGATGATGCAGTTAAAATTAAATAAAAATAATATAAATACAATACCTTTGTGTAATCATCACTTAGAATTTCAAATGTGACTACTTCAGAATCTAAGCATCTCTCGAATTTCAGAGACAAATTGTTAACATCAAAACATTTGATTCTTGGTTTGTAGATACCTGTTGCCATAATATACTGTCCATCTTTAGAAACTCGCAAGCTGGTACTCACACCAGGCATATCAAATTCCTGAATAAGTTCAATTCTTCTCCTGAGGTCTACATTTTTCTTCAACAAAGCTCGTTTTTTTCTCTCTGTTAGCCACTGTTTAGACAAATAAACAAATATAATTGATCAGAGAAAATTTAATATGAAACCAAATAAGCAGTTAAAAATGAAGTAGGTAAATTCTTAAGGATATATATAATATAATTATAGATGTATTTAAAATGTATATTTATTTATTTATTCTTTATCATTTACTAAATAGACTTAATATTATAGCATTCTCTCTTTGTAATGTAATTGTAAATTGTAAATGATTTATTCGTAAGTAGGAACCTATTTTGAAGTTAAATTAGCGGTACCTATCTCTAAATAGTATAAAACAGTTGCCGTCCGCGTTTGTTTTTCATAATTTTTGTGAACTATACACAGGACATTGGTATGGGTTTCTTACCGTCTTTTATAGTGTTTAACTATGTACGAATTGAATATTCAAAATTAATAAAGAACTAAAAAATAAATATAAGTACTTAATATAAAAATCTGCTAATAAACATGTACATGTTAGTTTAGTTCGTACTTACATCTGGTAATGATTTTCCACTGCTGAGATTGTAAATTTTTACATTATCTATTTCAAACACTTGCATTTTTCCTGATTTTTAGAATAAGCATATAAAAAAAATCCTTCATGAGCAAAAAATTATAAATATTTTTAAAACATCGCTAAAACTAACCTAAAATATTATATAGGCAAAGACATTAGAACCAATACAGCCTAGTGTTGTTTTTTTTTTTATTAATATGTTTTACGGCTTGAGCCTAGTCTTGTTTTTTTTTTCGGGTTGCCAGATACCAATTTAGGTTTTAGCCCAAATGTTAAATATTTTTCTTTAAACCGATAAGATTTTCGGGACTTTAACCTAATCACAAACTCGTAATGTATTTCGCTACATTTTATCGTGTCTCACAAAGTGAATGACGAAAGTCATTCCTTCTATTTTTTCTTCTCCATACTTTTTTGTTATGTAGTTTTATCAATTTTTACTTAATTATATACCTTCATAGATGTTATAAGTATTGAAACTATTGGTCAAAATTTTCGAAAACAATATTCAAAACTCAAAAAGCCTGTTTCACTTTTATCCAAAAATTTCTTTAAGAATTTTATTTCTCTAAAATATTGCGAACAAAAAAGTTTTCGAACCAAAATTACAAAAATGTACCCAACCTGGCAACACTGAGCTTGTTTTTCTTTAAAATATTTTAACGGTTTTATAAATGTTCCTTAAGCCAATTTTTAATTTACCCCAATTTTTTGCCTTGTCTTTGTCCCTAATCGTCGTATATAAGCTTGTATAATTATGATATGATATCGTGCCAATTAATATATAGTTATTGACCAATTATTTAATTTGTCTAAGAATGAAGAATTATAACAAAGGAATGATAAAACAAAAACTGTAAATATATAATAAGGAGACAATCATAAGATTGCTACCTTTTTTCTTATGCAAATATAACTAGTACAAAAAGGACGAAAGATTCACCATCAATTGCTATTTTTGTCAATTCATGAGTTAGCGTATAGAAAATGTTATACTGTTTGCATACTTTCTAGATAAACTGTGTCGAATATTAATCTAGTAATATAAAATATGTCATATAATATATTATTAATAAATATCAATAATTAATTCTAATAGTAATTATAATAAATCAAAATGTAAATAAAATTTTGTAAGTTAATTCAAAGTATGTCATTGATAAATAATTGACATGTAATCTATTGACATTTTTTATTCAATAACCTGCTAAGAATTGAGAAAAAAGCAACTGGTGGTGTATCTTTCGTCCTCTTTTTACTAATTATATTTGCAGAAGAAGAAAGGAGGCAACCATATGATTACAGTTTTTATTTTATCATTCCTTTTATGTAATTCCTCGTTCTCAGCATTATACGGTAGGTATCATATCTGCGCAATGTACAGTCTGATTCTGCATTCGCCATAGTCTTTTTAATCTGTACCATCGGCTGTTGTGTACATAATCTCTGGTTGTGATAAAAACTTCAAATAAAGTTATCAAGTACTAACCTATAACTATTTAATTTTGATAATTTATATTTGCTATTGTAAAGATTTAATTTTGTACTGCTTTGAAAATGGCGAATTATGTTAAGAAAAAGCTACAATTACCTAAATCAGTATTAGACATGAAGTTTATGAAGAAAACAAAAGATCGTATCGAAAGGGAAATAGAAAATACTCAAGATCATGATGGCTTATATTCCAATATTATTACAAATGAAATGCGTCACGCTACTGGTAACTTTATCACAGAAACCAGTTTTATAGTTTGTGAAGACTTATTAGAGGGCAGATTGTCATATAAAGGCATGAATCCTGAAATAGAGCGTCTCATGGAGTTGGAAAGCAAAAAACAAGAACCAGCTCCTGATATGCAAAAAGATATATCCGATGAAATACTGGCCAAAAAAATGCAATCCTTTAATAATAGAAAGAGATCTTACAATAGCCCTAGTAAATATAATGTCATTAAAAGAAAAAAGTGATTAATAATTATCCAAATGTTCTATTGCAATCCAGCAACACAGTTTTGCTATTTATGTGTGTAATGGTTGGTTGCCACTTTCTATGAAGCTGGCTTGTCTACCAAAAAAATTATATACTTAACCCTTTGCAACCCATTGTCACCGTATTTGCAACATTAAAATGCTAACATTAAATCCACTGTTGAGACTATGGTGATGTAGTTGGTTTACTGACTCAGCTCCCTTAATACTTAGGTAAGCAAAATTGTCTGTGTTTATGTTTATAATAATCACTTTATTTAGTTTCTTATGGTTACAATTATAATTTTATAACTCTTCATGCAGTGAAGATGGAAGGTGAAAATTTTGACAATAGTTGCGATTTGGAAGATGATCTTGATTTTGCATTGTATGATGATGATTCAAGTGAAATACCATTAAAAGATCATTTAGGGGCAGATAGTGATGTAATAGTAGTTAGAAAAAAAAATGAAATTATTGAATCTGATTCAGAAGACTAAGATGCACCACCTGTAGACAACAATGCATGGGATATTACAAGAAGCAACATTCCCTTACAAAAAATCAACTTTTCCACAGGAAATAAAGTACCAGGGCCACAAATTTTCAACATCGAAGAACCACTACAAAATTTTAGCTATATTTCATGGAAGAGTTGGTGGACAAAATTGTGTCAGAAACAAATAGTTATATTTTATACTTTATGCCAAGAACAAATATATGTTTTGCCAAATGTGCAGGATTATTGGTCTACTAGAGCAAATACCAAAATACCATTTTTTTTCTAATGTGTTCTCTAGAAAAAAATTCAACCAATTATATTGGACGTTACATTTAAAAATAGTAAATCAGCAACAAACATATAACAGAACACATATTCAAGTGGTGGGTAATTTTATGAAATATATCAATTTAAAATTTGTGGAATATTTTATACCTAGACAAGATATATATGTCAAGGAATCTGTAATAAAATTCAAAGGTAAAATTAGTTTTATAACTTACAATCGGATTAAGCCTACAAAATGGGGCATACACATGTACATTTTGGTAGACTCAAAAACTGGGTATGTATACAATATTCTCTCATATAATGGTAGTATTACCTCGGATCTTATAAAACCTCAATTGCCTGTTAGTACTAGAATTTCATTGCATCTGTATAACAAATTATTGTCGAACATACTAGATGCACAAGGTTATCATATATATACAGATAGATATTAAACTAGAATTGTACTGGCAGAAGAATTACTACAAGTGAAATGCCATCTAACAAGTAGAATAAAAATCAATTGCAAGGTTATTCCTGACCCAACAAGAAACCCGAATTCAGTGAAAATAAATCAGTTGCTTATAAAAAGGGAAAAATGATGATGGTGAACAACAAAATGTGGAAAAGGCAAAAGTTGTTGTTAACTACAGGGCTTCAATGGGTGGTATTGATCGCATGGTTCAATATGTATCATCATATTGTTTCCTAAGAAAATCTTCAAGTGGTGGAGGAAAATGTTTTTTTGGGGAATAGAGATGTCTGCCATAAATGTATACATTTTATATAAGTTTGTAAAAAAAGTAAGAATGAAAAACCACTCCCATTTTCAGTTAGTCAAGAGATTAGTTGATTAACTCGTAGGTGAGTTTCGCAAAGATGGATCAAGACCTTTCAACACATGAAACAAGATGACAAAAGACTGCATATAATGCGAAAAGGCAAGAAAAGAGATTGTGTTGTGTGTTCTAATAGACAAGAAAAAGAACAAAGATGCGAAACTTCGGAATATTGTGATATTTCCCTAATAAACTGTGAATGCATATGGGTGATTGTTTCTTAAGATATCACACTTTAAGAAATTTTAAAAACTTATGTTTTTCTTTTATAATATTAGTTAGAATATGTTTCTTTATAAAATAGCTGAGAAATAAATGTTTCGTTTTAATGCATCATCTCCATTTTTCTTTTACAGCACAGGTATGTACTTGTAACTAATATAGTGCTGGAGTTATTGGTATCCTCTATGAGTTACTAGGCTGGAGTGCAAGAGGTTAACATTTTAAGAGCTGTTGTTTTTAAGAATAAATAATTAATTTTAGATATATGCACATTTTATTTAAAATTTATAATTTTTAATAACCTCTGGAGTTTATTATAGAATCCACTTTATTTTCAGTACCATTTTTATGTTATATAGCTATTCATTTAGTTTTTATTAGTAATACTATAGCCATACACATAAAATGTGAAAATGAAATTTGAGGTTAAAAACAGTTATTTCTATGATTAAAATGTCTCATGTAAGTAAAAACTTTCTATATAAATGATAAACCTGATAGAAAGATGGAAGTCTAGTTATATTAAGTATTGAGTATTTAATAATTCCTTTTTTGAATATTTGATTTTTCCTTTAATGATGACTATTCTAATCAGTCTATTGGAGTCTTTTCTGAGATACAATTCCCTGAACCTAATACTTGAAATAGAGAAAATTTTGATTTATTGTCTACCAAAAATTAAATGTAGTTATGATTCAATTTTGTGAGAGTTCAATCTCACAAAATTAAATCATTTTGAAACTCATCTTTAGAATAACTATTTTGCTGTAGGTATGTTAGCTTAATTGAAGTAAGCTTTTTCTAGAACACTAGTACTGAAAAATTAATTTGATGATATATAAAAAGCCTATAAGGATAAAAATTTGGGCTTTTTTTATAATACAGGAGGCAAACGAGCATGTAGCTCACCCAATGGTGAGAAGATTAAATAAATATTTTTTTAAGTGAACTTTGTTATAAGTAGTTATTATTTTTATGATTCTACTGTAAATACATCAGATAAATTGCGAATATTTCAGATATTTTAACTGAACCTTAACCTTTAAACTTTGTAGCACTTGTTGTGACTCTAATGCCAGCTTCAAATCGGCAACATTCTATTGTATTTGATTTTTTAAATATTTCTAAGGCAAATCACGTAAATATATTTAAAATTTTATTCTATACTAGCTGGCCACCCTAGCTATGCACGGGTGATGTTTTTCAAACATTTTTATATCATATAACTCTTGTCCTGACAATTGTGTCTATTTACTGTGTAATAATGTATTTATTGAGTAATTGTTTGAAATGATACCCACGGCCACTTATTATCATTGTATCACTCGACATTGACAAGGAGTTACCCTCACACACTTGAACCTAAATGGTCACCTATAGTGCGGTTTCAAAAGAATTTTTTCCCACGCAATCTCAGGCTGTGGAATGAGTTCTCTGACGAGGTTTCCCCTAGGGACTACAGTATGAGATTCAGTAAAATTATCCTATTTTTATAAAAAAATACCCTATATTAGTTTCTTCAAAGTCGGCAACGAGTACGTAACATTCCTATTGTTGCAGGCGTCCATAGGTTGCGGTGATCGATTGCCAACAGACGGGTTGTGTGCTTTTTGAACCTTCATGGTATAAAAGTTGCAGTAGGCAATTAAAAAAAATCTGATATATCATTAAAGTAAGCACTCAGAAGGTTCAAGTAGATATAATAATCTTGTATTCGACAAGGCGACTGGCAGATAATAAACAGAATATAAATTTGAATTTGAGTAAAAGATGCCGTCTAAAATAATATAAGCAAAATTTTATTTTAATATATATTTAATATGTTAAACTATTAATTATAAAATTAAATTATATAAAGATTTTTTTTTTTAAATTAGATCAGTCTGTTTTAATTTGCCATGTTACTTTAGGATTTTGATAAATTGTATAAGCTTTTCTTATTGATCTGTGCAGATGAGGGTCGGTCTATTGGGTAATTAGTTGGACATTTTGACTTAAACTCGTGTGATTATTATGGATACTATTTGTTTTTATTATAAATAGTAGGTACTATGATATATTTAATAATACTCAATATTTTCCGTCATCTGCGCAGGTCTTACATATATTTTTTGAATTTATTATAATCCATGTTGTATAATCAAATAAATAATGTTGCACTCACAGTATGTGTATTGTAAGTATGTCTCATTTTTACTTATTTTAAATCAATAACAATAAGGTAGTCAGAACAAGTGAATAAACATATTTTACAATAGATTAACACATTATTTGTCATGCCATCATATGATCTTGTGCAAAATTGTGGTAAAAAGTTGTAGGGTGACTATGATAAAAAGGTTAATTTTATCCTCAGAGACATAATGATCAAGTAAAGTTTTTATTTTATCTATTTAATAATAAATGAAAGCTATATAATACAGAACTTTAGTATTCAAGAAACTGAACAACTTTCCCTAATTAGTGTCATGTAAAAATTACATATCACACTGATAAGATACCATTTTGTAATAACAAATTCATCCAAAACTAATAATAAGAAATTAATAAAATTATATTGTTATTTATTCTCATTATGTGCACGTAGAATAAAATTTTACATTGTTAGATGATTACTATATAATATTCTATAATTTTTTTTCTTAGTGTAATAACACACCATGTTATAATAAGAAAAAATATTATTAATGCTAATGAAGTAAGCTCTATTCAATTTGGTATTTCATTTGTATCTCTACAGATCAAATTCCAAATTTATTATTGTGTATTATGCATGACTACTACAGACAGTAATTTATTAAATTGACTGTATATTAGAATCTGAGCAAGACCTTGTTTACCGAAGTGGTGGTGGGAGGTATGCAGATCATCGATTGACAGTTTATGCAAGGGCGATGAATGCGGTGCGGTGTAGGGGGGTTAGCACATTTTAAGACTGTTAAACAGTTTTAGGCATAGTTTACTGTATATTTAAAATCTAATTGCACTCTATATATCCATATATACTCATGGATATCGTGACGATACTCGCATCTTTCACCTAATTCGCCGCCGATAATAAAAGATTGCGTCGCACACAAATCTACACTGAATCTCGTTCAAACGCAAACTAGCTAGTGTGCCTCTTCGTAAATAACACCAATATTTACGCAATTTTTCACTGTGCAATTCCAATCGTGTACAAATCGTTAATTGGTGATTTTGCACAGTTCAGTACAGCTTCAAACAGTTTAGAAGTTCATAGTGGGTATACACCTTCGTACGTAGGCCGGTAAGTAGATATGGCGAAGAGGCAGGGTGGTGGGTCGACGGGGTGGTGGGGTGGGTCAGTCGAGCCCCTGCTGCATGAGGGTGTGCAGGTCGCGGAAGGCGGCGCCGAGGCGGCCCTGCAGCGTCTGCCGCTTGAGCAGGAAGGCGCGCACGTCGAGCAGCAGGCGGTGGATCTGCGCGCACTTGGCGTAGCGCTCCTCGCGCGGGATGTCCACGCCCAGCGCCCGCACCGGCGCGCCCACGTTCGCGCGCACCACCGACGAGAAGTTGCGCACGATCAGCCGCAGCGCGTTGCAGCCGCACTGCATGTATCTGACACACACACATGGACTATTTCAATGACGACTAAGGTGCACGACGTTAATCATGAAAACTACAAAACCGAAATACGTACTAAAATACCAAATTGCTATTTTTTTTTCATCTACATAATTTCATCGTCTAAACATATATGTTATGTCGTAGAAACTTGTAATACCAATAGGGCCGCATACTGACTCTATTCATAATATAAAAACGGCTTTATATATTAGACTAAATTTAATCAACCGACTGTTCAATATAACAGGATTTGAACTCGCATTCACATTTATAAGCACATCTATATAGACTGTTTTCAATCACATCACAAAAGATTATATTATGGCAAATTCTCAACCTCTTTCGAATATCATCAACTGTGACTGCAAATTAGCAAATTACAACTAAATCGTTTAATACATACGATTCATATTTACTCTGCAATAGCTCGTATATTTTGGGCAGCATTAACAAACAGATGTCTAGATTCCATAATGATCTGAAAATGAAAAAAGAACTTGGGTAACTAAAAACTATTTTATTAAAAACTCAGGTATTTAAGTCTCTGCAATCCACTTTTATTGGTATTTACCTACCTATAAAAAGAACAACGAAAAAAAAAAAAACTATACAACATACGACACGCTTGATGGTAAGCGGTTACTATTATAGACATTACTATAACCGCTTCACATTTTTCGAAGAACCACAATTGATAGTCTCATAAGTAAAACTCAACAAGCTTTAGGTATACGCATGTCATACAAATACGATACGAATTATGAATATCTATTTACAACTAGTGATCCGCCCCGACATAGCACGGGCAGATAGATAAATTAGTGTTTAATATTAGTTTTAACAGACAATTTTTTAAACCCTTGGAACTACATTATTGTAATTATCCTAGAAATTACTTGCTGGTGATATAACTCTTTATAGATGAAAGAATTTTTAAAAGCTGTTGAGTAGTTTTTAAGTTTATCCATTTCAAACAAATAATCAAATTTCCCCTTAATAGTATAGACTGCACATGTAACTAACTATTATCAAATAAGTAATGTGCAAGATTTCACTTACGGTTTATGCGCCATCACGTTGAGAATGTCCAATATGACTGATGTGTCTTCTAATGCAATAATGGATTCCAAAGCAGTCTTTAAATTCTTATTTACTCGTACAGAATGAAAGATCTAAAAAAAGTTATCAAAATTTGAGATATTATAATTTTTATTGAAAAATATATAGATGAAATATAAGTGCAAATATTAAGTAAATATTAAGGCGACATCGGATTGATGTCACCGACATTACTTCAATACCATAAATTAATGTTAGTGTCCACGGGTATCGAATATTTTTCTGTATTTTTGCTTTTCGGTTCGTTTACCATCATGGGGCCGCGCTGCACACGTACGTACCTGCAGGGCTCGCTGGCGCGCGAGCAGCACGGCCATCATGGAGTCGTGGCCGCGCATCATGACGCCGAGCACCTCCTGGTCGCTGGGCGCGGCGGGCGGGGCGCGCGCCCCTCTCCGCAGCCCGCCCCCTGCACCACCCAGCCCCCGCTGCACATAAACAATATACACATTATTTCACAAAATATTCAAAATTATTTCCATATTTCAACCCGTGCTCTACGTAGAAAGTCGTTTTTCATATTGAGTCCCCTCTCTCTTCGCTAAGCAAGCAAACTCTTGTTTATCAGATAGTCTATCGGATTGTGGATCGGCTGCGTTACCGACTAAAAATGATGGGTTTGGGGAGACTTGTTTATTTAAATAGACAAATGTAATGTATGTAAAAAAATAATAAGAAGAAAATAAATTACACGTAAAGGGAAAACTTTGTGATAAGGATCCGCCGAGGGACCTTTATTTGATTTGATATAGCAGTCTTGATAGAGAAATAGGCCATAAGAGTCACCTTAGAAGTATGAAATAATTAGTGCTATTTCGAGACTGCCTGAAATCGATTTATGTGGTTAGTCTAACAGTATAACAGTATACTACAGTAGTAGACATATATAATTATAGTACAGGAGTAGACTCATACCGGTAAAAATTCTTCAAGATCTAAACCAACGGGTCTGTCAGTTGCAAATGGAATAAACTCTGGCTCTTGTTCCCTTTCTGGTTCTCGATTAACGCTATCTACTCTTCTTCTGAAAAAGTTAGAAAATATTTTAAAATGCGTAACCCTGCATTTCAGAATCCCTAAAAAACTAAAACAATAATGTTCCAATAGCTCAATTTAACAGATAACGATTAAGTGTAATGGCATTAAAAAAGGTTAAATAATTTGCCAATTGAAATATTTTTAAGGGACAAGAGTTCGTTTTGTGGTGTAACCGAGAATACATTCTGTGGATAACTGCGAAATGTGGTTTTAAATCCCATCAGATCGAACTATGGAAAGGTAAATATTTCAATCTACTATTTACATTTTATTTCAATAAACTGTACAAATTTATAAATAAAAGTAAGTTTCAGTAATTTACCTTGTATTGTCACTGGATGTTCTAGTAAATGAGAGAGACCTTTGGCCCAATGATGGGGGACCTAATGATATTTCACTGTTACTTTGACGGAGATTGCTGCTTGCTAAAACAAATATTAAAAATGTTAAAAGAATTTCTATATGTCAGTCATATGAATATGGTTATGGTAATAAATTTCTTAATTGTAATACAAAGTATAAATATTAAACTTACATAATTCTGTAGTAGATTTGGTTTCTTTATATGAATTATGTCGGTTAAGCGTGCCTGTTGAGTGAGGGCTCGCAACATAATCCCTCATAGCAGATATTTGCGTTGTTGCGAATGTGTTATCCTCTTTAGCACTGTCCATCACCCCTGAGGTTAAGCATTTTGGAAAGCAAACTTTAGATATCGAGATATTACTTAGTTATTATAATTATTCATGTCAGTAGGATTTCGTTAATAATAAGAATTTACGTTTAGTATGCATGTACTTGGGATATTATCTTGTTATAAATCACATATTGAAATTAAAATAAGCAAAGTTATTTTTTTTTTATATTAATATAGGCATACAATCCAATGTCGAATAATACGAGGTACTAGATGACTAAACAGTATTTTAATTTTGGCGCTATGTTAGCGCTTAATTTTAAAATTATCTTAATAATAAAAACATAATTGTTACAATTACAATTAAGGTGAAATATAACCGATGAAAGGTGGTTATAAGCATTATAATCTGGCTGCTAGTTATGACTATACTTACTTGTAAATATGTCTGTTTTCTTTTCTAATACTGTGTAATGTTCCTTTGTGGAAGTGGGTATGCGCGAATAGTGTTCCGAGCGCTGCCGCTGCGGCGGCGAGTGCGACGGCGGCGAGTGCGACGGCGACGGCGAGCGGGGCGCCGGTGGAGATGGACAGGCGCCGGCTGACGGCGGCCTCTCCTCCACCATCAGATCGCGTAGTGAACTACTTATACCTCGTTCCATTTGAACTCTCGATTCTTGCGCTGAAATCATGTGTGTTATCAACATGTAATATAAATCGTGCTAGATTAGTAATTAGCGAAGTTTCACTCGCCATATAATGTACATATATATCACTAATTCATAATAATGGTGTGGAATTATATCGAATTCTTGGTACGGTAATGAAACTCATATAGAAATATTTTTTCCAAAATGAGAAAATAATTAGATTCCCTTCTCTCTAAACCTGACTACTAGTAAACTTGGTGTATGTATCCTTCCTCTGAAAGTGACAATCTAATTAAATAATCTACATGCTTTTAGAATTAAGTCTACCATGTACCTATACTTAAATATACTAATGAATAGAATAAATAAATACATATCCCATCTGTTTTATACTAAATTACTAATACTATTCTAATCTTATGTTATCTATAGATTAATATTGAAGTCTTACTTGAAATAGAATAGTCTTCAGAAGACAAGCTGGTAGCTGGAGGAGGCGTACGGGTCACTGAAAATAAATATAAGTTGTTTCAGTTTGCAAATCTCCAATAGACTTATATTTTATTTTTGGGGACACTATCAGATCACATTTATACATATCTACTTACATGCTCTAGAAGGACGGAAAATTTCAGTGTAGTCATTAAAATTTGATATAACAGCACCTGAATCCTCGTCTGCTTCTGTCCCAGAAGTTGACTCTTCTGCTGTCTTTTCATCAAGAGGCGTTGATCTATGCAAAACTGTAATATAACAAATATACAATACAATGCCACAACACGAGGTCGTATGTTTTAATGTTTACAACTGTCTTAGAAAAGCGTTACCTTGTTTAGGAGGTTTTTCTTTAGAGAAACTTTTTCGTACACTATGACCCTTTTGGAACGGTGAGAGGTCCCTTACCACAATTGGTGTCACTGGAGGGGGCCCTCCAAATGGATATACTTTATTGAGATCGACAACTGATAATACTACGTAGGTCGAATGAAACGAGCCCGCTATCTAAAAATATTCAAGCAACATTCATTTATAAATACTTAACATTTACATAAAAAAAATATCCAATTTACTATTCAAATGTAATGGATCTTACGAGCTGTGTTTGTGCTACAGTGATGTCATGGATTTGGCCCCAATGACAGTGTACTGTGTCTAGTGTTCGTATAGGTTCCCATCCAACCACATGTAACCCATCATTTCCGCATCCTAAAAGTGTAGCTCCATCCTCACTGAACACCATATGTCTAAAAATATATTTTTATTTAATACTAGTTGGAAAAATATACGCATTATGACTCAAACGAATAGTGTATATATTATAAAGACGAAAGATATGATTTTTTTGTATGTTTGTTTGTTTGTAATGGATAGAATCTAAAACTTCTTAACTAATTTTAAAAATGCTTTCATCTAGATAAAGCTACATTATTAGTGTGTCCACAACATGGACCTCTTTTATATATTTCTTTTTATAATTATTTTTTTCTCCAATCTATAACTTTCTATTGTTCCTATGTTTCATTGACTATCTTACATTTCAATACACTACTGCCATTCACTGCTTGTTTTTCTCATGCATTTATACATGTATAATAATGTATATGTAATAAATGCAAAATATTAAAAATTTGCCTATTAAAGCTAGTTTGTACGAATTTGTCTTATTTATCTAACCGTGTGAAACCGGACTGGATCGCTAGTGATATATAATTTTATGACTTGGAAAATACACAAGAAGAAAGTTAAAATAAAGACTCTATTAAAAGGATTTCTTTAATCTTCTTATTCGTTATATATATATAAAAATTTATGTTTGTATATAATTATCTGTTACCACTAGATGGCACTGCAGCATATCACGTCAACGGTATATTCTACTGATTATCTTATAAATCGGTATACGAAAATATTTTAGTGCTTTGTTGTTCAGGTTGTTACCCACTTTGTTGTTACTTGTCACTAGATAACGCCACTGTACATAAATAAGCTATATATACAGTATGTTAATTAATGTAACGCAATTCTTAAAATCAGTGTGAGTATTCATTAGTAGGATCTAGAAATAAAAATATTTTTTTTCTTAGATTTTTTTTTTGTATTACTAAAAACTAAAAGAAAATTATTTTTTCGAGAAAAAGAACCACCTGTGTCTGTATCAAAGGCACACATAATAATGGATATGTAAATATCTTGGGCTTTGTATTGATAATTAAAATTATACCTATTGATGGCAGAATAGAATAAACATGTTAGTATCACATAAGACCAGCTATTTTGTTATCCAAGTGGCTATTATTATTCTGCTCTGCTATCATTGATATGCTATATGCTATTCTCAATATTTTTTTGGGATTTTGAAACTTATTATGAAATATTCTTTAAAATCGTCTCTTAAACTAAATACTCATATTTTAGAGATAAATATAGAAAGTATAGTTTCAAACTTTCTTGCCATTTTACAAGAAATTAAATGTATACTAAAAATATTTTACTTTATTATATATACTACATTTTAATATTTTATATATACTAAAACAGAATAAATAAAATAACCATTTAATAATGGTAACTGCAACCAGTTACAAAGATATGTGCCACATTTACCTGATTGATGTATTATCCTTTTCAAATTTGGACACTAATTGAAACTTTTCCATGTCCCAGAAATTAACAGTCTTGTCTGATCCACAACTGGCCAGGAGAAACTCATGAGGATGAAATTTTACGCATGTTACTGCTGCTGTATGTTCTATAAACTCCTGCAGTACTTTGCCAACTCGAACATCCCAAACTTTAACAAGCCCTATTGAATATATTATGATTTCAGTATCTGCTTAAAAAACATTGTTTATACTGTTTTATGGAGATCATGTTACTATTGACTATTGGACATATAGGTGGAACAAAAATATGGAGACCCAATATTTCCAGAAATACAGTGGGAAGACAAATGGAGATACTAACCATCTTCACATGCAGAGGCAATCCACTGTCCATCAGGACTAAACTGTAGACTGTTAACAGCAAGTCGATGACTGGAATATGTAACAATACAGCCTCGTTTTCTTGTGTCCCATAATTTTATGTTGCTATCACAAGAACCTGTTGTCAAATAATCCCCATATGGATGGAAATCCATACACTTTATTGCCCCTTTATGTCCAGTGAATGTTCTTAACAATTTAGCTGCTTCCAGATCCCAAATTTTTAAAGCACCAGTTTGTGAACCCGCACATACTAAGTCTTCAGAATGTCCGAAACAAACACATTCTACTGGAGTTGTGTGACCACTTAGACTCTAAAAAAGAAACAATTTTAATATTATTGGATATTAGTATAATATCTTCCCCATATTTAGATCTAGATTCCCTATATTACAGCGCAGGTATTTTATACTGATTATAAGCAATTAAGCATTACACTGTAATGTGGTATTTTGGACTGTCTTCAAAAAAAGTTTCCAATTTGGTCGTAAATTTTGTTATAACAGCATCTGATTTAGAAAATTCTTTTTTTTTTATTTGAAAAGAATATACATTTGGAATCAGTCTAGTAGCTCATTTACTTTTTTAAATCAAAATAATTGGTATTGCCACAATAGAAATCCATTTTTTTTTATGAAATGATTTCTTAAATTACATATGTAAATATTATATAATTTACATGTTTATTACAGATGATACCACAACTAAAACTTGCTTGCTTGATGCTTTTTTAAATTTGTACTATTATATCATCTATTACATTTGCTTACTACATTAATGTATCTTCAGATGGTTGTTAGTATAATCCCAGCACAATACAAATATTTATTATGAAGAAAGTTAATAATGTGAACTGTGATGTTTTTAACACATTGATTGTAACATATATGATATCCGAATGTATGAAATACAAAACACAAAGGGAAGTTTTGATACAGAAATATAGTCTCAATAGACAGGAAATTGGTTTATTTTCAAATATACTCGCATTTCAGAATGGGTTGTAAATACATGGCATTATAAATAAATCTTGCTAATATTATAAATATGAAAATGTGTTTGTTTGTTTCTGCTTGGTTACCTTAATGGTTCAAACAATCATCATAAGATTTGGTTTATACATAGTATTTGGGGGTGTAACTTTGATTTATTTCAGTTAACCAATGGGTTCCAGTCATATAGAGAAGTTGGGGGTAAAAATAAGTTATTTATAAAATACCTGAATTGCAGTTAGTATATGAAAGCTTATTAAATTTAATTAGATTGCTTACCATTAAGCAGCTCTGTCTGCCAATGGCCCATAAATTAACTTTTTTATCGTCACCTCCAGTCGCCAAGACTTGATTTGATTTGTGTCCCATTGCCAAGCAATTGACATTTGCTTTGTGGGCAACAAATTCTTCTGTAAAAACGAAAAAATAATTTTTAAACGTTCTTGCCTGATTACTACTGTACATTGTCTGAATTTTCAAAGTTAAATACATACGCAATTTCCATGATCTACGAATGGATTCCATTGCATTTATTAATTTAAGATACGTATAGCCATTCCAAGTGGAACTGTGTAACCTTGTATGGATTTGAATCAAGCACTAAATATGGTGAAAACTAGAAACCTATAAAATATTATAACTACGTAATTTCGAAAATAATTATAGCGTCTTATTTTATTAAGTACACATTTATTTTTTAGTAGAGAACATTGATATTTTAAATAATTTGTTTAAAGTTGCGATTATTATTTGATAATTTGGTTATGATTTTTGGGAAACTAAACTGTAAGTAGGTGTAAATGAGCGAATGAACGACAGACAACAACTGTCACTATTACTGACACAATGTCAGTGTCAATCACTTTCACTTATAGATAAAATAATAGCAGTAAATTATATGATTTACTGCTTTTACTTTCTTATATATTCTTTTATTTTCTTACGTTGCTATAATAAGAAAAAAAGAACGAAAGATACATTTACTTTTTTAATTCATGGTAGGTATATTAACTTGTGCAAAAAAATCATTTGAGTGCCAATATTTTCGTATTAGTTCTTGTTCTTTAAATGACTATTTTCAATCTGTGACATCATTTTCAATTATTCTTCTGTTAATTGTCATGTCACCAACATTCCTGCAGTTCATTCTTAAGATGTACCTATAAAAAAGTACTCTGTGCTAGGCCTGCCATAGTTAAAACACCGTTGTTGGAATGACGTTCTTCTATACAGCTATGTTACCAAATTGTGAAACCAATTTTAGTTATGGCTGAGCATGGCTATCTTAATTAGTAATCATGACAGTCAAAGTGATAGCACCGTTTCAAAAACAGCTATTATTAACAGTTTTTCTTTAAAATATTAATATAACTAATATGTGTATTGATAAATTACGTAATAATACATAAAAATCTATTAATTTGTATTCAGTGTGATTAACTTAGCTCAATTTTCAATTGATTTGAAACAATGAGTAAACAATAATTATAATTAATACAGTTAAATATAACTAAAGTTTGTATATATTATGTAGTTAATTAATTTCTATGCTGTATTATTAATTTTGATGAACTTATAAAATTAAGTAAAATTTATTAGTATTGTTTTTACCATGGTTTATATTATTTATTGATATAAACTGAAATAAATTATAAATAATGATAAGAATATAAATAGTACATAAGTATTATCATCGTAATTTTAAAATTATGGTTGAATAATTATTTATACTTTAAGTACGCGGTTTCCGGATAAAATGTTATCTTTTAAAATAGAAATAATTTTAGTCATATTATATGTAACTAAAATTATTTTTTATATAGTTATATGTTATTGTAAGAATATTATAATTATAAATAGAGCTATTAATCTTATTATTAATTATACTTTTAAATATTATAATACATATACATTCTTCAGAATTCTACAAATGAATACGTATTTTTTTTTTAGATGCTGTTTGACTTGCCATAATATTTATTTATTTATTTATTTAATAAGGTTCACATACAACTTTTACATTTTACATGCAACTTAATAACACAAAAAATAATTTTGCCTAATGTAAAAATCTTTTATACGCGAACACCACGTGCACTATTATAACATTTAATAAATCATTAACAATAACAGTAAGATTATCTGAATAATAATTATGAACTTATGTCTAAGATTTTCCGCAATAAGCTGTACTGCTGTTGGTGGGTCCAAAATTGATGTCAATTTGATCGCTGTGAGCATTCAGAATCCTACACAATCTGGGTACAGGCGAGTTGGCTCCTAACACTGTTCTTCTTAACGGAGGACATAAAGAGACATATTTCCAACTGTTGTTTAATGCACCAAAGAGTTTATATTACTCAACTGTTAAAACAATTACATTTAAAATTGTAGTAGAACACAATAGAATAACTAAACTATTTAGATAATAGTTTATATTATGAAATAGATAGGTTTTTTTTATGGCAACTATTGATATCGATATTTTGTACGGAGTTATTTTGATAGTCGTACAACACTATGGATATCCATTTTCTTAATTTTTTTTTACAATTTTCATTTTGTTACTTCGATAAAGTAACATACATTTTAATTCCTAGGTTCCGTTGATATAAAGCCTCTGCTAACTCTTATAACGTAGTGATTGCACTTACTCTGTGATTTGTTTTGTTTTGACCTTTGATCAAAATCAAAGTTTATTTACGTTTAATTTTTTTTATACCTAAATAAAATTTAAATAAATAAGGAACTAAGGACCTGTTAATAAAATGAAAATAATGTTTTACAGCTTGTGTCAACGGATGAATTTAATGAAACGTTTAGTTTTACAAAGTAGATTACTAAATTATAAACAGGGTCAAGAGCCAATTCCAAATATTAGAGAATATTTCTACTACATCGATCATCAAGGAATGGTAAGAGATCCTTTCACCTAGAAGTTTTATCGACCTCGGTTTATTTTTCATACCTTTAAGAATTTGAATCTAATATATCTAACATGCATTGAAAATTTAACATGCATTCAAAAATTTTATAAAAACAATATTCTTTTAAACTGAGAATACTACCATTGACCTTGTTTTTATTTTCTGTTATTAATCATGTTTGAGTTACTTTATACTTGTATTTAGAAATAGTTTTAAATTTTGCCCTAGGTACCTCTCTTTTTAGGCTTGAAAAACTAATCATTAGGATATAAAAATAAAAATATTTGCTATAGTTACACACCTGGCGTCAATTATGCTTATGTAAATGAGTATATTCTGGTTTTTAATACTTAATTCGAGTACAACTATGTACTTATCTATTTACATGTTATATCTCAGACAATTTTTTTTTTAAAGCAATTGTGTCCAAATAAAATTCAAGTATTGTTTTTTTCTAGTTATTTTTGGATGATTCAAAAATGAAAAATTTTACTTCATGTTACAAAGAAAAGAAATTTTTGGAATTTTTCTTCAAGAGAATTAAATTAAATACTACTGGAAGATATGAAGTGGAATTTCCATTCTTATCATTATGTGGAAGAGAACGGAATTATATACGATGTGATGATGTACCAATAGTTTATACTCACTTAATTAATAAAAATGAAATAGATTTTTTGACATATGGTTATGCTGGTGATTTATTAAAAACACCATTTATACCTGAAAAAATATACATGTTACCAAACACAGGCAGAGTCTATCATCCTGCAGATGATAAATATGGAGGAATTGGACTGATACGATCGAAACTTGCTATAGAACTCAGTAAACATTTTAGGTTTAACAATAGTGATGGTATATCACCAACACATTTTTATTGGAACAATAAAACTTATGAATTAGATAATAGTTGGTTTCAAGAAAATGTTGAAAAATTCAAGGTGAAAATAAGAACAAATCCTGATTAATATACTTATATTTAAAAATTTAAAGAAGATAATATTAGTTCAAGATATTTATATTACACATTAATCTATTATGTTATATTTATTTATTGAATGTGTTATTATAGGTACTGATTAAATATTATTATTTGTAAGAATAACAAATAAACTAGAATGTGATTGATGAAATTTGATGCCAAATTAAAGAGAAAATATAGACATGTTAACTTTTCACATTCTTTTGTTGTAATTTTATTTTATCACAGGTACCTCATATGGCAAATTAACTAAATAAAGTATGTTAGAGCAATATTGTTTATCATTTATGCTGTTTCCTCTTTAGAAAAAGGTTGGTATGATCCTGCTTGTACCCAAGATATTCCTTGTCCAAGTCCTTCATTTGGTTTTGGTGGTCTAAGCATAACATTTTTGGCAGTATCATGAACTTCTGGATCATATGGTTTAAAAGTTATGTAATGTTTATCATCAGTTGGTGGGTCATCATAAATATGATCAATACTTGATGCTACACACTCTTTCACCTTGTCTATAAATGATTTTCTATTAGTTTTGTACCTAAAAATATATTTTTTTTATAATTATCATATATATTGAATATAAAGAAGAACTTATGTGTAAAGAAAAAAACAATTTTATGCACTGGAAAAGGGGCCCAGTGATCTGATAAAAAAGGTACAGATATATAATCATCACAGTTATTTCACGAAAATGAAATACATCATAAGCTAAATTTTACCCCAATTTATTAAGTTTCATTACTAGTGAGTCCTGTTATATACAGAGTTGCATGGATATTATCTCACAGTATTGTGTTCCTGCCACTACAGTCTGCTTGATTGTTGCATCTTTGATTCAGTTGATTTTATTGCAGAATAACATCTTAGTTCTCAGGAATAGAAAAACTAGTAGAGTACCATAAGCAATATAGTGTGTTCTTCATATTCCAGTAACTTTTGTTTATAAGTGACAGTTATCACTATTATATTAATCCCATCCAATATTTTTGAGCAAATTAACAAATATCTTATAGTATAAAACTAAAGCAGCAAAATTTTATTAATATTATAAATTGTGGTTAACTAACATATCTTGATCATTTAAAGCTGTGTTTAAAATAATATTAAATAAATGATAATGTGATTCAACTTACGATACTGAAGCCTCTACATTAGCTGGGGCTTTAATGTTTAAATTATGAAATATCCAGTGTATGTATTTTAAAAGTTGCCAAATATGATTACGTTTTCGATCCCATTGTGGAAATACTTCATTTAAATGTAGAACTCCTGTATTAGGCTCTACGGCTGGATGATATAGGTTTGATACAAATGTTATAGCCTGTAAATGCATATTGATATTAGAGAATACAATAGGTATATAAAATTAAATACCAGACATTATTTTTTATACTAACAGGAACATCATCATCTGGAAACTTATCTGGTAATGTCAGAGTAAATCTAAAAATACCGCCTTCATAATAGCCAGCTCTAATAAAAATTACACCATACCATACTGAAAATATAAAAAGATGTAATCAAGGGCCTAATTAAAAATAAATATAATAGAAAAATACCAAATAACTCTGGAAAATATTACTTACAGAATGAGTTTTCATATGATGGTATAACATAAACGCCTTGTAAGTTTTCAGTTTGCAACATTCGACTGAAATTAATTAATAGTTATTTTTAATCAAAAAATTACTATAAAAACATCTGTTTACTACATTTATAATTATACATGTAGTAAAGTGAGACGTATAAATATTCATAAAGATCTCAATTACAAGTTAAACAATACCATAAAAATCACATACTATTCTGCCATTATAATGTATTCTTGGTGAAACATAGAATATAACTCTCTTATTTCTTTATTATTACTATTTGTTTCGTCACTCATTTTCAATTAATTTTATTCTATCAGTAATTAATAACAATATACTTCAAAATAAGGAAGAAACACTGAATTATTATCTTATTAGTATATCCATTTTAAATTCCTTGTTGCTGTAATGTTAAATAAACAGATTAAAGAGATTTAGGTATGAAAAAACAGTGAAGAAATAAAAAAATAATAATAAATATATAAAAAAGAAAGTGCAAACGATGGATAGATATCAGAGTATATAAAAACAAAGGTAAAAGAGATCGCACTTCATATAAGTCACGTAAACCGACTTGGTGAGGAATATTTTGCCAAACTAATCAAAATCCTCCTTTTTTTCGTTATGTTGGCTAGCTTGATGTTCAAAATGGAAACAAATAGGGTTATAATGATACAATAGTTATATTTTTTTTTTTCGATATTAATAAAATGTAAATATTTCTTACCGGAACGCGAATCGTGTGATAAAAGAAATCTATTAATTATATGTCAAATTGTACGTTCTTATCAACATTTTTTAGGAAAAATAAAACAAAGGATAACATTCTTAAATATTTTTATTATTTTATATAATATCACTTTGAGATTTCAATTTCGTAATATTATTGATAGTAAATACAAGTTTTTATTACTTTCCGTAATATTTGATTAATTTTTAGAGTAGACATCGTAATAGAGTCAATATTAACTATTATATATTCGTAATTCCCAGGTCAAAATAAAAAGAAATATAATATACAAAACTAAAACTGTTTCACGAATAGTTTAGATGGCAGCCATTTGTATCGCATTTGACAGTTTTCTTGTTAGTTAAATTCGCACTATTGCGATTTCATCATTTAACTAAACGTTGGCATGATGTTTTCTGACCAAATTTATACATTAAAAGCTATATTTGTAAATTGCGCAAGACTGATAGCTATATGTGTATTTGACAGATTTAGTTTTTTTTTTTTTTTTTTTTTTTTGTGGCGTTCACCCCGATATTAGGGTATTTTGCCAAGAACAAAACGGGGAAACGATAATAGTAATAAAAAAACCTAACACAAACGAATTTAGAAAGGATAAGGATTAGGTCTAGGATATTTATAGGATATGAAGGATATACTTGTACATATGAGAATATACTTATAAATATATTGGAAAAGCAATTGATGCAACTATAAATGTATTCATGTAATATAACTAAATCTTAATATTGTTATCATATATATATGAAGATAGTATTTTATAGATAATAGGATCATTGGAAGAAAGTAGAGTAAGAATAGAAGTTGGGAATGGAACACGGATGGATCGGAGATGATTAAAAAGGGAGGTGTGGTCAAATTTAGAACATGAGAAGAATATATGATTCAAGTCCGCCACTTCAGCACCGCAATTACACGACGAACTTTGTACAATACCAAGCTTGTATAAATGAGAAGGTGTGCATACGTGACCTAGACGCATACGAGTTATAATAGTTGTTGCGGTCTTTCCAAGCTTTAATTTACAAAACCATGGTTTGAAAGGAATATCGGGTTGTATAAGGCGATAAAATCTTCCTTTTATTGTACTTGTTTTTTCCCAATATTCCTTCCAGGCATACCTTAAATATATTTTTGGGAGACAAGCTAGGTCACTACAGTAATTATGATACGGATACATATCACCACAAGTTACAGCCTCTCTTGCAATAAGGTCAGCTTTGTCATTGCCGCTAATACCACTGTGTCCTGGTAACCAGGCAAAAGAAACGGAATACCCTCTCAACATGCAAAGATAAAGACTTTGTCTTATGTCACAAATAATGGGATAAACT